CGGCCTTGAGCGTCGCGAAGGACGCGCCGCCGGCCTCGAGCGCGAGCACGTCCGCGGCGCCGAGGAGCGTCGCGTCCTTGCAGCGCCCGATCACGGCGCGGAGCGTCTCGTCGACGGTCGCCGTCGGCGCCGTCGTGGTCGTGGTCGTGGCGAGCGCCGTCGACGTCGCGGCGGCGAGCGCCGTCGTGGCCGCGGGGCTCGGCGCGGCCGCGCCAAAGGTGAGCGCGGACGTCGTCGCGGTCGTAGTGGTGGACGCGGCGGCGCCGAAGGAGAGGCCCGCGGGCGCCGCGGCCGCGGGCGCCGCGGGCGCGCCGAGCGAAAGGGCCGGAGGCGCCGCCGACGCCGCGGGCGCGGGCGCGCCGAAGGATAGAGTCGGCGCGGCCGCCGCGGGCGCGGCGGCGGACGCCGCGGGCGCGCCGAACGAGAGCGCGGGCGCCGCGGCGGACGCCGCGGGCGCCGCGGCGGGCGTGGCGGGTGCGCCAAAGGAGAGGCCGGCGGCCGGCGCGGCGGCCGGCGCCGCGGGAGTGGCGCCAAAGGAGAGGCCGGCGGCCGGCGCGGCGGCCGGCGCGGCGGGCGCCGCGGCGCCAAAGGAGAGGCCGGCGGCCGGCGCGGCGGCGGGCGCCGCGGGCGCCGCGGCGCCAAAGGAGAGGCCGGCGGCGGGCGCCGCGGGCGTCGTGGGCGCCGCGGGCGTCGACGCCGGCGCGCCAAAGAGCGGCGCCGCGGGCGCGGCGGCACCACCCAGCGAAAACGCCGGAGCGGCGGGCGCCGCAGCGGCTGGTGCCGCGGGCGCGGCGGCGGCGGCGCCGAAACTGAACGCGCCTCCGGCGGGCGCGGGCGCCGCCGGCGTCGTCGGAAGCGTTGCGGGCGCGGCGGCGGCGGCCCCGAAGCTGAACGCGCCTCCGGCAGGCGCCGGCGCGGCGGCCGTTGCTGCGGCGCCAAAGAGCGGCGTCTTCGACGGCGTCGCAGCGCCGCCAAATGAGAAGCCCGGCGTCGGCGCTGCTGCCGGCGCACCCGCTCCGAAGGAGAAGGCCATCAGCGGCTGCGCGCGCGCGTCGAGGGGTCGAGCACGGCGGCCGCGATCGAGTTGCGTCAACCGAGTGATCGAGACATGATCGAGCAGGCAAACCTCGAGGAGCCGCTCGAGCACCAAAGCAGCCCTCGATGCCGCCTAGGCCTCGCACGATGGAAGCTCCGAGCCGACGACGATGACCGAGGAGCCGGACTACGGTCCTCCGACTCCGTGTCGCGCGTCGTTCTCCCACGTGCCCAACGAGCCGACGGAGCTGCCGCTGGCGGCGGACGAGGCCCTGGAGTGCTGGCCGGATGAAAGCGGCTGGTGGTACGCGCGGAAGCGCGACGGCAGCGAGGGCTACGTGCCGAGGACGTTCATCGTGCTCGACGCTGCCGCCGCCGAGGGCGACGACGCGGCCGACGCCGACGACGACTTCGACTTCAAGCTCAAGATGGCGATGGCGCTGTCTCTGAGCGAGTCGTCCGCCGCCGCGCCCGCGCCCGCGCCGGCGCCGCCGAGCGCGCCGGAGCCGCCGCCGCGGCTCCCGGCGCGGCCGGCGAGCGCGTCCTTCGCCGCGCTCCAGCGCCCGGCGCCGGCGCCGCGGCCGCGGCCGCTGAGCGTCGACTCCGCGCTCTTCGCGGAATCGCCCGAGCCCATCGACGCGGCGAGCCTCGCGTCGCCGCGGCGCGCGTCCGGCGGGCCCCGCCTCTCGACGCCGCGCGCGGCGCTGAAGAGCGCGCGCCGGAGCCTCCGGGGCCTCGTCGGCGGCAAGAAGCGGAGCCCGTCGGCCGCGGACGCGGCGCCGCCGCCGCCGGCCGACGCGGGGCGCGACGCCGAGATCGAGGCGCTCCGGGCGCGCAACGAGGCCCTCGAGGCCGCGCGGCGGTCCTCGGAGGCGGAGCGCGCGCGCCTCGCGCGCGAGCTCGACGTCCGCCGCGCGGCGCCGCCGCCGGCCGCCGCGGCCGCGCCGCCGCCGCCGCCGCCGCCGGAGGACCTCGACCCGGGCGACGAGTGCGCCGTCTGCATGGAGCGGGCCAAGGACACGGCCCTCGTGCCCTGTGGCCACGTCCTCTGCGGCGTCTGCGTGTCCAAGGCCAACGACTCGAGGATCGTCGACGAGTGCCCCGTGTGCCGCGTCGCCGTGCGGTCGACGATGCGGATCTTTCTCTAAAAAAATCATCGGGCGCGGCGCCTCAGAGGAGGCGGGCCCGGGGCTCGTCGACGACGTAGTCGCAGGAGATGGAGACGCCGAAGCACATGACGCCGCAGGACGGCGCGAGGTCCGCGTCGTCGTCCGCGCGGTCGAGCGGCGGGATGGCCAGCGCGCCCGGCGACGGCGGCGCCTCGACGACGCCGGCGGCGTCGATGTCCTCGTGGGCGCGCGCGGCCCGGGCCGGCCCCGCGCGGCGCCGCGCGGCGACCTCCGACGCCGCGGCGACGGCCGCCTCGCGCTCCGCGGCGTCCGCGCGCTTCGCGGTTTGCCGCTCGAACGCGCGCGCGCGGCCGTGCCCCTTGGCGAACGTGAGGACGAGCGGCCGCGGCAGGGCCCGGAGCCGCGCCACGAGCGCCGCGAAGGCCTCGGCGTCGATCTCGATGACGAGCTGGCCGTTGATGGCGATGAGCTCGTCGCGCGGGCGGAGCGCATCGAACGCCGGGCTCGTCTCGAACGTCTCGTCGACGAGGACGCGCTTCCGCGTCGACGGGCCGCCCGCGTCGCCGACGCGGCCGAGGCAGATCTTGAAGCCGAGCGGGCCCGGCGAGTCGAACGTGACGTCGAAGCACCGGCCCAGGCGCAGCAGCAGGTCCCGCTTCTTCGCGTAGGCGGGGCCGAGCGCGGCGTCGCGCTCCAGCTGCGCCGCGCGGACGACCTTGCTCAGCGGCGTCGCGGGGCCCGGCTGGTGCCGCAGCGCCGGGTGCGACAGCGCGCGCCCGCGGCCCTCGACGCCCTGCGACGCCCGGCGGCCCCCGGGGCGCGACGGCTTCGCGGGCGTCGCCCAGTCGTAGAACCGGAGGCCGACCGCGCCGTCGGCGTTGTTCTCCGACAGGGCGCGGCGCGGCTTGTCGCGCGGCGGCGTCTCCATGGCGAAGGGCTGCCGCGACCCCAACGGTGGAGCACGGGGCTGCGCGGCGCGGCCTCGTCGAAGGGCTGCTACAACAGCCAACTGGCATAACTTCAACCAACGGTGTTGACTTTTTGAAGCATGCGATGATGGTGCCTGAACGCTGCCCATAGATGGAAGGCCTCGACGAGTTCGGCGCCCAGCAGCTGCACAAGGCGGCGCGCGCCGCGGAGGGCGCCGTCGATGCGCGCGCGCCGTCGCCTCGCCAGCGTCGCGCGACCCACGAAACCCGCCGCTTCCTAGGCACACGCTCGAGGACTACGCGGCGGCGCCGGGCTTCGAGGACGTGCGCGCGCGGCTGCCGGACCGCGGCGAGGGGCCCGTGAGCCTCGCGGACGCCGCGCGGCTCGACGCGCCGCCGCCGCCGCCGCCGCCGCCGCCGCCGCCGCCGCCGCCGCCGAAGCCCGCGTCGCCGCCGCGGTGGGCCGCGCGCGAGGGCGGCTACCCCGAGGCCGTCCCGCGCCGCGCGAAGGCGCCGGCGCCGGCGCCGCGGCCGAAGCCCGAGCGCCGCCTGCGCCGCGGCGGCTTCGCGGCGCCCCACGCGGGCGCGGCCGCGCGGCGGCCGCTCCACGTGCCTTCGGGACACGGCGCCGCGCGCGCGGGCGACGTCGTCTCGGCCTGGCCCTGCACGACGCCCGTCGGCGTGCCCGCGGGCCTCGACGTCGACGCCGCCGTGCGGCGCTCGTCGAAGCCGCCGCCGCTCCGCCTCGACCTCGAGTGGTGCTCAGGGCAGGAAAAGGGCGCGACGGTCCCCACTTCGAGGGCTCCTCTCTCGGCCGCTTTCCACTCGTTTCGGCCGATCTTTGGACGAGCGATCACCTCTCGGAGCGCTCTCGACGTGTGAATGAGTTTTCGGGAACGCGCGCGCGCGCGGACCACTCGCGTCGAATCGCCCTGGTCCCGCCCAGGTGGTGCTACGGCTTCGAGACGACGTTCGTCGTCTCGCGGAACCTCTGGGAGGTCGCCGGCGACCGCGCGCGTCCCCGCCGCGTCGCTCGGGGGGTGTGTGTGTTCCCCGCGACGCACGCAACGCACTAGGTCGTCTACGCGGCGGCGGCGCTCGTCGTCGTCTACGACGTCGCGCGGCACCGCCAGCGCCACTTCCGGGGCCACGGCCGGACGCGCGTGTCCTGCCTCGCCGTCGAGCCGACGCGGCGGCGCCTCGTCGCGCGCGTCTCCGCGCCGCGGCGGGCCGCGGGCCGGCACCGCGTCCCTCCCCCCCTAGGTCCGGCGACGCCGCCGCCGACCCCGCGATCCTCGTCTGGGACGTCGAGACGCTCGTCGTCCAGCACCGCCTCGGCGACGGCTGGTTCAAGGCCGCGGCGCTCCTCGTCTTCTTCAGCCCCGACGCCGAGGCCCTCGTCGCCGTCGACGCGGACACGCAGCACTCGCTGGGCTACTGGCGCCTCGGCGAGCTCCGAAGACGCGCGGAGCTCCGGCGCGAGCGCCGCGCCGCCCAGGCCTCCGCGGGCGAGGCGGCAGCGCACTGGTCCGGCGTCGGCGACGCCGACGAGGCCGGCAGCGCCCTCGCCGCGGCGGAGCGGACGCCCGCGGCGGAGCGCCGCGCGGAGGTCTTCGAGCCGCCGGCGATCTACGACGGCTGCTGGCTCTTCGAGGACGGCGACCACGCCGAGGCGGATGTAGACGAAGACGCGGCGCGGGCGGGCACGGCGACGCCGTCCTTCGCGACCGTCGGGCCCGGGCGCCACGTCAAGTTCTGGTTCGCGGAGGCCGACGGCGCCGGGTCGTGGCTCGTGCGGTCCGTCGCCGGGTCCTGGCTCCCGGAGTTCGCGACGACGGCCATGCACCGCTGCGTCTTCCTGCGGGAGCCGCGGCTCCTGCTCACGGGCGGCGGCGACGGGCGCGTCTACGCGTGGCGGGGGACGGCCTGCTTCGCGGCGTTCGACGCGGGCGACGGCCCGCTCAAGGGGCTCAACCTGAGCCGCGACGGCCGCACGCTCGCGACGGGCGACGCCGCGGGCGTCGTGCGCGCCTGGGGCTTCGACGCGGCGGGGGCCAACGACGCGGGCTTCGCGGCCGTCGGCAAGACGTTCCTCGACGCGCGCGACCGCGCGCCCGGCGACGCCGGCGACGCGGCGCGCGACCTGCGGAGCGCGGCGCGGGGCGCGCCCGTGCGCGACGTCGTCCTCGGCGACGGGGCGGCGAAGCTCGTCGCGGCGACGACGCGCGGCGTCGTCTTCGCCGTCGACGACGGCGCCGCGACCCCAAAACTCGCGGCGCACTTCGCGCCGACGGTGCAGACCGTGCTCTCGGCCGTCGCGGCGCTCGGCGGCGGGTCCTTCGTCGCGTCCGCGGGCGGCGACGGCGTCCTCGCGGTCCGCGACGTCGCCGCGCGGCGCCTCGTCGCCTGGGCGGAGCTGCCGCGGCCGGCGACGGCCATGGACGCCGTCGGCGCGACGATCGCCGTCGGCCTCGACGACGGCTCCGTCGCCTTCTTCGCCTGGGACGGCGCGGCCCTCGCGCCGTCGCCGCCGGCCGTCCCGCCGCTCAGGCCGAAGAAGGCCGCGCCGCCCGTCGCGCCGCCGCCGGGCGCCGCGGACCGCGCGGGCCAGGCGCTGACGACCGCGCGGAGCGGCGCCGCCGGCTTCCTCGCCGCGGCGGCCGCGGGCATGGAGGACGCGCGCGACGGCGCGGAGCCGACGGCCGCGGCGCTGCTCCGCGGCGCCGCGGACGCCGTGCGGCTCTCGCCCGACGGCCGCCGCGTCGCCGTGGGCCACCGCGACGGCGCGATCGCCGTGCACGGCGCGGCGCCGCCGCGGCGGCGCGTCGCGGCCTTTGGCGTCGCCAGGGCGCGCGTCACGCACCTCGACTGGGACGCCACGTCGACGTGCCTCCGCGTGTGCACGTCGACGAACGAGCTCCTCTACTACGACGTCGACGCGGCCGCGGCCCGCGACGACGCCCCGAAGCCCCACGACTTCGAGCGCCGCGTCGTGCCCGTCGGCGCGCGCGCGGCGAGCGACAAGGCCTGGCCCGGCGCGACCTGCGTCTTCGGCGCGCACGCCATCGGCGCGTGGCCCGCGGGCCGCGCGAGGGCGGCCGCGGCGCGCGCCGTCGCGTCGCTCCACGCCCTCGAGGGGCTCACGGAGCAGCGCTGGGCGGCGCTCGGCGGCCTGCGGGGCGGCGGGAAGCGCCTGCTGGCCGTCGGCGCCGACGTCGGCGACCTGCGCGTGCTCGCGGCGCCCGCGTGCGTCCAGAACGCGCCCGCGCGCGAGGCGTCGGCGCACGGGAGCCGCTGCGCGGCCGTGCGCTGGCTCAGCGGCTTCGCCCGCGAGGGCGACGACGTCGTCGCGCGGCTCGCGACGGCGGGCGGCCACGACCGGTGCCTGCTCCAGTGGAAGGTCGTGCGCCTGGACGTCGCGAAGACGCAGGACGCGGCCGCGTCCGCGCGCGCGAAGAAGCGCTGGAGCGTGGCCGCGTCGCGGGTCAAGCTCATCGGCGCGTCCAAGGTCGCCGCCGTGCCGCGCAAGGGCGGCTCGAAGATGGCGCTCTGCTTCATGTGCGGCGCGCTGAACCCGGCGGCGACCTTCGCGAACCACCGCAGGACGTGCGCGAGCCGCTGGGCCAAGGCGCGCGACGCCGCGAAGAAGCGGAACCTGCCCGACGACGACGACGACCCGGGGCCCCTGCCGCCGGACCCGCACGCGGGCGTCGACTTTTCCCGCCTCGACCTCGCGGCGCTCGAGGTCGCGAACGACGCGTCCCAGGCGGTCTACTTCGCGCACGCGCTCGCGGAGTGCGAGCACTGCAAGCGGCGCTTCAAGAAGCCCGCGCTCCGCAAGCACCGGCGCGCGTGCACGGCCGCGCGGCCCTTCGCGCCGCCCATCGCGCGGCGGCCCAAGGACCGGGGGGCCGCCCCGGCGGCCTGGCTCTAATTGTTGTGTTGTGTGTCCACGGTCGCGAGCGAAGCGTCTTAGGCGATGCGCCCTACTTCCGAGACGGCTTCCGCGCGTTGTCGCGCGCGACGTCCGGGTCGTAGGCGGCCATCATGCCCTTGAGCGAGTTGAGCTCCTCGTCGTTGCGCTTGTCGCGCACGGCGAGCTCCTCCTTGCTCAGGCCCTTGCGCGGGTCCAACCTGCGCGCGGCGGCGGTCGCGGCGGCGGGCGGCGCGGCGGCGTCGACGCCGCGCGCGCGCATCTTCCCGTACTGCTCCGAGCAGTCCGCGGGGTTCGTCGGCGTGCAGATGCCGGCCTTGACGCGGTACCGCTCCGCGTTCCTGCGCGCGGGGTGTTCGCGCGCGGCGGGCGACAAAGAGGACGCCGCGGGATCACTTCGCCGCCTCCTCCAGCGAAACGCCGGACGCCCAGCTCGCCGCGGGCGCCGCGACCAGCGCTGCCGCTGCCGGCGCCTTGGTGATGAGCTGCCGACGGCTCAGGGCCGACGCGGCGGCGACGAGGAGGACATAGACGAGCTTCATGCTGTGCTGACTGGACTGCTGCTCGTTGACAAGTTCACGTCCGCTGCAAGTTGCCGGCCTCTCGTAACGAGGATTGTACACGATGGAGCCCGACGCAACCCCAACCCCGCGGCTCTCGCACGTCCTCGACGGCTCGGCGTCGGCGACCTACGAGCCCGGCGTCGCGCCGCTCTTCGCGCGCTTCGCGTCGCAGCTGCGGGCCTCCGAGGCGTCCTTCGACCTGCACAAGCTCGCGGCCGCCCGGCGCAGGGCCACGAACAAAGACACCCCGAGCCTCGTCGCGCGGCGGCTGCGCGAGGCCATCGACGACGCGCAGGCGTTCCTCGTGGCGTCGCAGAAGACCGCGGACCTCGCGAGCGCCGAGCTCGGCCGGCAGGCGCTCGAGGCCTCGGCGCCGCCGAGCAGCTCGCGGTCGGACCTCGGCGCGTCCGTCGAGGCCGCCGAGCGGTTCATGGAGCGCATCGAGCGCGAGGAGGCCGCGCGCGACGCGGCGCGCGCCAGGGCCGAGGAGGAGGCCGCCGCGCCCGCGCCGCCGCCCGCGAGGGCCGTCGTCCTCGAGGCGCGGCCGCCGCCTCCGTCCGCCCCGGCGCCCGCGCCCGCGCCCGCGGCGCCCGCGCCCGCGCCCGAGGGGCCGCCGGCGCCGTGCCCGACGCTCGCCGTCGCCGCGGCGCTCGAACGCGCGAAAGCGCTGGGCCACCGCTGGGAGGCCGCGGCCGACGCGCTCGCGCCGGCCGTCGACGCCTGGCGCGCCGGGGGCGCCGCGGTCAAGGGCCCGCCGGCGCTCGTGGCCGAGGCCTGCTACGCGTTCGCGCGCGCGGTCGCGAACGTCGCCGTCGCCGACGGCGCGCACGGCGCGCACAGCCCGGCGCTCCTCGACGACGCCATCGCCGCGCTCGACGTGGGCCTCTTCCTCGGCACGGAGGCCCACTTCCCCTCGCGGCGGCTTCGCGGCCGGCTGGAGCACCTGAGGACGCGCGGCCCGGGCCTCCTCGTCCTCTCCTCGTCGGGCCGACCGCAGATAACAACGACCTAGCTTGGACTCCGGCGGCCGTACGCGTCCCTTCCCCACAGATCTCGCTTCTTACTCCGCTCGTCGCTCCTTCCAGATGCCGACGCGGACGACCTTCTCCGGCGCGTCCGCGAGCCGCTCGTCCGGCTCCGCGAAGGCCGAGATCACGTAGGCCGCGATGAGCGCGTTGAGCACGAGGACCGCGACGACGGCGGCGATGGCGTCCCGGTGCTTCGCGCCCGGCCGCTGCAGGTCCCGCGCGGCGAAGAACGCGCCGGGGGGACACACGGCCACCGCGAACATGAATCGGCCGAGCTTCGCGACCGTCGCGCGGTTCTCCGGCGCGGACAGGATGTCGACGGGCCCCCAGCGCCGCATCTTCGCGACGGGCGCCGCGTCGTCGTCGGGCTTCCGCCGCCGCGGCTCCATGGCCTGTGGGCGCGCGACCGGTCTCGTCGCGGGCGCGTAGGGGGCCCGCTTCGACGGCCGCGCGCCGCGCGCCACCACGGCGCATCGGTCGATCTTCGACGCGTATGGAGAATCCCGGCAGCACGGACGAAAGGCACGCGGGATTCGAAGATGAGTGCGTCGGTTTAGATAAGGCGAGGGACGCCGGGTGCGTGCGCGTGCTGTGCGTGCGGCGCGCGGTGCTCGAGCGACGCGCAGCGCTCGTCGATGAGTCGCGCGCGACAGCTGGCAGCGCTCTGCGTTGGCAGCTGCGGTCGGTGGTGGTGGGGCTGTGGTGTTGGTGCGGCTGCGCGCGCGACGGCGAGGCTGGCGGCGTGGTCGAGCCGGTTTTTGACACAGCCGCAGCGCCGCGCCGTCGCCGTCGTCGCGCGCCCGCGCACCGCCGCCGTCGAGCGCGCCCGCGCGACCGCGCCGTTGCAGCCATGGGCCTCATGGACGGCCACGCCGAGAATCTGCCGACGCCGAGCCGCCCGCCGTACGAGCCGCCGCTGGACATCATCGAGCTGAGCAAGGACGCGCCGCCGCTCAAGCACCGGCTCACCATGCGGCTCTGGCGCTTCCCCGTGCCGCTGAGCGAGTACCACTCCTACATCGCCGGGTCCGTGGACCTCGGCGGCCTCACGCCGCGGCTGCCAGTGACGCTGCCGTTCGAGCCCGAGCGGACGACGCTCGCGCGGCTCCGCATCCCCATCGAGGTCGTCAACGTCGACGGCATGCTGCGGCGCACGTCGCTCTTTCAAGAATTACTAGCCGTCATGCTCGAGCTCAAGAACCCGCACGAGTACCCGCCCGCGCGCGCGCTGAGCTACCGCTTCGGCGTCTGGCCGACGGACGACTACGAGACCTTCGACCCGGGCACAACCCCAAAAATCATCCCCCGGGACGCCGAGGAGGATCTCGTGTCCACGTGGATCACGGACCCCCTGGCCATGGATCTGATCCTCGTGCCGCAGACGCAGATCGACCGCGCGGACGCGTGCACGCTGATCCGCGCCGCGGGCGACGAGGACGGCGCGGAGACCGAGGACGTGCTAACGCGGTGACCTAGGGGGGTGCCGGCGGCGGGCCTAGCTAGGCGCGGCGGCGCTTGCGCGCCATCATGGCGTCGTAGGCCGCGGACTGGTGCGCGGGCCGGCCGCCGTCGACGGGCTCGGGCTGCGCGAGCGCGTCCGCGGCCATGATGTCGGCGGGCAGCCGGCAGGGGAGGCTGTGCTCCCAGGGCGCGACGCGCGGCGGCGCCGTGACGTGCTTGACGAGGTCCTCGAGCGGCCAGCGCCATCGCGAGTCGTCGTCGCGGACGTAGCGCCGCGCGAGCGTGAGCTCCACGGAGTCGTCGGCGCCGGACCGCGCGCGGCGCGCGTGGCCCAGGGACACGAAGGTGCCGAACTCGTTGGAGCCCCGCGCGGCCACGAGCGCGTAGGGCCCCGGGAGCCGCGGCTGCCGCGGCGCCTGCGGCACGACGAACATGGCGAAGGGCGGCGCGGGCGCGGTGCCCGGCGGCGGCGGCGGCGGCGCCGTCTGGACCTCCGGCGGCGGGTCCTCGAGGTGCGTCTCGATGTGGAACTGGTGCGAGTCGTCGCGGTACGCGCGGCGGTACCCCGTCCCGTCCGGCGGCTCCATGAGGTAGTGGCCCCGGAACTCGCCCCGCAGGCCGCGGAAGAGCTCGAGGTCCGTGTGGCCCCGGGCCAGGTGCTGCGCGCGCTCCGCGTCGACGTCGAAGTTGAGCTCGAAGAAGTTGAACGACGCCGCGAACTCCGCCGCGGGCGGCATGTGGCTGCTCACGCTGCTGAGCCACGTGCCCCGCCAGGTCATGACGTTCCGCTCGCCGCCGACCCAGCTCACCTTGCCGTGCCAGTAGAAGAGCGTGTCCCGCCAGTCCTCGTCGCGCTGGTCCATGAGGGACCCGCCCAGGCGACTGCACATGGTCCTTCGTCCGGCGGCGCGGCGACGCCGGGCGATGCCGGGCGGGGGGCGACGGCTGCGGCGGGGATACTACGACTCGTCGAGCGCGCGCGAGAGCCGGCGCCGACGAGGCAGGCCCGGATCTACTGCGGAGCTTCGTCGCGGTCGCTCGACCCGCTGTTCCGGCTGGCCACAGCCCGGGCGCGTTTGTTGTGCAGCATCGTTGCAGAAATGTTGCTGCGCCATCGCGGGGCTCGCAGTCATGGCCTCGGGACAAGCGCTGCGCGTCGTGGAGCTCGATGTGTGGGCACGGAATCCTCCAGCTCATGTCAGTGAGCGCGGCGCGCGGCGCGGTTCTCGCGGCGCGGCTTCACTCACGCGGTAATCCGCGCAGCTCCATCAAATCGCACGCGTCTGCCGATCGGCAACCGCGACGCCGGGCGCAACGCGAGCCCACGTGTACGCCGGGACCGAGGCAAACATGCTCGCTAGGCCTCGCTGAAGCCGGCGTTTCCGAGTTTCCACAGCCTCCACATCTCCTCGTCCACTCACGTCGTCGCGGCGTATACCCAGAAAGTCCTCTCTCAGCCAAGGTGCGCCGCTCGAGTCACAAAGCCGGGTGGTTACGTGGTCCGGGAGTCGTCCGTCGCCCTTCGTCCGTCGAAACACCGGGAAAAGCATCGCTGACAACGCCCCGCGCGTCGCCGAAGCCAGCCGAAGCCGCCGAAGCCGGGAGCGCCGCCGCCAGCCCGGCGGGCGCCTTCGGCGCGGCGCGTCGGTCCCGGCAGCCGCTCGAACCCGACGACGACGCGCGGGAAACCGCGGGGCGCGCGCCGCGCCCATCGACCCGCGCGCGCGACCGCGCGCGCCGCCGCGCGACGCGCCGACCGCCGCAGGCTGTAAAACACCCGGCCACCATGACGAACCAGATGGTCCGCGAGGCGTTCACCAAGGGCCAAGACTACAAGTGGATGATCTGCGAGGACGGCGGCATCTACGAGGGCCCCAGCGGCAAGCACAGCGAGCGCATCGGCGAGCTCAAGATCGGAGAGATGATCAAGGCGGACGCGGAGACCTTCGACCCGGACAACAAGATCATCTGGCGCCTCAAGGAGCCCCTCGAGGGCGGCTGGATGTACGCGCCCGTGCGCGGGCCCAAGACCGCCGTGCCCATGAACGAAGAGACGATAGAAGCGTACGAAAAGGGCACGCGCTACTACAAAGTCGGCGGCAAGAAGGGCACGATCGTCCGCGAGGGCAAGGAGATGGACAGCGACAAGGTGAAGATCATCGAGAGTGGCACCGTCGTCGCCGTCGAGGAGACCGTCACCCTCGAGGACAGCGGCAAGGAGCGGCTCCGGATCTCGGACCCGTGCGAGGGCTGGGTCACGAAGACGCAGGTCGAGATCTGGTACAAGGAGCTCTCCAGGGCCGAGCTGGCGAAGGTCAAGAACTAGGCGGCCGACGCGCCTCTTCGGCCCGCGGGTCGGCGGACCCGCGGCGCCGGCGCGCGCGACGGGAGCCCGCGGCGCGCCCCCGTGTCTCGCCCCTCCGGACCCCCGTCCGGAGCGCACCCGCTTTTCCAAGGTAAGACTCTGCAAGACGGCGCGCGGGAATGCGGCAGGAAAAGGCAAGACGGCCGCGCGAACGCCAAAATTAGAAAAATGCGAGGCTCGGGAGGAGCGGCTTGCCGGCCGACGTCGCGGCGCCCGGCTCGAAGGACGAGTAGAAGGGCGGGCGGCGGCCGTCCTTGGCGGCCTCGGCGTCGATGGCCGCGGTGAGGGCGCGCTCGGCGTCGAGGGCGTCGTCGTCCTCGTCGCCGCCGCCGCAGTCCGGCGCGTCGTCGTCGTCGTCCCAGTCGTCCCAGTCGTCGGGCGGGTCCTCGGCCGACGGGCTCGCGGGCGTCACGGGCGTCGCGGGCGGGTCCGGCGGGTCGATGGCCGGCACGGCCGCGCGCGGCGGCCGCGACGCCCGCGTCGGCGTCGCCGGCGCCGGGCCCGCGGGCCGTCGCCGCCTCGCCGCGCTCGCCCGCCGCCGGCGCGCCCGGCGGCACGTCCGCGACCACGGCCCGCGCGACGCCCGCCTTGCGCTTCCGCGGGCTCAGGTCGTCCGCCGCCGCCGCGAGCCAGGCCAGCAGCGGCGGCGCCCACGCCGTGAGCGCGCGGCCCGCGCCCGCGGCGAGCGCGCGGCCCGCGACGAGCTCCGCGAGGGCCGGCTCCGCCAGGCGCCGCGTCTCCGCGGGCGCCAGCCGCAGCAGCGGCCAGTCCGCCGCGCCGTGGAGCGCCGCGTCACCGCCCTCAAAGGCCGCGTCGCGCGCCGCGCCGAAGCGGCCCTCGCGCGCGGGGCCCGCGTGCGCGTCGCGCGCGGCCGCCGCGCAGAAGGCGAGGCCCCGGACGACGAGGAGCCGCGCCTCCTGCGGCTCCTTCGGCGGCGCCGCGGACTCGGGCAGGTGCTCCGCGGCGCGCGCCGCCGCCGGCTCCGGCGGCGGAAAAGCGAGCCGCGGCACCGCGCCGAGCACGGCGAGCCGCAGCGCGCCCACGCGGCGCCGCAGGGCCGCCGGCCGCGCCCGGGCGGCGTCGCGCACGGCCGCCTCCGCCTTGCTCACGGCCTCGGAGTCGCCGCCGGCGCCCTCGTGGCTCAGGCCCCACTTGCGGAACAAAGGCGTGCACTCCGCGTCCGCGAGCGCCTCGTCGCAGAAGCGCCCGAAGCTCACGCCGTGGGCCAGGAGCCGCGCGCCTAGGGCCCGGTGCGACGGCGGCACCGCCGGGTCCACGAGGAAGCCCAGGCCGCCCGCGCCGGGCGGGCCGAGCGCGTCGAACGCGAAATCCGCGCGCGCCGCGGAGAACGCGAGCTGCCGCGCGGCGCGCCGCACCTCGAAGGAGCCCTCCTCGCCGAGCGTCGCCAACAGCCAGTCCCAGGCGCCCCGCAGCAGCCGCTCCAGGAACGCCGCCGACGGGCCCGCGGCGTCGCCGAGGCGCGCCGTCGCCGCCGACGCCTCGTCCGAGAGCACGCCGTCGTAGGCCATGAGCGCGCCCTCGGTCCAGCGCCAGTCGTCGGGCCGCCGCGCGACGTCGATGGCGCCGAGCGCGACGTCGCCCAGGCCCTCGCTCTTCGCGCCGACGCGCTGGAGGCACACGGACGCGGCCTGGCGCACCGTCGACGCGTCGTGCGCCAGCAGGCCCGCGAGCCGGCCCACGTCCACGAGGCCGCCGGATTCCAGCGCGGAGGCGCGCGCCCGCGGCACGAGGCGCGCCGCGCCGCCGAGCAGGCCCGCGAGCGCCGCCGCGCGCCGCTCCCTGTCCGGCGTCGGCGCCGCCGCGTCGGGCGGCCGCTTGCCGTCCGCGCCGCCCTCGGCCGCCTGCGCCTCGAGCGCCGCGGTCAGCGCGGCGCCGACGGCGCCCAGGAGCCGCTCCGCCGCCTCGGCGCTCGCCGCGCGCTCCGCGACGGCGTCGAGCGCGCGGCTCGCGGCCTCGCGGACGGGCGCGGACTCGTGCGCGAGCGCGACGGGCACGACGGCCGCCTCCGCGGCCGCCAGCAGCGCGTCGTGGAGCGCCGCGCAGGGCGGCGACGGCTCGTGCGTCGCCAGGCCCTTGAGAGCCGTGCACAGCCCGTCGGCGCGCCGCCAGTCCGTCGTGACGCGGAGCTGGCCCGAGAAGACGGCCGCGAGCCGCGCGCGCCGCGGGCCGTCGAGCGGCACGCGCGCGACGCCGCGCGCGCAGGCGCGGCGGATCTCGCTCCAGACGTCGCCGAGCGACACGTCGGCGACGGCCTGCGTCAGCGCGTAGGCCGCCTCGAGGCTCTTCTCGTCGCGCTCGGGCGTGATGCCCTCGAGCTTGGCCATGATCTTGTTGAGGCGCGCCGCGGCGTCCGTCTCCGCATCCGACTCGGCCTTCCAGTCCTTGGCGTATTTTTTCGGGCTCGGTTTCTTCTTGGGCGAGCGCGCGAAGAAGGCCATCGTGTGTTTTTGCGGCGCGCTGACCGCCTCGCGACGCTCGGCGGGGCGACGGAGCTGCACAACCGGCTCCGCGCGTTCTTCGCGGCTAATAACGCGCGCGACGGCACGAGCCCGCTGCCCTGCGACCTGCTCTCGTGCTCACAACGACACAGCCATGCCGCGTGGCGCTCGCGAGAATGGCCGCCGGGGGTCTGTCTGCCTGCGGCGACGTCGACGCGCGCGACGCGGTCCGATCCGTGCCGTGCGCCGACGTAATCTCCCGTCGCCATCTTCTGTCCAAGCTTCTCGTCACGAGGCGCTTCAGCCACGCGGCGTCCGTTGTGGGCTACTCTCTGTCGCTCGCGGCGCGACCGCCGGCGGCTGCCAGTGGGCCAGCACGTCGTCCGCCGTCCGACCCGTTGATCGGGTTCAGCTTCGCCATGTCGTACTCGCGGAGGAGGTTCGCGCGCGCCGTGTCCGTGAAGTCGGACTTCGCGGCGCCCGAGTGGCGGAGCTGCTCCCCAGCAGGGGCTCTAGACCCACAGGGGGAACTACGTCGTCCGACTCAGGCATTGGGCGACGCCGAGCGCCTTCCAGCACGCGCCGGCGGAGCTCGAGCGCCTCGCGCGCCTGTCCGAGCGCGCGTTCCTCTACGTCGCGGAGCACGCGGGCTCGTCCTTCCGCGGCGCGCCGGACTCGGAGTCCTCGCGTGGGAGATGCTCATCGTGGTCTACTACGCCTACAAGATGCACCGCGCCGACGACGTCGACGAGGCGACGATGCTCCAGCTCCAGAAGAGCCAGCACCTCTCCGGCTCCGAGGGCTTCCTCGTGAGCCACGCGATGCCATGATGCTCGAGCCTGCTAGCGCTGAGTACTCACTCAGGCTGGCAGGGACCCGGGATCATGATGTACGGCGACTGCAGTCGCGCCGACCTATAAACCACCCGTCAGCCTCGCCCGGACCCCGAGAAGCCTAGCCGGGGTCTTCACCGCTGGCCAGGGATGCGGAGCGCGCGCGGCGCGCGCGTCCGCCCATCGGCTCGCTTTTTGAAAAAGCCCCGGTCCGAGACGAGACGACTTCGCGCCTCGACCGAAGCAGAGTCGCACTCCGTCGTCGCGCCGCAGCCAGCGCCCGACGAGCGCCTCGACGCACGTAATCACTCGCGCGGTACTCTCCGCGTGACCTGTTCAACCTTGCGCATCAGCGAACACACGCGCCCGCGCTTCCGGCCCACTCGCCGCCGCCGCACGCAGCCGGCGATTCGGACCCCGAAGCACCGCAGACGCCCGCGCGCGCCAAGCCACCCGCACGCGCCAAGCCACCCGCGCGCGCCAAGCCACCCGCGCACGCCAAGCCACCCGACCCACAACGTGAACGATGGCCGCCGCGCTCTCCATCAAGACCATTTCGATTAGCGGATTTCGCTCGTTCCGCCAGCAGGACGCGATCGAGTCGTTCGATCCAGGCCACAATGCGCTCATTGGCCGCAACGGGAGCGGTAAGTCGAACTTCTTCGACGCCGTCCAGTTCGTGCTGCTGTCGCCGCGGTTCTACAACCTGCGCCAGGAGGAGCGGCAGCAGCGCGCCCCGGCGTCCGCGCGACGCTTCCGCGCTTCCGCCGTCCCCCCCCCCTCCCGCGCGCGCCGTCGCGTCGCGTCCGCGATTCCGCCGTCTCGAACCCGAACACTCAAACGCGCACGCCGCCCGTCGCTTCCGTTCGCGCGCGCGCGCCGCCTCGCCGCGTCGATTCCGCCGCCCGGAACCGTCCCCGCCCTAGGCTGCTGCACGAGGGCGCGGGCGCCAACGCCATGAGCGCCTACGTCGAGATCGTCTTCGACAACGGCGGCGGGCGCATCCCCCTCGAGGGCGACGAGGTCGTGCTCCGGCGCGCGCTCGGCGTCAAGAAGGACGAGTTCTTCGTGAACCGGCGCCGCGTGACGAAGAAGGAGGTCGAGGGCCTCCTCGAGAACGCGGGCTTCAGCCGCGCGAACCCCTACTACATCGTCCAGCAGGGCAAGGTCAACGCGCTCTGCGTCATGAAGGACGAGGAGCGCCTCGCCCTGCTCAAGGAGGTCGGCGGCGCGGGCGTCTACGAGGCGAAGCGCAAGGAGGCCGTGCGCACGCTCGGCGAGACCGAGGGCAAGCGCGCGACCATCGGGAGCGTCGTCGCGACCATCGAGGAGCGCCTCGGCGAGCTCGAGGGCGAGAAGGACGAGCTCCAGCGCTACGAGCGCCTCGACCGCGAGCACCGCGCGCTCGCGTACGGCCTCTACGACGCGGAGCTCCAGAAGGCGCGGCGCCAGCTCGAGGACCTCGAGGACGAGCGCGCCGCGGCCGCGGACGCCGCGGACGCCGTGCACGAGGCCGCGGCGGCGGCGGACCGCGACGTCGAGGCCGTCGAGACGCGCGTCGCCGCGGCGGCCGCGGGCCGGAAGGCGCTCGACGACGCGAAGCGGGCCGCGGACGACGCGCTCGCCGCGTCCCTCGCGGCGCGCGCCGACGCCGAGCAGGCCGTGGCGACGCTCGGCGCGCGCGTCGAGGGCGACGCGGCCTGGGCCGCGGCCGCGGCGCGGCGCCTCGCGCGCGCGACGCGCGCCGCGACGCGCGGCGCGCGCGACCTCGCGGCCGCGACGGAGGCGCGCGGCGCGAAGCGCGACGCGTACCTCGACGCGGCGACGGCGCTGGAGCGCGCGGAGCGGCGCGCCGCGGAGCTGAGCCGCGAGGAGCGCTTCGGCAGCCGCGCGGCGCGCGACGCGGCGCTGAAGCCGCGGCTCGCCGAGCTCGAGGACCAAAAGAACCGCGCGGCGCGCAACGCGGAGGCCGCGCGCGAGGCCCGCGACGACGCCGCGCGCCAGCTCGAGGCCATGAAGCGCGATCTGGCCGCCAAGCACGCCGAGGGCGCCAAGGCCCTCGCGGAGGCCGCCGCGGCGGGCGACGCGCGCCGCGCGGTCCTCGAGTCGCGCGCGGACGAGCGCGCGGTCGCGGCGGCCCAGGCGGCGGCGACGCGGGCCGAGGAGGCGAAGAGCGCCGCGCAACGCGTCGCCGCGGGCCGCCGCGACGACCTGCGGCGCCTGCTGCCGGGCCACACGGCGCGCGGCCTCGCGGCGCTCGACGCGCTGCTCGCGGAGTCGCCGGAGCTCGCGGCCAAGTGCCTCGGCCCCCTCGCGGACCACGTCCACCTCGCCGAGGACAAGTACCGCGTCGCCGTCGAGGTCGCCGCGGGCCCGCGCCTCTTCCACGTCGTCGTCGAGGACGACGCGACGGCGGCGACGATCGTCGAGCGCCTCGAGAAGGACCCGAAGCTCGGCCGCCTGACCTTCATGCCCCTGAACCGGCTCCGCGTGCCGCCCAAGGTGTCCATGCCCGACGACGCGCTGGCGGACGTCGTGCCCCTGCGCGACGCGGCGCTCCTCGAGCGCCGCGGCGGCCCGGACGTCGACGCGGCGCTCGACGTCGTCTTCGGCAAGACGCTGCTCGCGCGGACGCTCGAGGCGGCGACGCGCTACGCGTCGGAGGTCAAGCTCGACGCCATCACGCTCGAGGGCGACGAGGTGAGCCGCTTCGGCGCGCTCCACGGCGGCTCGCGCGAGGACCGGGACTCGACGCTCCTCGCGCACGGCGACCTCCGCGCCGCGGAGGCGGCCGTGGCGACGGCGGACGCGGCGCTCGCCGCCGCCCGGGCGCGCGTCGAGGCGACGGCGACGTCCTTCGAAGCCGACGGCCGCAAGGCCGCGGACCTCGCGGCGCAGCGCGACCACCTCAAGGGCGCGGCGTTCGCCGCGCGGTCCGCGCACGACCAGCTCGCGCTGCGCTGCCGCGACGCCGAGGACGCGCTGCGCGCCTTCCACCCGGACCGCGTCGCCCGCGCGGACCGCGCGGCCGCGGACCTCGAGGCGGCCTGCGGCGACGCGCGCCGCCGGCTCAAGGCGCCGTGGCGCGCGTCGGAAAACGCGACGGCGGAGCGCGCGGAGCTCGAGGAATTGGCCGAGGGCGGCGCGCGGCGCGTCGCGCTGCAGCGCGCGCGCGACGACGCCCGGGCGGCGCTCGACGACGCCGAGGGCGCCGCGCGGGCCCTCGAGGCGGCCCTCGAGGGCCGCCTCCGCAAGGAGCGCGACGACCTCCGCGCGGCGCTCGGCCTCGTCGCCGCGGAGGCGTCCCAGGAGGAGGACGACGACGACGGCGGCGACGACGCCATGGACGAGTCCGACGACGAGGGCGCGGCGGCCGAGGGCGAGTCGGCCGCAGCGCGCGCGGACCGCGTCGAGGCGCTCGAGGCCGCGAAGTCGGCGCTCGCCGCGGCGACGTCGGACTACGCCGCGGACGAGGCCGCCGTCGAGGCCGCGGAGCGCGGCGTCGCGTCGGCGGCCCAGGCGGCGCACGCCGACGCCCAGGCCCTCGAGGAGGCGCGCGCCGCGCGGCAGGCGCTCGCGGACGACCTCGCGGACGCGGCGAAGACGGCCGAGAAGCTCGTGTCCCGCCGCGCGGTGCTGCTCCAGCGCCGCGAGGAGAACATGAAGAAGATGCAGCGCGTCGGCGCGCTGCCGGCGCGCGAGGTCGACGCCTTCAAGGACCTCAGCATCGACGAGCTGCTCGCGAACCTCGCGACGTGCAACCGCGACAAGGCGAAATTCGCGCACGTGAACAAGAAGGCGCTGGACCAGTACGTCAACTTCGCGGACCAGCGCGCGCTGCTGCTGGACCGGCGCCGCGAGCTCGACGAGGGCGCGACGGCCATCGAGGACCTCATCCGGACGCTCGACGCCAAAAAGGACGAGGCCATCGACCGGACGTTCCGCGGCGTGTCCAAACACTTCGCGGACGTCTTCTCGGAGCTCGTGCCCGACGGCGAGGCGAAGCTGGTCATGGTCAAGCGGCCCGTCGCCGAGGCGCCGTCCCAGTCCTCGGCGTCGTCGCTCTCCGTGGACGCGGGGCCCTTCGTCGGCGTCCAGGTCGCGGTCCAGTTCCCGGGCGCGGCCGCCGCGCACGCGCACGTGTCCATGAACCAGCTCTCCGGCGGCCAGAAGGCCCTCGTGGCGCTGGCCCTCGTCTTCGCCATCCAGCGCTGCGACCCGGCGCCCTTCTACCTCTTCGACGAGATCGACGCGGCGCTCGACGCGAACCACCGCGCGGCCGTCGCGGCGTTGGTCAAGCGCCAGGCCGCGGCCGAGGACGCGCCCGCGCAGTTCATCACGACGACGTTTCGGCCGGAATTCGTCACCATTCAGCGTCGCGCATACTTTTCCGATCGATTCTCGCGCGTGGAAATCGTACTTCGTAGGTCAACATCGCCGACGCCCACTTCGGCATCTCCCTCCACCACAAGACGTCCAAGCTGCACCACATCTCCAAGGACGACGCGCTCGCCTTCATCACGGAGATCAACGCGACGTCGGCGCCCGCGCCGTGAGGCCCGGCCGACCCCCCTGTGCTGTTGTTGTCGCGTTTAGGGGAGCACTACTAAGGGTGCTCTCTTAGCCCCGGGGCTGGATTATGGCGCGCACGCGGTCGAGCGCTTCTTGGGCGCCTTTGTGGCCTTGTTCCGCCGCCTGTGCGTACCACGTCATCGCTTCGGCGAGATCGATGTCAACGCCCTCACCACCGTACTCATAGCAGATGCCGACGTTGAATTGCGAAAGAATGTGACCTCGTTCGGCGGCGAGCTTGTAGTAGCGGAACGATTCTTCGACGTTCTGCTCCTCATCCAACATAACAGCGAGGCTGAACTGCGCTTTAGCGTAGCCCTGGGCGGCTGATCGCTCATACCAGTGTTTTGCTTCAGTGCGGTCTGGGGCTTGCACGCCGTCTCCTATTCGAAGATTCTGGGCAAGATTAAACTGAGCCGTCGCATCACCCCGGTCCGAAGCCATACGAAACAGCTGGTTTGCCTTCCTTGAGTCGCGCTTGACGCCACATGGTCCTGTATCATAAAGCGACCCTAGGTTGTTCATCGCATCCACGCTCCCGAGCTCCACAGCGCGCTTGAAAAGTTTCGCGGCCCTCTTTCCGGACTTCACGAGGCCGTAGTCGCCGTCGCGGTAACAAATTCCCAAGAATTCGATCGCCTCTGGCACTTCATTCTCCACGTGGCGACGGGTCACAGCCAGTTCCTCTTCGTACTTTAGAGCAGGTTCCCGACAGATAGGACAAGGTTCATCACCGATCTTGTGCCCACACGAATCACAGATCACTCGGCAGCAACATGCACGATACGTAGGCATCTCATTCACGTTCCACTCCTCGAGACAGATCGGGCACCGCGACCCGTACCGCGCCGACAGCGGCGCCCGCTCCGGGTTCGCCTCGCGCCTGATTCGAGCGGCCTCGTGCTCCGCGGCGATGCGCGCACGGGCCTCGTCGGCGCGCGACCGCGGCGCGGGCCCGTAGAAGACGTCCTGCGGCGGGGGCGTCGGCGCCTCCGCCCGCGCCCGGATTTCTTTGCACGCCTTCCGGTGGCCCCGTTCGCGCCAATCGACCTTTTGGCAGGCGACCGAGCAATACTGCGTCGTTCCGCACGGGCATGGGAGCTTCGCTTTCGCCGAGCAAATTGTGCAAAGTGTACGGAGCTTGGCGTTCTTCACTCGGGCCATGCGCTCTTCATACTCGCGCTTCTTCATCATCCACTCAGGCTCGTTCGTCTCGCCGTCTTCGCGCTCCGACATCGCGAGGACCACCTGATGAAGCCTTGCCAGGGACTTGGCGACCCGGACACCGTCCGCGACCGACTCGGCAGGCATGGATGTTAGGCGGTAGCGCGGGGCGGAGGGCGGGGGGGTGGGTTCGGGGCTCTAATTCGCGCCGCGGAGGAGCTTGCGGTCCTGCTCGCCCGCGTCCGCGCACGCGACCGGACAGGCTTCGTGCGCGTAGATGCCGTCGTCGTCCTTCTTGCTCGAGCAGCGGGACGTCTTCTCCGCGATGTAGTCGCAATTCTTGGACGGCTTGCCGTAGTACCACGATGTGCTGTCGGCGACGGCGCAGGAGGCGTCGCAGACCGTGGGACACGCTTCGTGCGCGGACACGTCCTCGTCGTCTTCCTTGGCGCAGCGGACGTCCGGCTTGATTGCGACCCAGTCGCAGTCGCGCTTCTCGTCCTTGTAGAACCAGGAGGCGCTGTTCTCGCACGTGGGCGTCGTGGGGCAGGTCCCGCAGGTCGCCTTGCAGGCTTCGTTTGCGAGCACGCCGTGGTCGTCCTCCTTGCTGTCGCAGCGCCCGAGGCTCTCGGCCACGCGCGCGCAGCCCTTCTCCGGATTGCCGCCGTAGAACCAGCTGACGGAATCCTCGCATCCCGACTCGACCGTGCCGACCGTGGGCACCGGCGTGGCGACAATCGGCGCGGACGTGGGCTTGCTTGTCGGCGCGGACGTGGGCTTCGCCGTCGGCTCGCGGGACGGCTTCGGCGTCGGCGCGGGCGCCTCGCAGACGCCGCAGGAGACGAGGCAGGCGTCTTCGGCGTCGATTCCGTGCTCGTCGTCCTTCTCGCAGCGCTTCGACGGGGACTCCGCGACCCACGCGCAGTCGTACTTGCTCTTCTTGCGGAACCACGAAGTACTGTCCTCGCACACCTCCTCCTCGGGGCACTCGTCGCACGCGACCGGGCAGGCATCGCGGCCCTTCACCTTGTCCAAACCCTTCTTTTTGCACTTGTTCGTGTTCTTGGCCATCCAGTCGCAGTCGTTCTTGCTCTTCCTGAGGAGGGACGGGATCATTTGGTTTGACGCGTCTCTGAACGTAGCGAGCCCGGGAGGAACCGCGGGACGGGATCATTTGGTGGGGTGGGGTAGGATTGAGGGGGACACCGCTGCTGACTTGTAGTACCAGCTCGTGCTGTCCGTGCACGTCTCCTCGGGCTCGTCCTCCTCCTCGTCGTCCTCCTCCGCGTCGTCGTCGGGGCAGTTCGAGCACGTCACCGGGCAGGCGTCCTTGGCCAGGACCCCGTCCTCGTCCTCCTTGGAGTCGCAGCGCGACAGCTTCTCGGCGACCTTGGCGCAGTTCTTGTCCTCGTCGCCGTCGTAGAACCACGTCACGTCGTCCGCGCACGCGGAGGGGCAGTTCGAGCACGTCGCGGGGCAGGCGTCCTTGGCCAGGACCCCGGTGTCGTCCTCCTTGGAGTCGCACCGGGACAACCTGAGGAGGAATAGGATCAGATGGGGAGTAATTGAGGGGTGAGACGCCGCTGGACGGACTTCGCGGCCACGTGCGCGCAGTTCTTGTCGGGCTCGTCGTCGTAGAACCAGGACGTCGAATCTTCGCAGCCCGACTCGACGGCGCCGACCGTCGGCGCCGACGTGGGCTCGGGCGTGGGCTCGGCCGTGGGCTCGGCCGTGGGCTCGGGCGTGGGCTCGGGCGAGGGCCGGGGCGTGGGCCGGGGCGTCGGCGCGGGCGTCGGCGCGGGCGTCGGCGCGGGCGTCGGCTTCGGCGTCGGCTCGGGCGTGGGCTTGGCCGTGGGGGCGAAGACGGGCGCCGCGGACGGGTCGCCGGGGAGCGGGGTCGGCGACGGCGTGGGCTTGGGGGTCGGCTCGGGCGTGGGGTTGGGCGTCGGCTCGGGCGTGGACTCGACCGGCGCGTAAGTCGGCGCGTCGGTGTAGAAGTACGAGTAGGCGTCCATGCGGCGCCGGAGCTCGAGGCGCTCCATGTCCGTGCCCGACGTCCACTGCTCGAGGTACTCGGCGTCCTTGGCGAGGGCCGCCTCGAGCTCCAGGGCCAGGTCCAGCGCCTCGCCGCCGTCCTCCCAGGAGATCTGGTCCAGGTAGGCCGAGGCGCCGAGGGCGAGGGAGGCGGCGCAGGCGAGGGAGAGCTTCATGGCGGCTTGCGGTGGTGGCGTGGGGGCGCGAGGTGGGGTCCGAGGCGATGCCTGGTTGCTTGTTGCTTTGCGTTGTGCGGAGAGTGCCGGGCGCCCATGGTGGTTCCCGGGCGGCGCAGCCCTGAAACTTGATAGGAATTGCGGGAGCCGAAACTTCGGACGTTTCACGGGAAAGTGCACACATATCTTGACCGATTAGTGAAGGGGATGCTGACATGACGATGGTGCGAGGCAGCCCCTGAGCTCTTAGGTCGAGACGCGCGCCTCGGAGCGGAGAGGGAGACGCTCGACGCGGCGCTGGAAAAGCGCCTCGTAGTGGGGCTTGACGCGGCAAGGCGGTAGGAACCATGGCCGAGGACCACTTCACGTCGGCGCTCAAGCTCCGGAGACAGTCGCTGCGCGCGACGCTGTCCCCGAGCGACGACGTCGCGCGGCCGTCGTCGCCGTCCCGCATGCTCTTCCAGAGCGGCGGCGGCTGCTCCGACGTCGCGCGACCGTCGTCGCCGTCCCGCAAGCTCTTCCAGAGCGTCGTCGACGCGCCGTCGTCACCATCGCGAGCGAAACCGCCGCCGCCGCCGCGGCCCGCGCCGCCGCCCACACCGCAGGACAGCGCCCACGAGGTCGCGGTGCTGTCGAAGCTCGCGAAGCGGCAGCGGTCGGCCGTCGAGGCGCTGCTCGGCGACGGCGCCGGCGCGCTCGACGCGTACGACCCGCGCGCGACGGTCGAGCAGCTCGAGGCGCTCGTGCGGGAGCTGGCGAGCGCCGGCGACGACGGCACGGAGTCCGTGCGCCACCAGCTGCGGCTCCTGATTTCCCTGGAGAAGGAGCTCCGCGCGGCGCGGCGCCGCGGCGCGCCGGCCGACGAGGTCGACCGCCGCCTCGGCGACGTCGAGGCGCGCGTCGGCGCCGTCGAGGCGCGCGTCGCGCACCTCGAGAGCACCGTCGCGATCCTCGCCCGCGCGCTCCTCAAAGACCGGCGATAGCGCTAGAGCAGCTTATCCAGCAGGAACGACATGAGGAACCCGAGGAAGAAGCAGCAGTCCACCCACCAGATGTGCCCCTCGTGGCTCTCGTGCGCCTCTAGAAGCAGCTCCTCCGTGACGAGGTAGAGCAGCGCGGCGACGCCGAAGGACACGAGCCCCACGTGCAGCGCGGGCGTCCGCGACACGACGTTCGCCGTCGACGCGCCGAGGACGCCGCCGAGCATGAGGCACGCCGGCGGCAGCGCGATGCTCACGAAGGCGACGGCGCGCGGCTGGCGCCGCAGCGTCGTCGCGAACGTCAGCGACAAGAAGCCCATCTCGATCGTCAGCGCGATGGCCATGATCAATCCCGCGTTCGTGCCCGACGCCGCGGCGACGCCGATCAGGAAGCCGTCGCAGAGCGCGTCGACCAACACGGCGAGCACCATGGTCGTCGGGTACCTGGGGAAGCGCGGCGCCTCCGAGACGACCTCGTAGTCCGCCTCGCACATCGAGTCCTTCATCATGCCCAGCTTGGACTTGGGCGCGTGGCCGGCCTCGGAGCAGGCGCTGTTCGCCGACGACACGGTGCGCAGCCGCGACCGCGTCTCGTCGCCGCCGTCGTCGTCCGCGTCGCCGCAGAACTTGCCGACGACGACGAAGAGGGCGACGCCGAGCGCGAAGCCGACGGCGATGGCCGAGTTGTTCGCGAGGGAGCTCGGCGCCTCGTTGATCACGGGCACGAGCTCGACCTACGGGGGACCGGACTTCTCAACGCGCGCTGGCGAGCATTCCGTGTGCGAAACGCTGGGCTCGACGGCGACGGCGGAGAGCACGATGCCCGCGGCGAGGTGCTGCAGCGCGGCGACGAAGACCGGCGGCGGCTGCACGCACAGGGCGAGGGCCGCGAGAATGATCATGGCCAAGCAGGGCAGCGCGACGAGGGCCAGGGCGTACATGAACGCGTCCATTGGGCTGCTCAGCGAAGTTCAGCTCTCCGGAAACTCCTTCACCTTAGGCTTCAACGAGGCGGGTCGAGGAGGGACGCGTAGTCCGCGGACGCGGCGAAGGGCGCCTCGGCCTCGAAGGTCATCGGGCCGGCCGTGGGCAGGTCCAGGGACAGCCTCGCGGCGTGGAGGCAGAGCCGCGGCGCGCGGCCCGCCGCCTCCTCGGTGCCGTGGAGCGCGTCGCCGAGGAGCGGTAGGCCGATCAGCGCGCAGTGGACGCGGAGCTGCTGCGAGCGGCCCGTCACGGGCTGGAGGCTGAGCAACGAGGACCCATCGTCCCGCTTCTCCAGCAGCGCCCAGTTCGTCCGGCTCCGGCGGCCGCCGTCCGCCTCGGCGACGACGGCGACGCGATTGTGGCCGGCGTCCGTCTTCACCTTGCCGATGGGCTCGTCGACCGTGCCGAAGGTCGCCTCGGGCCAGCCGAGCACGGCGCCGACGTAGCTCTTCTCGACCTCGCGCGCCTCGAACGCCATGCTCAGGCTCCGCAGCGCTCGTTTCGTCTTCGCCGCGACGACGAGCCCCGACGTGTCGCGGTCCAAGCGATGCGCCAGCGTCGTGCTCGCGCCGCGCGTCGCGCGCAGCCGCGTGATGAGCGAATCCTGCTTGTGGTCGCCGCGCCCGGGCACGGCGAGCAGGCCCGAGCCCTTGTCGCACACGATGACCTCGTCGTCCTCGAAGACGACGCGGAACGTCGCCCAGGGCCGCGTCGAGCCGTCGTCGGCGGTCGCGGCAAGGAAGGTGCGATGCCGCGTGACGACGCGGCGCGGCGCAAGCGCTAGCGCACTGGTGAGCATGGCAAGAGGGCGCAGCATTGCAGGACGAGCTTGCGGACGCGGTCGCGGACAAGGCCGCTGCTCAGGGCAACGTGACCACGCTCGAGGCCGAGAACGCCGCGCTCACGGCCGAGCTCGCGGACGCGGTCCGCTCCACTTCTGCCACAACGATGAGGTTTGCCTCGCCACTGCTTCGCTGTCTCGCCGCCTCAAAATCGTCAGAGCGGCACGCCGCGATCCACTCGCTTTTGACACCAGAACTATGAAGTCGGTCGTCGCCGCTGCGCTCCTCGCCGGCTCGGCCGTCGCGCTGACGCCCGCGGGCCGCTCTGGTGCGTGCCGACTCGACGCAAACGCCCCGTGAAACCCTCTCTACCGCAGGCTCCGTCGTCGGCCGCTCGGCGGCCATGTCCGCGGATTACGGCGACTTCGACCAGGGCGTCAAGTCCGTCGCCGCCACGCCCGCCCGCGGCGGCGCGTGATGGAGCCAGCGTCCCCGGAATGAACCCATCCAAAAGGAGTTCGAACCGCGCGCGCCGCCCGCAGCGTGTCCATGTTCATGGGCCTCGACTTCGCGCTGCTCGGCTACTTCTTCTTCTGGTACCTCGGCAACTACTACTACAACATCACGAACAAGCTCGCGCTCAAGGGCTCCGGCGGCTCCAAGGGCTTCCCCATGACCATCGCGTCGCTCCAGCTCGGCGTCGGCGTCGTCTACGCCCTCTTCGCGTGGGTCGCGCCCGACATGCGGTCCATCCCCGCGCTGACGATGGACGACATCGTCGCCATGCTCCCCGTGGCCTTCTGCTCCATGATGGCCCACTGCGCGTCGGTCTTCGCGCTGTCCGCGGGCGCGGTGTCGTTCGGCCAGATCGTCAAGGCCGCGGAGCCCGCGTTCGCGGCGGTGCTGTCCCAGTTCGTCTACGGCAAGCCCATCTCCCAGGCCAAGTGGCTCTGTCTCATCCCCGTCATCGGCGGCGTCATCATCGCGTCCGTCAAGGAGCTCGACTTCGCCGTGTCCGCGCTCGTCGCCGCGTGCTCGGCGAATCTGTTCGCGGCGTTCAAGGGCAACGAGAACAAGAAGCTCATGGAGACGCCGGGCCTCAAGGACCGCCTCGGCTCCGTCGGCAACCAGTTCGCCATCACGTCGCTCCTCGCCTTCCTCATGTCGCTGCCGCTCATGTTCGCGACCGAGGGCGCGAAATTTGGCGAGTTCATGGAGGTCCTCAAGACGAACCCGGCCGTCAAGTCCAACTTCCTCCTGTCGGGCGTCTACTTCTACGGCTACAACGAGCTCGCGACCATGACCATCAAGAAGACGAACGCGATCACGCAGTCCGTCGCGAACACGGCCAAGCGCGTCATCATCATCATCGGCGTCGCGCTCGTCCTCGGCGAGGACCTCCCCTTCGTCAAGCTCCTCGGCTCCGCCATCTGCATCGGCGGCGTCTTCCTCTACTCCGTCATCGACTCGCTCCTCGCCAAGATGTAGAGTCCTATCGCGAATCCAAGACGCGCCGAGCGGCGCCGCCCCCCGGGCCGCGCCGGCGCCCGCGCCCCGCGTGCGTAACGGCCGGGGCGACCGATTCGAAGTTGTTTAGAACGCGAGGCGGCCGCGGACGTCGTCCTTGCCCTGGTCGCGCGCGCGCTTGTGCTTGATGCGCGCGGGCATCTGGGGCTCGTCCTGGTCCGGCGTGTCCTCGACGACGCGGCGCCGCGGCGGCGACGGCTCCGGCGCCGCGGGCGCCGACGTGGGCCCGCTGCGCCGCGCGGCCGCGCCGCCGACGCGGCGCCGCTGCGCGTGCGCCGCGCGCGCGCCGCCGCGCTGGCGCGGCGGCGACGGCGACGCCACGTGCTTGAGCTTGCGCGACGCCGCGGGGCTCGCGGCGGACGCCGACGGCGGCGCGGCCGGCGCCGGCGGCGCCGCGGCGGGCGCGCGCGCGGCGGGCGCGGCGCTCGCACGCCACGGCGGCGGGTCCGCGGCGGCGCGGCGCGGCGCCGCGGCGACCGTCGCGCGGCGCGGCGGCGGCGCGCGGCCCCGCGGCGGCGGGTCCGCGGCGGGCGCGCGGGCGAGGGCCGGCGCGCCGAGGCCGAGCGCGCGGCGCTGCGACGCCGCGCCGAGCGCGCGGAGCGAGCCCGCGCGGTCGAGCGAGCCCGCGCGGCGCAGGGGCTGCGACGCCTCGCGGCGCAGGGGCTGCGATGCCGGCGGCGCCGCCGCGGGCTTCTTGCGCGTCGCCGGCGCCGGCGGCGCCGCGGGCTCCGCGGCGGACGGCGCCGCGCGGCGCGGCCGCTTCGCCGGCGGTTCCTCGGTGTCCGCGGCGCAGAAGTTGGCCCAGCCCTGGGAGTCGTCGTCGTCCTTCTCGCTGTCCTGGGAGCAGTGGATGATGCGGCTCCGGTGGCTCGGCGGCGACGGCTCGTCGACGGACGAGCCGCCGGGCGACGGCTTGGCGCGCTTGGACGGCGGCACCATCGACGGCGGCCGCGCGGGCCAGGCCTCGCCGGTCGACGCCCCCCCGCGGTCGCGGCCCCGCGGCCGGCGCGGCTCGGCGGCGGCGTCGAACTCGAAGGCCCTGCGGAGCCCGGCGAGCGTGCCCGGCGCGAGGCGCCGGAGCGGCGGCGCGAGCGCCGTGTCGAAGAACGACCGCAGCGACGCGTAATCCACGAGGTAGTCGCCGGACCCGCGGGAGCTCGACCGCCGCGGCGGCTCGCACTCGACGTGGGGCGCCTGGAGCGCGAAGGACGCGTTCTCCGCGACGGCCTGCACCGCGCGGGAATCGCGGTCGCTTAAAGCTTTCGGTTGTTTCGCCAGCACGACGCGCAGCAGGATCTGGAGCTCCGCGTCCCGCAGCCGGCGCCGCGTCGCGTCGGCGGACGCCTTCTCGGACCGGGCCCTGGCCGGCGACGCGACTTTCGCGTCCTCGGGCAGCTCCAGGGGCGGCCGGACGCACCGCGCGCGGACCGCGCGCCGGAGCGCGGCCGCGCCGTCGCGCGCGCCGGCCGCGGCGACGCCCGCGAACTCCGTGACGAAGCGCGGCACCCACTCGACGGCGAGGGCGCGCGGCGTCGGCACGCGCCGCGCGACGCTGTCCATGCACGCGCGGTGGACGACGTCGCAGAGCGCGTCCACGGGGTCCGACGCCGCCGACGCGCGGCGCCCCGCGGCCGCGAGGTCCTCGAAGCGCTCGAAGAGCGCGTGCGCGTGGCTCGACCGCCGCGGGCTCTGGTTCTTCGACTGGCGCCGCTGGCTGTCCGGCGTCGACGGCGGGCGGGCTTGTGTCGTGGTGGTTGTTTTGATGTGGTCTTCCATATCGACGTTCCACGCCGTTTCGTGGCGCGCGCGCGCTCACGGGCGTCTAGCGTCGATCGATGGTGGGTGTGGCGATCGTGCCTCGGCTTCCCGAGTTTATTGTGAGGAGATAATCAGTGCCGTTTGAGCCGGTCCATCGCGCCGCTTTGCGCGCCAAAACTCGGTCGGACAAAAAATACGCCAGAGGTCGACGGTGAGGCCGAGGGCGGTGACGGCATCGACACGAGCTGCGCGTGAAGCGGCTTCGGCGCGCGGGAGTCACGGGAGGGAGCACCTAGAACCTCTCTACAGCCACCGCTGCAGCGTCGCATAGCGCCAGGCACCGCGTCGATCGCGTCGGAACCAACTCCGGTGCGGTTTTGCCACAGCATAAAGCAAAGAGAAGATGTTCTCCGCGCTGCGCGGAGGCGCCGTAGCGTTGCGCACGACAACGCTACGACACACAAAGACACACAAATTATTCTACGCGACCACGCCAAACCCGCCCGCCATTTTTCCCGCCGCGCGGCGCCGCGCGTCGACGGCCGCGCCGCCCGGCGACGACGACGACGCCGCGACGAAGAACAAACCCGACCGCCTCCCGACCCCCAAGGACGACGCGACGCTCTCCAAGGCGGCCCCCGAGCTGACCGACGAGCAGAAGAAGAAGCTCGCGGAGCAGTGGGCCGGCTACGTGGACTACATGGGCAACCAGCGCGATAAGGGGTGGAAGACGTAAGTCTTACTAGTAGCCCACGAGCACGACGGGGATGGACCCCGACGCCGTCAGGGCGCCGCCGTAGCCCGAGAAGCCGCCGTCGTCGACGGTGACGTTGATCGCGTCCGCCTCGCCCGCGGCGCAGCCGTCGAGGCTCCAGCACTCGTAGGCCAGCGTGGCGAGCGCCCGGTTGAGGTCCGGCAGCGCGCCGTCGAAGACCGTCCGCCGGTCCTGGGTGCCCTCGCCCTCGAGGAAGGAGAGCGCCGCGTCCGTCGCCGCGAGCGAGACGCGGCCGCGCGCGGACGCGACCGTGACCACGAGCCTCGGCGCCACGCGCAGCCCCGTCGTCGGGTCGACGCCGAAGTTCGTCTCCGTCGCGTCCGGGTCGTCGACGACGGCCGCCTTGCGGATGAGCGTCGGCGTCGCGTCCGGCGCCGCGCCGACGGGGCCCCGGGCGACGACGATCGACGGCGGCAGGTTCCGCTTGCGCACGAAGACCGTCGCGTTGCCGTAGGCCGTGGCGTTGAACCCGCGCACGCAGTCGTCGGCCGTCGCGTTGGGCCCCCGCGTGCCGTCCGTCGCGTTCGCCGCGGGGCACCGCGGCGCGTCGTCCTTCACGGACGCGAACACGATCGCCCGCCCGTGGAAGCCGTCGCGCGCCTCGAAGGACAGGTCCTCCATGGCGCCGTTGAGCTCGTCCCGCGAGCCGCGGAGGTCCAGCTTCGCGTCGCGGACGCCGTCGCCGTCCAGGAGCGTACAACCCCTTAAATCGCCGAGCGTCAAGCCGCCCGCCTCCGGCGGGTCCACGGTCAGCGTCATGTGGAGCGATTCGCCGACGTCGACGTCGTAGACCGCGAAGGCGAGCGTGCGCAGGCGCCGCGGCGCGCCGGAGGTCGCGCGGCCCGCGGCCGCGCCGCCGCGCAATTTCGTCGACCCGCGGCGCGCGGGGTAGTAGAGCGCGGCGCCCAGCGGCGCCAGGGTCCGGGGCCAGGCCGCGTCCAAGACCTCGTCGTCCACGTCGAACAGCGCCTCGGTCTGGTCGTAGACGCGCTTCGTGCCGTGGCGCGTGCCGTCGGATTCGAAGAGCCGCCGCGCGACGGGCGCCTCGAGCGACGAGCCCCGCGCGTCGCCGAGGTCCGACGTCGTCGCGAGGAAGAAGAGGCGGCTCGCCTCCGTCGTCAGCGCCGTGAAGTACTTCGGGCTCGAGCCGCGCGCGCCCGGCCTCAGGTCCTCGAGGAGCCGCGTGTTCGCGCCCGAGCCGTCCGTGACCCAGAGCTCCGCGCCGACGACGCCGTCGTCCGCGGCAAAGTAGGCCCGGCCGTTGAACGCGAAGATGGAGCTCGGGTTCGACGGCTTCGTGCCGGGGCGGATGTCCTTGACGAGGGCCACGTCTAGAGTGGCCGTGTCGTTGCGATATTTCCACGTCGCGCGCCACAGCTCGCGGCCCTCGTGCTTCGTCGACGCCGCGAACAATAAGGTCCCGTCGAGGCAGGCGAGGTGGTCCGGCTGCGAGCCCGGCCGCCCCGCGAAGACGTCCGCGGCGACGCGCGTGCCCGCGCCGCCGACCTCCGGGAACGACGACGGGTGCGCGGCGTCGCCGCGGTCGCGGTCCAGGAAGCCGAGCTTGCCGTCCGAGACCCAGAGCTCGTCGCCGCTGAAGCCGTCGTCGGCGGCGAACCAGAGGAAGCCGCCGCAGGCCGTGAGGTACCTCGGGTGGCTCGGCTCCGGGCCCCGGCGGAGGTCGCCGACCATGCGCGCGGAGCCCCGGCCCGCGTCGTCGTCGGCGACGAAGCGGAAGAGCTCCCGCCCGTGGAACCCGTCGTCCGCCGACATGAACAGGGCCCCGTCGAAGACGGCGAGGTAGCGCGGGTCGCTGTGGGATTCGGGCCCGCCCGGCCTGATCTCCGCGGCGCGGTACGTCTCCGTGCGGCCGTCGGAGACCCAGAGCTCGGCGCCCGTCGGCGACACGCCCGCGTAGGCGCCGTCCTCGATGCACATGATCCCCGCGAACTTGTTCACCCGGAGGTCCACCTTCCCCCTGCGCTTGCGGTCGAGGTCCGGCCGCCGGCCGTCGGGCGACCCGGCCGACTTGTAGCTCCCCGTGATGTGGCTGTCGGAGAAGCGGAAATGCTCGCGCGCCTTGCCGCCCCAGCGGTAGCCCTCCCAGCCGCACTGGTCGTAGTAGACCAGCGGCTCGCTCGTGTCGTCGCCCGTGACCCAGCCCGCGCCCGTGCTCGGCCCGAAGTTCGCGCCCGTGAACGCCGCGTCGCCCTCCGCGGACGTCATCCAGCGGAAGCCCTGGGGGCAGTCGTAGGTCCAGCCCGGCTCCCAGACGTTGTGCTCGGCGACGACGAAGTGGGCCCGCGGCTCGAAGGACGACTGCCGCGCGCTCCCGCAGTCGTCGACGTGGTCCAGCGGCACGCGCCAGTTCCTCGCGTCGTTGCCCCGGGCGCTGAAGTAGAGCAGGTCCCCGTAGGTCGTGACGAAGCGCGGGTCCGACGACCCGGCGCCCGGGAGCACGTCCGCGACGAGGTGGCTGCCCGTGCCGTCGGACGCCCAGAGCTCCGCGCCGCGGCCGCCGTCGCCGTCCGCGGCGAAATACAAACGGTCGTCGAGCTCGCTGAAGAAGCGCGGGCGGCTCGAGCCGCGCGCCGCGAGGTCGCCGACGTTCGCGGACCGCCAGCCGTGCGCCGGGTCGCTGCCCGCGCCCGCGTAGTACGCGTCGTCGACGACGTCGCGCGTGCCGCGCGCGGGCGCGGACCGCCAGAGCTCGGAGCCCGCGTGGGCCGCCTCGTCGGGGGAGGCGTAGGGCGCGTGGGGCTCGAGGCCCGCCTCCATGCGCCGCAGCGCGCCGAAGCGGTCCCGCGGCGCGAACGCGGCGACGTGGCCGAGCTTCGCGTCGACGGCCGACGCGCCGGCGAGCCGCCCGCGGCCCCCGGCGTCGAGGTAGAGCGCGTCGGCGCCGCCGAGCTCGGGCGCCGCGAGCGTCGGCGGGTCGTTGGCCTCGCGGACGCGGATCTTGACGGTCCGCGCGGCCCGCGCGGCGCCGCCGGCGCCGAAGTTGCCCCGGTCGTCGCAGGTCACGGTCACCGTCGCGCCGGAGCCGTGCCAGTCCCGCGCGGGGATGAAGGCCAGGGCCGCCAGCGCCGCGTTCGCCGCGTCGGGCCCGGCGAGGAAGACGACGCGCCGCGCGCCGACGTCGCGCCACGGCTGCCGCGTCTCGTAGGCCGCCGCCGCCGTGTCGTTCCAGGCGCCCCAGTCCGCCGGCTCGAGGAAGAGCACGTCCGGCGCGTCTAGAGCGAAGGCCGCCGCGCCCCGCGTCGCGTCCACGGTGACTTCCAGCGCCGTCGCGTCGCCGCCGGCCTCGGCCGCGTCCGCGTCTCTCACCGAAAACAGCTCCGCGAGCACCAGGGGCTCGTCCTCCGTCGTCACGAGCGCGTCGTCGTCCACGGCGACGACGGCCAGACTCAGGCCGTCGCCCGTCGTCGGCGCCTCGCCCGTCGACGACAGGGGCCTCGCGAGCGTCTCGAGGCGCGCCGCGGCGACGACGGGCGCGTCGTTCGCCGCCGCGACCTGGACGCGCAAAACGGCCTCGTCGCTCGGGGACCCGTCGCCGCTCGGCGGCTCCTCGGAGAGGCGCACGGTGAGCACGTCGTCCTCGCGGCCCGCGGCGTCGGAGTTGTAGTTGAGGTCCGGCCAGTAGTGCGCGTCCCAGAGCGCCCGCGTCAGCGCCGCGGCCGTGCCGCGGAGCGTCGCGTTGCGCCACCAGCGCAGCTGGGGCCGCCCCGTGCGCACGGTCCCGTCGCCGGTGCGAGCCCCCGCCTCGAGGACGGCGTAGGGCTCGAAGGGCGGCGCGCGCACGCCCGCGAGCGCCGCGACGCCACCGCGGCGCCGCGCCTCGAACGCGTAGTCGGGCTCGAGGAAGGACACGCCCGGGCACTTGAGCGCGCACAAACTCACCTTGCCAAAGTGCACGGACACCCGCAGCGTGAGCCGCGCCTCGACCTCGACCTTGGGGCCCTCGAGCGCGTTGGGCACCTCGCGGCCCCGCACCAATTCCCGTATCGCGTCCGCGGCGGTCTCGCCCGCGCGGCCGGCCGCCGCGACGGCGTCCGCGTTCGCCTCGGCGTCGACGTCGCGCACGCGCAGCGTCGGGAGCCGGAAGCGCACGTCTTCCGACGTGAGCAAGGGCGCGTCCTCGAGCGCGGCCGCGGGGCCCCACGCGCCCGTCGGGCCGCCGAAGCCGCCGTAGCGGTAGAGCGGCGCGGCCTCGTCCGCGCGCGCTTCCAGGAAGGGCCGGTCCGGCGCGCGGTCCACGTCCAGGATGATCGTCGCCGCGTCGTCGTGGCCCTTGCCGTCGACGACGGAGATGTTGAGCGCGTCGACGCCGTACCAGTTTTCTTTGGTGACGTACGCGAGCGACCGCATCGCCGCGGTCAATAAGTCCGGCGCGCCCCGGAAGGCCTGGCGCGACCGGAAGACGCCCAGCGGCGCCGCCTCGTCCAGGGCCTGCAGGCCCAGCCCGTCCGCGCCGTCGAACTTCAACAGACCGTTCGTCACCGCGAGCCGCACCTCCAGACGCGGCGCGGTGTACAGAATCTCCGCCTCGTCCGCGTCCGAGAACGTTATGCCCCCAAAGGGATGGCGCACGACGTCCTCGACGAACCCGGCCATGCTCGCGACGGCGACGCGCCGGTCGCAGACGGGCACCTCGTCGGCGTCGCGGCCCGGGTCCTCCGTGCGCCCGCGCGTGCGCCGGAGCGCGCCCTCGGGCCGCGCGACGCAGGGCGATCCGACGCGCGACGCGTTGGGGATCCGCAGCGCCGGCGCGTCGTTCCAGTTCGACGACGGCGCCACGCGCAGCCGGATCGTCGACGACGCCGAGCGGTCGAAGTCGTCGACGTCGTGGACGACGAGCGATAACACGTCGAGCGCGCCCGCGCCCGCCGTCGTGAAGTCGCGCGGCGGAGCATAGCGCAAATCCGCCAACACCGCGTTGATCGCGCTCAGGGGCCCGCGGCAGCGCACGGCGCGGTCCATGTCGCCGTCGCCGACCTCGAAGCGGAGCGACGACGGCGGCGGGAACCCGAGGCTCACGCTGCCCCGGTCCGCGGCGAGGCGTAAAGTGAACGGCGCGTCGGCGTCGTCCGGGTCGACGACCCGCACCCCCCTCAGCCAGACGTCGCCGTCCTCGGGCACCTCGACGGACGCGCCGCCGCCGTAGGCCGAGTCGACGTAGGGCGCGTCGGGCACCGGGGCGACGACGACGGGGATGGTCTTCGCGTCGTGCAACGACGGCGCGAGATCCTCCGCGGAGCCGCGGAAGGCCGGCGAGCAGTCGCGGCAGCCCGCGACGCCGCGCGCGTTCCCGAGGCCGCCGTGCCCCCCGTCCTCCCAGGCGACCGTGAGCGACGCGTTGCCGTGGGCGTCCGGCAGGCCCCGGAAGCGCAGGCCCCGGAGCGCGGCGTCGCGGTCGCCCGGGCGGACGCGCCACCGGACCGCCGCGCGGCGCCAGCGGGACCCCGCGCGGAAGCGGTCGTCGTCCTCGTCGTCGACGCCGTCGTCGACGTCGTCCACGGGCCCGTCGCGCGGGTCCGTGGCGACGGCCGCGCCCGCGCCGAGGACGCCGAGCGCGAACTCGCCGTTCGAGACGGACACGGTCAGCGCGCCGACGGCGTCCGGGAACGCGTCGGCGTCGTCGGCGTCGTCGGCGACGGACACGAGGCTCCCGAGCTCCAAGATCGTGTCCTCGGGCACGGCCATGGGCTTGATGCGCTTCAGGACGAGGTCGCCGCGGACCGCGCCGTCGCGGAACGTGGACCCCGCGAGGTCCGACGCCTCGTAGACCGCGCCGGGCACCTTGACGACGGGCCCGTCGTTGACGGCGTCGACGCGCACCTTGGCGTGGGCCGACCCGACGAGCGGCGCGCAGTCCACGCCCCCGAAGCCGTCCGGCAGGCCGCCGAAGTCGAGGCCGAGGTCCTCCAGGACCAGCTCGACGCGGTCGAGCGCGGGCACGCCCGCGCGGACGGGCGCCGAGAAGTAGTCGCGCCGCGGCGCGTAGCTCACGGCGGCGACGGCCGCCGCGGCGTCGGCGATGGTCGCGCGGAACGCGATGAGCGACTCCGAGACGCCCGACGTGCCCCGGACGAAGCGCAGCGCGCGCCGCGCGCCCTCCTCGATGGTCAGCGAGCCGTTGCCCGCCGTCAGCGTCGCGGACACCAGGGGAAAAAACGTCGCGTCGGACGTCGCGTTGACGGGCGCGCCGCTGACGTCGAGGCCGGCCTCGTAGGCGCGGAGCAGGTTCGCGTGGTCCTCGTCGAAAATGTCGAAGCCGACCGTCGCCGCGGCGTCCTCCGCCGTCGCGTAGGCGCGGGACCGCGGCGCCACCACGGGCGCGTCGCAGGTCGGCCGCACCTCGACGGGCAGCTCCAGCGCGTCCGACCCGTCGCCGCCCGCGCCGCTGTTCCCTCGATCCGACGCGGTGACGAGCACCGCGTCGTCGCCCGCGAAATCCGCGTCGGGCGCGTAGTTGAGCGCCCCGAGAGCCGCGGCGACGGCGTCCGGCTCGCCGGAGAAGCCGAGGAGGCGCGACCCCTCGGCGCCCGCGCTCAGCCGCACGCGGCCGCGGCCGCCCGCGGCCAGCGCCGCGTCGTCCAGGCGCAGCACGCCGCGCGTCGCGACGGCGACGACGTCGATCAAACCGCCGACGACGTCGAGGGCGTCGACGTCGCGCACCGTCGCCCCCAGGTCGCTCGAGGACCCGTCCTCGGCGACGACGAGCGTGTCCGCGCGGAACGTCAACCGCGTCGCCTGGTCGGCCTCGCCCGCGTACGGGTCGCGCGCGCCGCTCCGCACGCTCGCGAGCACGGGCGCGTCGTTGACGGGCTTGACGTAGAATTCGTAGGTCGACGACCCGGAGCGGCCCGTGGCGTCGTAGGCCGCCACCGTGATCGTCTCCAGCGGGCCGTCGCCGTCGACGCGGCCGTCGAAGCCCGCGACGTCCGCGGCTTTCCGCGCCTGCGCGGCCGAGTTCCAGTTGAAGTCGGGCACGTACTGCAGGCCGACTAGAGCCCGGTTCGCCTCCGCGAGCGTGTAGTTGACCAGGGTGTGCTCCTTCTTCCAGTCCGCGTCCTCGGGCGCGTGCGCCGTCGGCAGCGCCACGAAGCCGCGCCGCGCCGCGACGACGAGCGTGTAGCGGTCCCGCACGCGGTGCACGCGGTAGCCGTGGCGGTCGCTCTCGACGTCGCCCGCGTCGACGTGGGCGACGGCGAGGCCCGCCGCGGCCTGCTCGTGGGAGTTCGCGTAGGCGTACGTGCCCTTGGTCGACGACGCGTCCTCGCGGTTCGCCTCGCCGCCGTCGAGGTCCCCAAGTCGCGGCGTCCGCACGTCCAACGTGTCCGCCGACCGCGAGTAGGGCACGAGCCAGCGCCGCGCCGTGCTCCGCAAGTCGACGAGGTCGTCGTCGACGACCGCGAACGCGCCGGCGACGCGGTTCTGCGACGCCTGCGCCGCGGGCCCGCCGAACTGGAGCACCTCGTCCTCGAGAGCGTCGACGCCAAACGTCTCGAGGGCCGCGGGCACGACGACCTGGGGCGCGTCGGCGACGGGCGCGACTTCGAGCGCGATCAGCACCGCCGCGGACCGCGGCCCGCCCGCGCCGTACGCGGCGTCGCCGCCGTCGCTCGCCGTCAGCTCCAGCACGTCGACGCCGTTCCAGTGGGCGTCGGGCGCGTAGGCGAGGGCGCCGAGCGCCGCGCGGACGCCCGCGATCCGCCCCCGGACGACGAGCGTCCGCGACCCCGCAACGGCGTCGCCGTCGACGACCTGCAGGTCGCTAGCGCCGGCGGCCTTGAGCACCGCCGCGGCGCCGGCGCCCGTGCCGGCGCGCAGGTTCAGCTTGCCGAAGCCGACGGTCGCCCGCACCTCGAGGTGCGCGGGCCAGCCGCCGAAGTCGACGCCGGGGAGCGAGTCGAGCGTCGGCGAGTACGCGTCCGCGTCGTCGACGCTCAGCCCGCCCACGCGCACGAAGCCGCAGTCCTCGTCGACGAAGCGCGCCGCGACGACGAGGGACCCGTTGCCGCTGTAGTTGTTCGCGTTGAAGTACGCGGACGCGTCGTGCGCGGAAGCCGTCGACGCGTGGTAGCCGTAGAGCCGCGCGACGCCGCGGCCCGCGACGTCCGCGGCGCCCATCTCCGGCGCGAGGGCGAAGTTTCGCGCCTCCGCGTCGACGGCCCAGACGGGGAAGTCGTTGACCGGGCGCACCCTGACCGCGAGGGATCGAGGCGTCGCTCGAGCGCCGCTCCCGTCGACGGCGTCGAGCGTCACCGCGTCGACGCCGTTGAAGTCGCGGAGCGACACGTAGGTCAACGTCGCGAGCGCGTCGTTGATCGCCGCGAGGGACCCCGTCAACACGAGCTCGTTGTTCTCGTCGTCGCGCGACGAGCGGCCCGCGGCCGGCGCCGTGCGGTTCGCCGGCAGCGGCTCCTTGGCGACGCCCGGGACGCCGGCGTCCTCGTGCCACGTCGTCGCGTCGTCGCGGCGCGCGACAGCGTCGGGGTCCGCGGGCGCGCGGTGCACGGCCAGGATGCCGTGTTTCGCTTTCAGCGTCACGGCGTGGACTTCGCCGGGGTTCGCGTCCGCGTCGCGCAGCGCCAAGCCCAGGAGCCGCCCCTCGGCGTCCTCGTCGACGTCGAGCGCGTAGGTCCCGTAGCCCGCGCCGGACACGTCGACGGCCGCGCCGTACCAGTCGAAGTGGGGGCCGTCGTTCGCGCCGGCGACCGTCACGGTCAAACCCAGATGGTCCGTCGCGCCCGCGGCGTCGGCGACGGCGAGGTCCACGGCGACGACGCCGAAGTAGTCCCCCAGCGGCCGGAAGGCGAGCCCCGCGAGCGCCGCCGTGAGGCTCGCGGGGCTCCCCGACGCGGACACCGCGACGTCGCCCCGGTAGTCGCCGGAGAGCACGGCGAGCGGCGCGCGCGCGACGCCGAGGCGCAGGACGCCCGCGTCGTGCGCGGGCCGCCAGAGGCGCGCGCGCGCGCGGCGCGTCCTCGGGCCCCGCAGGGCCGCCGCGTCGGTCTGCAGCGCCGCGGTCGTCGCGAGCGCGTCGAAGCCTTCGCTCGCGAACGTCAGGCCGTAGGGGTCCCGCTCGAAGGCGACCCAGTAGGCGTAGCCGCCGCCCGCGAGGGGCCCGTCGCGCGCGACGACGAATTCGGCGCCGCGGCCCGCGCCGGGCCGCAGGAACGCCGGGAGCGCCCCGAGCGCGGCCGCGACGTCGTCCTCGGACGCGCCGACGGTCAGCGGCGCGGTCCACTGGCCGTCGTCGCCCCAGCCGAGGCGGAACGTGCCCCCCAGGGGCGGCGCCTCGAGCTCCAGCGCCGTCGACGCGCGGCCGCCCTGGGCGACGCGGCTCCGCACGTTCGCGCGGTTGCCGAGCGACGCGACCTTGGTCTGCGTCGTGTTCGCCGCGGCCCACGCCTCTTCCCGCGCGGCGTCCGCGTCGCTCAGCGACAGGTCGTCGTAGTCCTCGTCGTCGTTGCCCGCGACGGCCTTGACGCGGAGCAGGGGCAGCGCGTGGGGCGCGTCGGAGAAGGTCACGCGCCACGTCACTCGGTTCGAGCTTCCGTGCTCGTGGCGCGTGACGTCGAGGCGCGCGGGCCCCATGTCCCGCCAGTTCGGCAGGCGGAGCAGCTGCGCCTCGACGGACGAGTTCGGGCCGCCGAGCTCGTGGCCGGCGTGGGGCGGGTAGGCCGGGACGACCCGGCCCTCGCGGACCGTCCAGCCGTAGGACTCGTCGTCGAGGTCGCCGACCGCGGCGCGCGGGATGGGGCGCGTCCAGCGCAGCGAGCCCGCCGCGAGGTAGCCGGACCCGCCCGCGCGAGACGAGCAGTTGCGCGTGTCCAGGCCCAGGCGCACGAAGCCCGCGCCGTCGCCGAGCGTCACCGCGTGGACGGCGCGGTCGCCGTCGTGGCCGACTTCGACGCGCCAGAGCGCGGGCGCGCCGGACCGCGCGGTGACCAGCGTCGCCGCCGCCGCGGCGCCCTCGCCCGTGAGGCGGTCGCTCCGTGCTGCCAAATCCACGGTCTTCGCGCGCGCCGTGCCGTTGGCCTCCAGGAAGGGCGCGAGCCCCAGGAACGTCACCGACCACGTAAAGCCGCCCTGCGCGTCCTCGGCGTCGCTCCGCGACGCCCGCACGGCCGCCACGGACGGCAACGCGTTCAAGGCGCGCTGCAGGTCCGCCCCGGACGCGTTGGCCGCCACGCTCGCGCAGCAGAAGCCCGCGACGGCGAGGTCCAAAGTTCCGCCGACGGCGTTCGCGGTCCGCGCGACTCGAGACGCCGCCGCCAGCAGCGACGAGTTGTCCACGGACGCGACCAGCGGCGCCGACGCGGCCCCGGGCGTCGCGCCGCTCATGGTCACGCGCCAGACGTGGCCGCCCTTTTTGGCGGGGGACGGCTTCGCGCCGTCGTAGCGCATGTCCTCCGCGTCGAACGGGTCCTCGGCCGCGTAGTCGTCGCGCGCGGCGACGACCCGCAAGCCGCTCAGGCGCACGTTCGTCAGCGCGCGGAGCTTCGATTCCAGGGATTCGCCGCTGAGGTCGCTCGAGCCGTCGGGCGTCTCGCGGCGCGCGCGGCCCGCGGCGCCGCGGCGCTCGTCGTCGATGCGCGCGACCGCGTCGAAGCGGATGAGGCCCGTCGTCTCCCGCGTCGCCGCGCCCGGCGGCAGGCGCGGGACGTGCCGCAGGTCGACCGTGACGTAGAAGCCGCCGTCGCCCACGGGGTCCGACGCGTTCGACGCGTTCGATACGGAGATGACGTGGACCGCCGGCGCGCGCGCGCCGCCGTTCGCCGCCGTCCGGATCTCGTGGACCTCGAGCGCCCCCTCGGGCCGCGCCGCGGCCCGCAGCTCGAGCGTCGCGTCGTCGAAGTCCGTCGCCGCGACGGCCGGCAGCGCCGCCCAGCCCGAGTCCTCGGCGAACTCCGCGGACCTCAGGTCCGAGGACAGGACCGGCGCGTCGTTGAACGCCGACGCCTCCAGCGCGATGGTCGCCGTCGTTTCGAGGCCGTCGCCGTCCGTCGCCGTGATGGTGATCGCGCCCGCGACGAGCCCGTCCTTGTCGCCCGCGGCGTCGTCGCCGACCCACGCGAGCGTCGACAGCGCCGCGTTGAGCCGCTCGGGGCTCGCGCGGAGCGTCGCGCGCCGCACGACGGCGCCGCGTTCGCTCCAGAGGTCGTCGCCGTAGTCGACGTCGGGCACGCGGTCCACCGTGCGCACGCCGCCGCCGGCCGCGACGACGGTCACGGCGAGCACGTCGCTGTCCGGGTCCTCGAATTCGACGCCGGCGACGGGCGTCTCGCGCTTCGTGCCGTTGCGGCCCAGGGCGACGCCGCGGAAGGCCTCGGCGTAGCGCACGGTCGCGGGCGCGGTGATCCGCGGCGCGTCCTTGACGGACGCGACGGCTATCGGCACCGCGAGCGCGCCCGTGAGCGCCTCGCAGCTTTGGTCGTCGCAGGGGAACGCGCCGCCGTCGTCGACGGAAAAGTCGACGACGTCGCCGCCGTCGCCGTCGGGCGCCGACGTGTACACGAGACTCGCGAGCGCCGCCGTGAGCTCGCCCGGCCGGCCCGCGAGCGTCAAGGAGCCCGCGTCGTCGTCGACGAGGGACGCGCCCGCGGCGGCCGCGGCCCAGGTCCCGCCCGCGAGGGCTACGGACCCGCGCCGCGCGGAGACGCGCAGCGTGCAGTAGAGCGACGGCGCGGCGGCGACGGCCGCGTCGTCGTAGTCCGCGTCGACGACGGACACGCCCGTCAGCGCGAGCGGCGCGTCTTCGTCGACCTCCCGCGCGCCGTGGAAGCCGTCGACGACCGCGGGCGCGTCCTGGAGGGCGCGGACGCGCAGGAGGAAGGACGTCGAGGCGAGGATCGCCGCCTCGTCCTCGGCGGCGGCGACGGAGAGGGCCACGCGCGCGAAGCCGTGCCAGTCCGGCGCCGGGAGGAGTTCGACGTCGTCGAACGCGACGGCGAGGTCGCCGGCGAGGCCCCGGAGCTCCCCGTCGTCTAAGATGACATCCGGGTGGTCGCCGACGAGCGCGAAGGCGACGGCCGCGTCGTCCGCAGACAGCGAGATAACGAGGCTCGCGGCCGTCGAGTCCGCGTCGGAGAACGCCGCGACGCGCGGCGACGGCGTCCGCCGCGCGTCGGCGCCGATGCCCGACCGCAGGCCGCCGCCGAGGCGCACGGCGGCGTCCTCGAGCGCGTCGACGGCGCCCGTGGCGCCGTCGACGGCCGGCCCGAGGTCGAAGGTCGGCGCGTCGTCGACGAACGCGACGCGGATGACAGCCGCCGCGGCGTCGCGCGCGCCGTGTGCGTCCTCGGCGACGAAGTCGATCACGCCCAGGCCGTCGAAGTGCGGCGGCGGCACGTAGCGCAGGCCGTCGAGCGCGCGGTTCACGCCGTCGAGCGAGCCCGAGACGTTGAGCGCGGCGCTCGCCGCGGGCCAGGCGCCGCCGCCGCTCGCCGTGGAGATGCGCACGCCCGCGGGCGCGCCGCCGAGGACCAGGGCGCTGCCCGGCGGGTGGGCCGCGAGGAAGACGGCGACGCCCTCGCCGTCCGCGGCGTCGTCGGCGTCCGCGTCCGCGACGACGACGCCGCGGACGGCCGCGGGCACGTCCTCGTCCGTGAACCACTCGGCGTCGTCGGCGCGGTAGGTCGCCGCGCCGCGCCAGAGGGGGCCCAGGAGGCGCGGGACGTCGTTGACCGGCGCGCTCGTCACTCCGCACGTCGCGGACGTCGCCTCGCCCGCGGCTTCGCCGTCGAAGGTCGCGACCGCGGTCAGGGAGAAGGTCGCGAACTCGAGGCCCGGCCGCGCCGGCGTGTAGACGAGGGCGCCGCTCGCGACGAGGTCCCGGAGCTGGCGCGGGTGCGCGAGCGCGACGGCGTTCCTCCCGGACGCGCGGAACTCGCCGCGCGGGAACTCCGTCGCGTTCGCCTGCGCCCGCAGCGCCACGGCGCCCCCGTGGCTCGTCGTCCAGGAGAGGCGCAGGAAGGGGCCCTCGGGCGCGCCGCCGACGAGCGTCAGGTTGAGCGCCGCGGCGCCGTCCTCGTCCGCGGCCGCGGCGCCGCACGCGGCGACGACGGGCGCCCGCGGCGCGCCGACGGCGACGGGAAAGGTCGCCAAAGCGGATCGGAGCGCGCCGTCGTCGGCCCGGGCCGTGAGGGCGTCGGCGCCGGCGACGTCCGGCGGCGCGTAGGTCACGCCGCAGGCCGCGAGCAGGTCTCGGAGGCGGTGCGGCGCCGCGCGGAGCCGCAGCGTCTTCGCGGGCGCCGGGGCCCAGGCCGCGCTCCAGTTCGTCGCCGGCGCCTCGACGACGACGCCCGCGGCCTCGGCGGCGAGGGGCGCGAGCACGAGCGCGCCGCGCTCTGCCGTCAGGGAGAGCGCGACCGCGCCGTCGCCGTCGGCCTCGACGACGGAGAGCGCCGCGAGGACGCACCGGGCGCCGCCGCCGGCGACGACGTCGAGCGCCGCCGCGGCGTCCCGCGCCGCGGCGACGCCCGCGAGCTCCGGCGCGTCGTTCGCCGCCTCGATGACGACGGGCACGGCCGCCGACGCGAACTCGCCGGCGGCGGAGCGGACCGTGACCGTAATCTCGTCGCTGCCGTGGAAATCGACGTCCGGCTCGTAGACGAGGCCCGAGCTCGCCGTGGTGAGGGAGACGGCGCTCGTTCCGGCCACGCAGCAGAGCAGCAGCCCCAACCATCGGGCTGCGCGCGCCATACTGGTCCGCTCGGCCGCTGCTATGAAACTTCAGTGCTCGTGAAGTGCTCGATCACCGAGATCTCGTCGCGAACGATGACGAGGATGTCCGTGGTCCGGCTCTGGGCCGCGGCGTTCGTCGTCGCGTGCGCGTCGGCGTACGTTTCGCCGCCGCGACCACGCGCCGCCGTACGCCGCTCCTTCGCCGACGTCGTCCACGACGTCTACCTGCCCGAGAACGACGACGACGTCGGCGTTTTGCCCGAGAACGACGACGACGTCGGCGTGTACGACGACGACGCCGAGCGCGACGACGCCGGCTCGTTCACGGGCCCGCGGTGGCGCGTCGTGGCGGCCTGGGCGCGCTGGGAGCGGTCGGGCCTCTTCGACCACGTCGCGCCGGCGGACCTCGAGGCGCTCCGCGACCTGCTCGCCGCGGCCGCGCCCGCGGCGGCGGCCGACGGCGCCGAGTTCCTCGAGTCGGCGCTCGAGGCGCGCCTCGAGGTCGTCGAGGCCCTGCTGACCATCGGCGCCGACGGCGAGGCCTGCCGCGCGGCGTTCCTGAGCGCCGGCTACGCGGACGGCGCGGACGCGCCGCTCGTCGGGGACGTCCTGCGGTTCCGCGAGCTCGTCAGCCGGCCCGTGGGCGAGCGCGCCGGCGCGGAGCTGGCCCTCCGCGGGGACCGGGCCATCGACGCCTGGCTGGCCATCGACGAGTACGCCATGCGCGTCCGGCGGCGCGCGGCGATGGAGGCGTCCGACGGGCGGGCCGTGCTGGCGGAGCTCGCGACGACGGCCGTGGCCCTACGACGGTTGGACCCCCTGCGGCGGCGCAACGTGGCGCTGCAGGCGGTCCACGTGCACCTCCCGCTGGGCGAGCTCCTCAAGGAAGCGCAGAAGGGCGGCTTCCTGTTTCGCGACGGCCCCTTCGCGTCTCTCTTGGACGAGATCGAGGACCGGTCCTACTCGACGCTCTTCCCGGAGACCTACGCCCACGTGCGCGCCAACGCCCTGCGCGCGCGGAACGTCGTGAATGACCCCGCGGCCTTCGCCGCGGAGTGCCGCGCGAAGATCGCGGAGACGCTCGCGAAGGCCGAGGGCGCGCGCGACGCGTTCTTTCCGGCGGAGAAGACCGCGCTCGCGAAGCCCGGCGGCGACGTCGGCTGCGCTCTGGCCCTGCCGCTGGCGACGCTGCTCGAGCGGCGGCTCCTCGTCGAGGCGCGCGTCAAGTCGCCCGCGTCGGCGCTGCGGAAGATGCTCCGGCAGAAGAACCGCGGCGCGGTCCGCGACGTCATCGGCCTACGCGTCGTCGTCCTCGGGCCCGGGGGCTCGTCGATGATGGGGCCCGGCGCCGCCGACGAGCCGTCGGCGGCGGCGCTCTACGCCGTCGCCGACGCGCTGCGCTGCCTCGGCGCAGAGCTGCGCGACCGCTTCAAGGACTACGTCGCGTACCCGAAAGCGTCCGGCTACCGGTCGCTCCACGCGACGCTCGTCCGCGACGACGGCCTCTGCCTCGAGGCGCAGGTGCGGTCGAAGCAGATGCACTGGGACGCGACCTTCGGCGCCGCGTCGCACGCGAAGTACACCGTCGAGCGCCGCGACGCCGCGCTCGCGGGCGACGTCGACCTGCCGCGCGCGCTCCCGCCGCCCGCCGCCGTCGAGGCCGCGGAGCTCCCGCCGCCCGCCGCCGTCGAGACCGTCGAGGCCGTCGACGCCGCGCGCCCGGCTTTGCCCCCGGCGCCACCGGCGCTGGTCGTACGACGGCCCGCGCGCGGCGACGCCGACCGAGGCCGCGCTCGACGAGTCCGGCGAGGCGCCGCGCGCCGCGGGTTCCGGCTCCGACGCGCGGCCCTGCCCCCGGCGAGGTAAGACCTGCTTTTTTAGTGGGGCAGGGACCAGAAGGAAACGACGGAGAGCGCGACGTCGCGCGGGAGCCGTCGGTTGCAGCGCGAGACCACGCCCAGGCAGCGGTCCCGGTGTCGCCGCGCGCGCGCGGCCCAGCCGCCGTCGTTGACTATTTCGATGAGGTAGTCGTTGAGGGCCTTGTTTTGTTGGAGGACGTCGTCGTGTTTCAAGACCTTGACGCAGGCGCCGGCGCGGAGGAGGAACAGGACAGTGGGCTTCACACCGTGGAACAGTGCTCCAGCTAGCAGGGTCATACCCGTGCCGTTCTTCGCTTCTATGTTGGCGCCGTGCGACAGGAGTAATTGTATGAGTCCTATGGCCTTGCCAACATTCTCTTCTACCATAGTTTCGACCGCCATATGCAGAACGATATCGCCGCTCCGCATGCTGCGGTTGACGGTTCTTTGGTTGACGTCCGCGTTCGCTTCCAAAAGACAACGAACACAGGCTATGATTTCGCTGAGAGTTTTTGCCCTGGCCCCGGCGCCATGTCTATAACAGACCAGGTCCAGTGGCGCGTCCCCGCCACCGTCTATGCGGTTCGGATCGGCTCCTGCCGCCAAGAGTGCTTTGCACATACGCTCGCATCCGATATACGCGGCGTACGTTAGCAGCGTAAATTCATCGTCTTCGGCGCGCCGGTCACTGGAGAGATTCACGTCCACGCCGCGTGCGAGCGCCTGGTGCAGCTTCTCTTCGTCATCCTCCTCGACCGCGTTGAATGCGTTTATTATGTGCGCACGGTGGCGCGCTGTTGCGCGTGCTGCTTCCATTAGTGTTGTTGTCGCACACGGTTCGACGTCGCGCACGGCCCGGCCCGGCTCTCAAACCCCGTGCGGCGCGCAGGGCTCGACTCCGGCGTCGACGCTGTTCAGAGTCGGCGCGAGCGCGCGATTTGCGCGGCCCACCTCGAGGCTGGGCGCGCTTAGCCAAAGTTGATTGCACCTTTCGACGTTTCCCAAGCAGCCCCGCGACTTCGCGCGAAAGAAGCCATGGAGGGGCCGCCCGTGGACCAGCGGCGTCTCGTCCGGGTAGGCCGCGGGCAGCGACGGGAGCGGCGCGTCGCCGGCCGCGTCCTCCCGTCGCGGCGCGGCCTCGTCCATTGGCTCTGCTTCCTGGCGGCAATCACGAATGCGCAGCCGCAAGGCGGCGGCGGCGGCGGTGGCTCGCCCGGCGGCGGCGGCTCGTCGAGCTCGAGCTGCGCCACGGACGGAACGTCCGCCGCATACGAGGAGACGATCGGCACGTCCGGCGGCGTCGCCACGCGCACGATCGTCACAACGACCTGCCCGAACCACGAGTCGATGTGCACGGGCAAGGACGGCGTCAGCGGCTGCGGCGCCATCGGCGCCAACGGCGACTCGACGGAGGCGAGCGACCAGGACGTGACCAAAGTCGTCCCCGCGTCGCCGGTCCTCAAGACGCGCTACACGGCGGACGACACGAAGTGCGAGATGGGCGAAATCGCCTACGCGTTGAACGGCGTGTCGATCTTCTCCGGCGCCGTCGAGAGCGGCGTCTTCATGAAGGCTGTCGAGAGGTCGGGAACGCCGCGCTTCGTAGGTCGAGAGCGACTGCTCGATCCTCGACGTCACCGACAGCATGGCGGAATGGACGTCCTTCGACTGCTGCTCCGGTCATGCGGAGCTCACGGGCATGTAGCGCGTCCTCCCGCGTCCTTTCGTCGCCGTCGTACTCACCCGTGTTTTTCCGTAGCCACTACCACTTCCCGCCGTCGTGCTTGCTCGCGCAGCTCGACGACTATAGCGACGGCCACAGCCCCCAGATTGGCTGGTCATTCGACGGCTTCCCCATCTACGGGCCCCTGGGCCCCGGCGGCGTCGAGATCGCCAACTGCGGCGTAAACGGCGCGGACGCGACCTACTGCCAGGACGAGTGCGGCGGCTACGAGGGCGAGCTCGCGGGCGTCGACGACTTCACGTACCGCTACTACTTCACGGGCGCGACGTCAGACCTCGACAGCCTGCCGAGCGACCCGAAGCCCGACGACGCGACCTTGTACTTTCCCTTCACGATCAACTGCTACCGGGGCTGCACCTACGACGAGATGAGCGCGGGCTCCTGCTCCGGCACGTCCGGCGTCACGGACGCCTACGTCGCTTCCGCGACCCCGGGAGTCACGGACCCGTTCCCGGCTGTCTGCCTCGACGGCATCACCGACTACTCCGACGACGACGGCGCGCCCCCGACGCCGAGCCCCGTCGCGCCGACGCCGCGGCCGTCGTCGCCGCCGACGCCGCGGCCGTCGTCGCCGCCGACGGTCGCGCCCGTCGCGCCGACGCCGCGGCCGTCGTCGCCGCCGACGCTGCGCCCGTCCGCGGCGCCGACGCCCGCTCCCACCGTCGCGCCCGGCCAGCCCACGCCCGCGCCCGTCGCGGCCACGCCGAGCCCGACGGTCGCGCCGGGCGGCCCGACGGCGGCGCCCGTCGTTCCGACCGCGGCGCCCGTCGCCCCGACGGCCGCGCCCGCGGCCGCGCCGACGGCGGGTCCCGTCGTCGCGCCGACGCCCGCCCCGACGCCCGCGCCGACGCCCGCGCCGGCGCCCTGGGTGTCCTGCGGCGTGCGCATGCGCCTCGCGGGCCTCGACGTCGCCGCGTTCCGAAACCCGGCCTTCGAGGCCGCGTTCGAGGCGGCCGTCGCGGACGTCCTGGGCCTCGCGGCGGACAACGTCGCGAACGTCGCCGCGGAACTCGCGGACAGGCGGCGCCTCGACGGCGCCGTCGTCGCGACGTTCGACGTGACCGCGCGGTCGACGGCGTCCGCGGAGGCCTTCAGCGCCGCCGTCGCCGCGGACCTCGAGGGCGCCGCCGACGCGGACTTCGCGGAGGCGCTGGACGCCGAGGCCGCGGCGACGGGCGACGCCGGCGCCCAGGCCGCCGCGGCGAGCCTCGAGGAGGTCCTCGACGTCGACGCGGCGCCCTACGCGCCGCCGACGCCGAGCCCGACGGCCGAGCGCGAGAAGAAGAAGACGAAGCGGCGGATCCTGGGCCTGCCGGGCCAGCTCGCGCTCGTCCTCTTCGCCGCGGCCGTCGCGCTCATCGGCATCTGCGGCTGCTGGTACGCGTGCGCGGGCTCGGGCGAGGAGCCCGAAAGGGAGAGCTCCCCGGACGTCGAGCTCAACGACGTCTACAAGCAGCCCAAGAAGACGACGCGCGAGGTCGTCTAGAGGGGGGATCGAAGGATATCGTTATCACAGGTCCTTCTGGAGGCGCGAGAACGTCGCCTGGAGCCGCTCGTAGCGCGCGGTCGCGTCGTCCCGCCGCTCGACGCGCGGCCGCGGCGCCGGCCGCGGCGCGGGCGCCGGCGGCGGCGCCTCGTCGTCGTCGTCGTCGTCGTCGTCGTCGGACCAGAACGTCTTCGGCTCGTCGCGCTTCGGCGGCGGCGGCGGCGGCGGCGGCGGCGCGGGCTCGGGCCGCTTGTTGTCGTCGTCGAGCGGCCGGCGCCGCGGCGCGTCGAAGAGCGCGTCGACGCGCTTCGCCGCCGCGGCGCTGTGGACGCGCGCGCGGAGCGCGAGGCACTCGTCGCGGAGCGCCTGGGCGTTGCGCGTCTCCGCGTCCGCGCGGCGCTCCGCGTCGTGCCGCCGCTTCTCCAAGTCGCGGCGCTGCTTGCCGTGCCTCTTCCGCTGCTCCGCGAGCTGGTCCACGAGCTCCTGCTCGCGCTGGGCGGCGGCCCGCGCCTTCTCCGCGAGGGACTCGGCGCGGTCGTCCTTGCGGCCGTGGGCCTCGCGCGCGCGCTGGAGCCGCGTCGCCGCGGCGTCGCGGTCCTTCGTCACGGCGCCCAGCGCGGCCTCGAGCGCGGCCGCGGACGCCTCCGCGTCCTCGGCGCGCTGCCGCTCCTCGGCGACGCGCTTGCGCAGGGCCGCGCCGAGCTCGACGGCGCGCTTCTCGCGGCGCCGCGCGTCCGCGACGTCCGACCGCAAGTCCTCCATCTTTTTCCGCGCGGTCCGCGCGGCCGCGCCCGACTCGTCCGCGGCGGGCTGGGCCGCGCGGAACGGCGCGGCGGGCGGCGGCTCCTGCCGCGCGTGCGTCACGGCCTGGGCGAGCGTCGCGCACCGCGCGCGGCTCCGCGCGAGGTCGTCGCGCGCGAGCTCGAGCTCTTCTTTGAGCCGCGCGTTCGAGTCGCCGAGCTCGCGCACGGACCGCGACAGGCCCGCGCAGCGCAGCCGGAGCTCGCTCTGCTTCTTCGCGTCGCGCTCGCGCCGGCTCGCGGCGTCGCGCCGGTCCTCGAAGCGCAGGGCCGCGCGCTGGTGCTGCGGCCGTCGCCGGAAGTCGTCGGCGAACGCCTCGTCCTCCCAGGCCGGCGCGGGCCTCTCGCTCGACGCGACGGACTCGCGGCTCGCGCGCAGGGGCTCCTGGCGCATCGGCTCCGGCTCCGCCTCGAGCAGGCGCCGCGGCGGCGGCTCCTCGCGCCGCGCGGCCGCGGCCGCGGCCGGCGCCGGCCCGCCGAGCGTCGCCTCCTGCCGCGCGAGGAACTCGTCGATGAGCGCGCCGTCGTCGCCGACGTGCAGGCCGGGCAGCGAGCAGTCCGAGCCGTCGTCGTCCGGAGGCATCTCGCGCCCGTTGAGCAGCGCGACGACGTCCATGTTACAGTTTAGCTCCGTTTCGTCTCGTGGAGGCGTGCGAACGCGTCGCGCGCGCGCGGTTGCGCACGTAGTGGTTTCGCGGCGTTCCGAAGCCGTGTGCGCACGCGAGCGGTGGTGAGCGCGCTCGCGCCGACGCCGCGTCGTTGGTGAGCTGCGACGGTTCAGCTCGAGCTCGTTCGAACCGGGCTCGTGTGGGCTGCCGTCGTCCGCCGCGTCCGACCGATCCGACCACCCGAGGCGTCACCCGACGCGACGCGGCGACGATGAGACGACCGACGCCCCGCCCCGCAGCCAGAAAAAAAAAAACGAAGCGAAGCGACAGTACTACATGATCGTGCAGGCCTTGGAGGCGATGCCCGAGCCCGGGATGAGGGACTCGATGATGGACGTCTTCTCGGACTTGCTGTTCTCGATGGCGTCGCGGAGCCTCAGGTTCGACTGCTCCTGGACGAGGAGCTTCTGCTGGAGGTCGACGTACTCCTGCTTGATCTTGTTGATGTGGCCCATCGTGTCGAAGTGGAGCCGGATCACGAACTTGACCATCTCGGAGTCGTCCCGGAGCTCCTCGGGGACCATGTGGAGCTTGTCGTTCTCCGAGCAGTCCAGGACGTCCAGCGTCTCGAGGCCGCCGATCTCGTAGGGCAGCATCTCGAGCTTGTTGTGCTTGAGGCGGATGCTATGGAGCGCGACCAGACCGCCGAGCGTCGACGGCACCGTGATCAATCGGTTGTACTCGGCCTACGAAAACATACGAATCGGTGCTGGAATTTCACGATTCGCGCGCGCGGCGCCGCGGACGTTGAGCTCCTCGAGGAAGAAGAGGTTGCCGACCTCCTTGGGCAGCTCCTCGAGCTTGTTGTGGTCGACGTAGAGGACCCGGAGCCGCGTGCACTTGCCGATGGCCTTGGGCAGCGTCTCGAGCATGTTGTGGGACCTAGAGGAGTGGTGTTCCAAGAGCGCCGCGGTTTTATTTCCCCGCCGCGCCGCCGCGCACACGTCGAGCTTGAGCATGAACGTCAGGCTCCCGATGGCCCGCGGCAGCGCGGAGAGGTTGTTGTGCTCGAGCTGGACCCGCTTCGCCTGCGTGTCCAGCGGGTGCTCGTCGAGCGTGCGCCAGCCGCGCATCGCGAGGTCGATGACCCCGGGCTCGGTCGTGAGGTCGTCCTCGTCGAGCATGGTTCATATACGTTTTCAGTGTTTTGGCCGTCTGTTTTTTTGTCGCGATGCGTCGGCGCGCGCCGCGGCGCGGGCGCGGCCCCGCGGCGGCGCTGGGTGGCGAGGGCTGCGGGCGGGCTGCGCCTGGCCCAGCCCCACCGGCAGCAGCAGCAGCGCTCCGCGGTTTGGGGTGATACTGAAGGCATGGTTACGGTACACGACCCCCGGCGCCCGGACTAGGGTAAATAGCCTAACTCAGCTCTCGCCGCCTTGTCCTTTGCTGTCGCCGATCGATCAGCCTCGCCGTGCCGCGCCGCGTCCGTCGACTACGCGCGCCTTTGGGGGTTGCCGACGTCTTGCCGTGGTTCTGTCCGACGCGCCGCGCCGACGCCGACGAGCCGCAACGAAGCCGCGAGCGCATGCCGCATCGCCGTCGCCGACGTCCTGCGCGGCACCGCTCCTCAAGCGGCGCGCGCTGGGGCTCGGGACGCGGTCGCGGACGGCGCGGTGGGTTTCTGCGGCGTTTCGGCGGCTCGGTGGCGGCGCGGCGGAACGACCGCGGGCGGGGCGTCGCCCCCTCGCGCGCGCGCGCGCTCTCCCAACCGAAGTCGAAGCCCAACTCCCCTCCCCTAGGTTACGATGAAGCTGAACATCGCGTGCCCGTCGACGGGGGCCCAGAAGTTCCTCGAGATCGATGACGAGAAGAAGCTGCGCGCGCTCTACGACCGCCGCATCTCGCAGGAGGTCGACGGCGAGGCGCTCGGCGAGGAATTCGCGGGCTACGTCTTCCGCATCACGGGCGGCAACGACAAGCAGGGCTTCCCCATGAAGCAGGGCGTGCTCTGCAACCACCGCGTGCGCCTGCTCCTCCGCGCCGGCGCGTCGTGCTACCGGCAGCGCCGCGCGGGCGAGCGCAAGCGCAAGTCGGTCCGCGGCTGCATCGTCGGCGCGGACCTCGCGGTGCTCAATTTGGTCGTCGTCAAGCAGGGCGACGCCGACATCGAGGGCCTCACGGACACGCCCGTCGCCGTGCGCCTCGGCCCCAAGCGCGCGAACAAGATCCGCAAGCTCTTTGCGCTCACCAAGGACGACGACGTCCGCAAGTACGTCATCGCGCGCAAGTTCGAGAACAAGAAGGGCAAGTCCGTCACCAAGGCGCCCAAGATCCAGCGCCTCATCACGCCCCTCTGCCTCCAGCGCAAGCGCGACCGCAAGCGCGTCAAGATGGCCGCGATCACCAAGGCCAAGGCCGAGGCCGTCGAGTACAACCGCGTCAAGACGATGCGCATGCAGGAGCAGAAGGACGCGCGCCGCTCGGCCATCTCCAAGCGCCGCAGCTCCCGCAAGTCCAAGACCCAGGCCACGGAGGCGTAGGGCGGTTGTCGGAACCGCCCCTCGCTCGTGTCTCGCGTCCGATCCCGCGGGTCCGATCGCGCGCCGCCGGGCGCGCGCGCTAAGGGACCGCACAAAAAGCCTGGCGTCTCGGGGGGCTGCGGTCGAGGTCGCGTACTCGGCACACGCCGGCGGCGTCGAAGCCGCGCGGCGTCGCGGCCGCCGAGCCGAGGCCCGGCACCCCTACCGTTAGTGGTCGAGGGGCGTGAAGGCGAGCCCGAGCTTGACCTCGCCGCGCGCGCGGCGCGCGGAGTTCTTCACGATGCCGAGGTTCACGGAGCCCCGGAGCGCGCGGCGGAGCGACTTCTTCAGGCCCGCCGCGGCGCCCGCGGACTGGCGCACGTTGAGGTTGCGGTCGCGGTCGCTGAGGTGGACCCAGACGCCGCCGTCCGCCGTGGACATGGCCGGCGGCGGGCCGCCGCCCCGGAGGTGGCCGAGGGGCACGTCCGCGCCGCCGACGTGCTCGAGGTCGAGGAAGACGTCGACGTGGAGCGCCGCGGCCCCGTCCCAGCAGAGCATGAGGTCCTGCGCCGCGTCCCAGCAGATGGGCGACGCGCCGCGCTCGCCCCTAAAGTTCGCGACGGACCGCACGGTCTGGTCGCCGAGGCGCAGCACGGCCGTGAGCTTCGTCGCGGGCGACAGCGCCGTCTTGCCGACGTCCAAAAGGTCGCGCGCGGCGCTCAGCTTGCAGGCGACGAAGCCGACGAACTCGACGCCGCCCGCGCCCGCCGCCAGCGCGCCGCCGGGCGCCGCGCGGAGCGCCGCGGGCTTCCGCCGCCGCCGGAGGAAGCCGCGGCGCTCGTACTTCTCCCGGACGTAGCGCTCGCGGTAGTCGCGGCCCTCGGCCGCGTGGGGCTTGGGCCACGCGGCCGGCACGTGGAACTCGAATTTCTCGTTGACCGCGCCGTTGCCCCGCGCCGCCACGCGCCGCAGCCGCGCCGGCGTCCACCTAAGAACGCTTCGGTGAGTCTTTCGAAAATGAAGTCGAGACGCCGCCGCGCACTGGGCGTCGTCGAGGCGACAAGAAAGCACCAAACTCAAGTGCGCGCCGAGGCTCCGGTGGACGCCGCTGCAGGCCGTGCACACGAAGCAGCCGAGCGTCGTCGACGCCCACGTGGGCTCGTCGGCGCCGCAGTCCGCGCAGGCCTGGTTCTCGGTGCGCGCGAGGAGCTCGCCGAGGACGTCGCGGGGCGCGCGGGCGCCGCCGCGGTCGTCGTCGTCGTCGGACGCGTCGCTCCCGTCGCTCTCGTCGTCCGACGAGTCGCCGACGGTCCGGAAGCCCGAGAACGAGCGCTCGAACCCGGCCGCGTGGGCCTCCCGGAGCTCCGCGAAGGTGACGCGCTTCGCCGCCGGCGCGTCGCCGTCGGACTCGGAGTCGGCGTCGGCGAGCGCGGCGACGACGTCGGGCCGCTTTTCGCGCAGGTAGGCGACGACGGCCGCGACGCCGGCCGCGTCGCCGAGGAGCTCGTCGAGGACGGCCTCGGCGCGCGGCGGCGCCGCGGCGCGCGCGTCGCGCTCGTCGATCGGCGCGGCGCGGAGCTCCTCCGGCGCGTCGGCCTCGTCGTCGCTCTCGCCGGCCTCGGTGAAGGCCGCCGACGGCGGCGGCGGCCGCGGCGGCAGCGGCGGCGGCGTCCGCGCCGGCTCGTCGACTTCCGCGCCGAAGAGCAGGTCCGCCAGCGACGACTTTCGCGGCGTCGCGGCCTCCTCTTCGGCCGGATTCTGCTGGTCCATGGGCTGCCCTGCGGCTCAACTTCAGGTTGTTGACGCTGCGGAGCCGCGAAGGTGCACCGAGACCGGCTTCGTCTGCTGCTGCTGCCAACAGCGCCACTGCCGCGCGCCGTCACCGACGCCATGGACCCCGTCGGCGAGGCCGGCGCCTTCCTGCAGTCCTACGGCTGGTACTGCGTCGGCGCCGCGCTCGTCGTCGTCTTCGTCGTGCGGCCAAAGCTCGAGGAGCTGAGCCACGCGCGGTCCCTCGCGGCGGCGCAGAACCCGGCGCGCCGCGAGGCGCTGGACCGGAAACGGCGGGAGGTCGTCGACCGACAGCAGCACACGCTGGCCGAGGACGTCAAGAACAACCCGCCGCCGCCGAAGCCGAAGCCGAAGCCGAGGCCGAAGCCGGCGCCGGCCGCGTTCGAGGGCGGCTCCGGCGGGCTCCGCGGGTTCGCCGGCGGCGGCGGCTACCAGCCGACGCGGCGCACGCGCCCGGGCGGCGGCGGCGGCTGAGGCTAGGACCCGCGCCCGAGAGGCGCGCGAGCGACGCGACCCCGTCCGCGCGGGCGAAATGACGGCGGCGGCTCACCACCCCGAGCCGCCGCCCGAGCCGCCGCGCGACCTAAGGCGGGAGCGCACCCTGCTGGCGACCGGATCTTAGACGAAAAAGGGGGAGAGCGGGGGGAACGTCCGCTCAGATGGAGCCGGTCTCGAGGATGTCCCGCTGGACCATCTCCGCGGCGCGCGCGTCGTCGCTGAGGAGCTTGAGCTGGCACTCGGCGCCGTGGAGCTTGGCCCGGAGGGAGACGGACTCGGTCTCCCAGTCCGCGTGGACGTCCGCGATGTCCTTGCGGAGCGCCGCCTTCTTCGCCTCGTGGCCGTCGATCTGGTCGTCGACGAGGATGATCTCGTTCTTCGCGAGGTCGAGGACGTGGGGCAGGCACTTGAGCCCGTCGATCTTGATGTCGTCGCCCGCGGCGGCCAGCGCGTCGGCGACGGAGAACTTGGCGGACTCGTGGCGCGCGAGCACGTGCTCGTCCGCGTCGAGCGCGTGGCGGAGCTTCGTGCCGTGCGTCGACGCCGCGTGGTCCTTCAGCGCGCCCTGGGCCGCCTTCAGGTCCGCCTCGGCGGCGCCGAGCACGTCGCGCGCGCGGGACTGGGCGTCCGACGCCTCCTCGAGGTCGCCGGCCGTCGCCTCGCGCGCGGCCTCGCACGACGCGAGGTCGCGGCGCGCGGCCGACGCGGCGGCCTTGAGCTCGTCGCGGCGCTTGAGGGAGCCGACGTGGACGCGCGTCAGCGCCGACTCGCCGGAGACGGCGTTCTCGAGCTCGTTGGCCAGGAGCCGCTCGAGGCGCGCGTCCTCCTTGCGGGAACGCGCGAGCTCGTCGTCGATGGCGGCCGCCGCGGACGCGTAGGTCGACACGAGGCGGTGGCCCGGCGCGCTGCCCGCGCGGCTCGGCATGCGGCCCGTCGTCGCGTCCGGGAGCTGCTGCGGCGGCGGCTCGGACACGTCCTCGGGGCCGCCGGTCTCGTCGCGCGCGGGCGCCTCGGGCGGCGTCGCGGCGTCCGCGTCGTCGTCGAAGACGAGGAGCTTGGCGAGCGCGTGGACGGCGGCGGCCTCGTCGCGGCGCCGCGACGCCTCGACGGCGAGCAGCGTCGCGCGCGCCTTGGACGCGCGGCGGTGCTCGGCCGCGAGGCGGTCCGCGTCCTCGCGCGTCTTCGCCGCCTGGTCCTTGTCGCGGCCGCCCCGGGGCAGCTCGCCCCGCTCGAGGTTCGTCCAGGCCTCGAGGGCGCGCGTCGCCTCGTGCGCCGCGGCCGCCGCGTCCGCCTGGCGGCTGCTGAGCCGCGCGCGCGCGCGCGACGCGCGCTCCTCCGCGGCGCCCATGCGCTCGGCCGCGGCGCGGTGCGACGCCGCGGCGGCGTCGACGGCGCGCTCGAGGAGGTCCGACTTGGCCTCGAAGGCCGCCTTCTCCGCGGCGTGGCGGTCGCGGCCCGCGGCGACGTCGTCGCGCGCCCGGTCCGCGGTCTCGCCCGCGCGGCGCACCTCGTCGCGGAGCCGCTCGCGGTGCGCGGCGGCGGCCTCGCGCACCTCGGCGCGCCGGTCGCTCTCCAGCGTCTGCTCCTCGACGAAGCTCTCGAGCGCGGACCGCCGCGCGCGGAGCGCGGCGACGGCGCGCGACTCCTTGGCGGACTCGAGCTCCGACTCGCCCAAGAGCGCGGCGATGGCCGCCTCGCGCTCGCGCAGCGTCGCCTTGAGCGCCTCGCGCTCCTTCGTGACGGCGGCGGCGTTGGCCTCGGCGACGAGGCGCCGCGTCCGCGCGGCGCGCGCGATCGCCGCGTCGCCCGATCCCTGCGCCTCGCCGCGGCCGTACAAGCCCTCGCCGGCGCCGTCGCCGTCCTCGAAGAAGTCGGCGAAGGCCTCGGACTGGACCGCCGCCAGGTTCTCGTAGGCGCCGACGAGCCAGGCCTCCCAGGCCCGGCGCCGCGCCTCGACCGCGTCCGCGCGCGCCCGGGCCCGGTCGGCGTCGGCCTTGGCCTTCGCGGCCTTGTCCTCCATGGAGAACATGGTGGACATGTAGGGGAAGGTCGCCTTCTCGGCCGCCGCCTTCTCCACGAGGGGCTCCACGGCGCCCGCCGCGTCCGGCGGCGCCGCGGCGTAGTCGACCTGCTGCTTGAGCATGTGGGCCAGATCATAAAGATGGGCCTCGGACACGCCGTGGCGCACGACCTACCAAGTGCGACGGGGTCGGATTTCTTCACATCTTCAGGCGAAATTCACGCGAAAAAGCACTCCTGTCGCTCGACGCTGCGCACGACCATGTCGCGCTCGAGGACGTCGAAGGCCACGGGCAGGTTCTTCAGGGGCGCCGCGACGGCGAGGCGCACGGACGCCGTCCCGGCGCCGCCCTTGGGGCGCGGCGACGACGGATCCATGCTGTTCGACGATAACCAGCTATGCCGCAGGCGAGGCGGCCGAACCAGCCCCGGCCGTGGCGAGAAGTGGATATTGCTGGCAATGGACTGGTGCATCGAGCTGAAGATGGCGCGACGGCGCAAACCGATGGGCGACAGCGCAAACCTCTCTCGGTTTCGATGCCTCTCGATGCCTCGTTGCTTTTTGTCCACAGCTCATTGAGCGATGGAGCTGTCACTGCCTAGGATCGCGCTGCCCACTGCCATTCTCGTCGCTACCCTGGTTGCCACCATCCACTTGCTATGAAAACAAACACGATGCCTTGCGCCGCCTTCGCCAACGCCAAGGAGCAGGCCCTGACGAAGTGCGACAAGTCGAGCGCCGGCCGCATCGACCCGCGCGCCGTGTCCGTCTGCGGCGCCGTCAACGACAGCGCCTGGCTCTTCACGCTGTCGTCCTGCAGCGGGCGCTGCTACCTCTGGCGCGGCGAGGGCGTCAAGGCGACGGCGGCCTTCAGCCGGGGCCGCGTGAGCCACGACCGCGTCGACGCCGCGTACTTTTTGGCCGCGGACGCGCGCGAGGAGCACGCGAGCTTCGCCGCGGCGCCGCTCGGCGCCGAGCGGACCGACGGCGGCGCGCTCTGGCTCCGCTTCGAGCCGTTCATCCTGCACGTGCGCTGCGCGGACGCGGCCGCCGCGAACGCTTTGATGCGGTCGGCGCGGACCGTGTTCAAGAACGTGGGCCTCCAGTCCGCGAACTTCACGGCCGACGGCGTCTGCGTGGCGATCGTCGGCGACGAGGGCCTGGACATGCCGCTGCGCGACGAAGACGGCCAAAGTCTGTTCCGCGACCGCCACGTCGACTGGCTGACCGCGTTGGTCAACGACAAGCACGACCGCAACTGGGCGAAGATCGCGCGCTTCGAGGCGGACCTGCGCGCGGCGCTGGCCGCGTTCGAGGCGGCGCGCGAGGACGACGACGACGGCGCGCCGTCGGCGGGCGGCAAGCTGCGCTACGACGCCGTCGGCGACGTCGCGTGCCTGCGGCGGCCGCTCCGCGACGGCGAGGACGGCGCGGCCGTCGCGGCGCGCGCGCTCGCGTCCAACGCGAAGCTGCGCGTCGTCGTCGCGCCGGCGGCGGGCCAGACGCTCGCGTCGGGCGGCGCGGCCTGCGCGCCGTCGGAGCCGTTCGCGATCCTCGGCGGGGGCAGGCGGTCGCCGCTCGTGACGACGCACAAAGAGCACGACGTCGCCATCGTCGTCGATCTCAATTCTTGCTTCTTCTCGCCGCGCCTCGCCACGGAGCGCCTGCGCATCTCCAAGGCCGTCGGGCGCGGGGAGCGCGTGCTCTGTCTCTTCGCGGGCTGCGGGCCCGAGGCGCTGCTCATCGCGGCGAAGACGGCGTGCGAAAGGGTCGTCGCCGTGGAGTCGAACGCCGTCGCGACGGCCTGCCTCGCGCGGTCGCGGCAGACGCTCCGGCGCAGCAAGGGGGATCGTGTGGCGGACAAGCTCGAGATCGTCACGGACGACGCGCTTTTGGAGCTGCGGCGCCGCGCGGATTCGGGCGAGACGTTCGACCGCGTCACCTGCCCGCGGCCCAAGGGCCGGCGCGACGGCGACCGCGTCGACGGCGACGCGGACGACGCCGACGACGGCGGCGACGGCGGCGGCGGGCCCGACGGCGCGCTCTTTTTGCGGGCGCTGCTGCCGCTGCTGACGCCGACGTCCGTCGTCCACTGGACGGACTTCGCGGCGGACCGCGAGCTGCCGGACTGCGCGCGGACGCGGGCGTTCCTCGAGCGCGAGTGCGCGGCCTTTGGCGCGGGCTGCCACGTCCTCCACTGCGCGCGCGCGGGCACGTCGTCCGTCGCCGCGCGCCAGTACCGCGTCACCGTCGACTTCCGCCTGGGAGACGCGGGCCCGCGCGCGCCGTCGGTCCACCCGCACAACCTGCCCCTGCGCGGCACGCAGCGGCCGCGGGACTAAATGGAGGGTTGCTAGTTTGCTCTCTCTGGAGAAAAAGACGACTGCCAATTTTACGACCCCGCGCTACAACTCCGCGTCGAGATCGATGACCTCCTCGTCCTCGTTCTCGGCGGCGGCGTCGTCGTCGACGCCGTCGTCCGCCTCGACGGTCTCGGCCGTCGCCTCGGCGCTCGCGTCGGGCGTCGGCGCCTCGTCCCGCTTCTCCTGCTTCGCCGGTTTCGGCGGCGGTTTCGCCTTCTCTTTCTTCGGTTTCGGGGGCTGCGCGTCGCGCAGCAGCGCCGGGTACTTGGCCGCGAGCTTCAGGAGGAGCGCGGCGTACTTGGCGGGCTTGTCGGCCTTGTCGACGAGAGCCTCGAGCTTCGCGCCGTCGACGTCCGTGCCGTTGTAGCGCCGGTAGACGTGCTCGAGGATCTGCGTCCTCCGCTTCGCCGCCTCGGCGCCGCGCGGGACGCACTCGCAGCGCTTCTTCTGCTCCGCGGCGTGGCCCGGGCAGCCCTCGCGCCAGGGCGCCTCGCCGCCCATCTTCGCGTCCGCGTGGCACTGGTCCGCGTCGTCGAGGTCGTCGACGGCGTCGCACGCCGCGGCGGCGCACGAGGCGAAGTCCGCCGTGCAGAGCTCCTCCGTCGCGCCGCAGAGGCCCGCGCAGGCGTCGCGCGCGAAGCAGCAGGGCGCGAGCGCCGGCGACACGCCGTCGGGGCAGGTGCCGTCCTCGCGCGGGTTGAAGTAGGGCGACCGCGGCACCATGTCCTTCTTCCCGTAGCACTTGAATTCCTTGCATTTCTTCGGCTTGGCGGCATTGATAGCTTGCAGGGAGGCGAAAGCGACGATTGCATAGAGTGCGGCGTACATGGTTGGGCGTCTATCTTGCGCGAATCGACGACACATCTCGCACTGCAACTTCGGCGATGGCTTTGGGTGAAGGGATGGAGCAGGACATCCTGGATGTGAGCTGCCTTGCAGATTTGGTTACCACCGACGTCGACGGCGTCCGATTCGTCGGCTCGAATCGACCGCTCCCGGGGCGGGAGCATGGCCGACGACGCAGCGACGGATGATTGGGAGCCCGTGGAGCGGCGGCGCCGCTCCACGTCCGCGGGCTCCTTCGACGACCTGAGCGAGCCGGAGCCGGAGCTGAGCCGCGCGGCGCGGCGCAACATGGAGCGCCGCCGGCGCCGCCGGGCGGAGAAGGCCGCGGAGGAGCCGGCGGCCGACGCCGCGCGCGCGCCGACGGAGGCCGACGCCGAGCGGGCCCTGCGCAAGGTCGAGAAGGCGCTCCGCGGCATCGCCGCGCTCGACGCGCGCCTCGAGGCCGACGAGCGATTGACGGACGAGGAGCGCGCGAAGCTCTCGCGGCGCGACGCCGCGGAGGCCGCGAGGGCGGCCTGGTCGGCGCTGCTCCTCGGCTTCGAGCTGAAGCGCCAGCGCGCCGACGCCATCTACGCGGCCCTCGAGAACGTGCGATTCGAGGACGCGTTCGAGTGCGCGTGCTGCCGCGAGGTGCTCGAGCTGCCCGTGGCCCTGCCCTGCCGCCACGAGTTCTGCCGCGCCTGCGTCGCCGGCGTCGCGAAGCGCGCCAAGCGCGCGAGCGACGTCAAGTGCCCCGTGTGCCGCGCGCCGTTCTACGACGGCGCGGCGAAGAGCTGTACGGTCGTGGTGGCGGCGGCGACGCGGGCCCGGCTCAAGAAGCGCGCGGGGACCTGCCACTGCGGCGCGAAGGTGCCCCTGTCCCAGCTCCGCGAGCACCTGCGGGGCTGCGGCGACGCGGGCCGCTACCATTCGCCGCGCGAGCACCTGGGCCACGAGCTCTGCCCGCCGCCGGACTTTTCCGCGGCCATCGCGGGCGGCGGCGAAAGCGAGGAGCCGTCGAGCCCGCGCGACGACGACCTCCAGGACGCGCTCCTGCGGCGCTTCCGCGTCGAGCCCGCGGCGCCGCGGCCGCCGCGCGCCGAGGAGCCCGAGGCGACGCCCGAGGCGCCGACGCCGCCGCGGCGCAAGCGCGCGGCCTGGCGGCCGCTGAGCGCCGCCGCGGCGCCCGCGCCGCCGCCGCCGCCGCCGCGGGCCGCGCCCCGGGGCTGGGGCGCCGCGCCCGCGGCCAAGGCCGACCTCCGGTCCGTCATGGCCGGAGCGACGACGGCGACGGCGGCGAGGACTCCCTCCTCGCGGGCGAGGACGACCTCCGGTCCGTCGTGGCCGGCTTCTTCCTCGCCGCCGGACTCGCCGACGACCGGCGTGCCGCTGTCGGCGTTCCTCCGCGGCGACAAGAAGCCGCCCGCGCCGACGCCCGCGCCCTGGAGCGCGAGCAAGGCCGCGGCGTCGTCGTCCGTCCGCGCGATCGTCGCCGACGAGAAGCGGGAGGCCGCGAAGAAGAAGGCGACCTGGGCCGGCGTCGCCAAGTAGGCCGTGTGTATAGCCCTGTTTTTAGAGTACGACGATCCTTCTTAATACGCGTACTCGTCGCCGCCCCCTTCGTCCGCGTCGTCGAACTGGCCGGGCGCGCCCATCGGCAGCGCCGGCTGCGGCACCCCCGGGTCCACCGTGAGCATGTCGTCGAAGCGCCGCAGCATGGCCGCCGCGGCGTCGTCGTCGATGCCCAGGTCGTCCTCGAGGCCGACGCCGCGCATGAGCGCGCCGTCGTCGCCCAGCGAGATCATCGCGTCGTCGTCGTCCTCCTCCTCGTCGCTGTCCGGGTTCAGCATCGCGGCCCGGGAGAAGGCGTCGAAGAGGTCCTGGAGCGCGTCGCCGTCGGCCGGCGCGAAGAAGAGCTCCGTCGGGTGCGACGGGTCCTCGGGGAAGTCGTCGAGCAGCAGCTGCGCGTAGAGGCACGGCTCGGGGAACGTCTCGGGATCGCGCGTGATCGCGTGGAGGCCCACGTGGCGCACGCGCACGGCGAAGCCGCCCATGGCCGGGTCCGCCGCGTCGGCCGGCGGCGGCGCGTCGCGCTGCCAGAGCGCGCGCTGCGACGTGATGCGCAGCGCGCCCCGGCCCCAGGCCTCGAGCTCGCGGCCCTCCTCGGGGTCCTGGCGGGCCACGGAGCAGCCCACGCCGTCGAGCGCGTGGAGCAGCTCCTCGTCCTTGGCGAGCGCCGCGTCCCCGTTGGAGCACGGCTGCAAAGGCGACCGGAGGAACATGAGGGCCATCTGAGTACGATGGCGCGACGGCGGGCGCGTCGAGTATGAGGGACGTCTGAGTACAAGTCGCGAGCTCAGCTGCTTGCGCTGAAGATCTGCCTTACGGCGATGGTGCGCGCGGTCAAGGTCGCGTAGGGCGTAATAGCACTGGATGCCTCCGTCGGGGTCGCGCCGCGGTGGCCGCATGATGACCGGGTCTGCCCGAGGGGGCATAAGGACTCGCCGACTGCTCGAAGCCGGCTCGATGCCGCATCGCGGCCCCGGGGCCCCGGGGGGCTGCCCAGTGAACGCGATGGAGGAGCAAAAGGACTGTCGATCGCCGCGTTCCGAGGCCGCTTTGCCTTCGCCCGCGCCGAGCCCGCGCGGCGCCGTCTGGTCGAACCGGTCGCGGAGCAGCACGCCGGCGAGCACGCCGCGCGGCGACGCGTCGGGCGGCGGCGAGGCGCCGCTCGCGGAGGAGCCGAAGAAGCCAGCGAAGCCAGCGGCTCCGGCGCCACGCCCGGGGAGGCCGCCCGGGCGCCGAAGAAGAAGAAGCCGTCGCCGCCGCCGGCGCCGCCGCGGCCCGAGGAGCCGGCGCCGCCGGCGGCGACCTCGTGGGCCGCCGCCGCCGCCGCGGTGCCGCCGCCCGCGCGCGCGCCGCCGCCGGAGCCCGCGCGGCCGCCGCCGCCGAAGAAGGCGCCCGCGGCGCCGCCGAAGCGCGCGCCGCCGCCGCCGAGGGCGCCCGCGCCGCCGCCCAAGGCGCCCGCGCCGCCGCCGCCGCGGCCTCCGGCGCGGCGCGAGCCGACGCCGGCGGAGGCCATGGAGGTCGTCAAGAGCAAGCGCGGCCACGGCGCGCTGTCCGCCGAGGCCGCGAGGGCGCGCAAGGCCGCCGTCGACATCCACCGGCGCGCCGTGAACCGCTGGGAGGGCCTCGAGGCCGAGGACGCGCCCGCGCCCGCGCCGCGGCGCCGGCCCGCGGCCGCGAAGGACGCCGTCCGCAAGCCGCCGCCCGTCGACGTCGCGCCGCCGCCGAAGAGGGCGCCCGCGCCGAAGAAGGCCGCGAGGAAGAAGAAGGCCGACGACGACGCCGCGTGCCTGCGCGAGTACGACGGCGACCGCGACCTCCGCGAGCGGTTTTTCGGCTGCCTCTCCGTCGTCGTCGCGCTGCTCGTCTGGGGCGCGCCGGCCCTCGCGTACGTCGCCCGGGAGCCCCACGAGCTCAGCGCGGCGCGCTTCCACGACGTCTTCCCGAAGCCGGCGGATTTGGCCATCCTGCGCCCGCCCCACGAGGGCCTCACGACGGACCCCATGGTCGAGTGGCAGTTCGGCGACGCCCTGGGCCGCGCGGCGGCGAACGGCGCCGTCGACGTCGAGGTCTGGCTCGACCGGGGCATGCTGCTCGGCGGCGACGCGGGCCGCGTGCAGATCCCGCCGCAGGCGCGCGCCAGGGGCTCGAGCGACCCCGAGCCCTACCGCCTCACCTACGACCTCGGCAGCCTCCAGATGGGCATCCACAACGTCACGGTCGTCCTACGATCCGCGGAGGCGCCGCCGCGCTTCGCCCCCGTCCGGAACACGTCCCTCTTCCTCACGCCCCGCGTCGAGCGGGACGCGGACGCCGCGGCCGCGCCCTAAACGTGGGACGGAGGACGGGGATAGCATATCCCGCCGGGGCGACGACGAGGGCAACGGGGACGGCTGGTGTCTCTCGCGGCCGCGCGCCGCCGCCGGCGGCAGACCACGAAGCGGATGTTTAATGGCCTATCCTGTCGGGGGCAGCGCGAGAGAAACGTACTATAGGGCCTAGCACTCGTCGCAGGCGACGGGACACGCTACCTTGCTCTTGATGCCACTGGCATCCTTGACCTTGCTCTTGCAGCGCTTCGATTTTTTGGCGACGAAGGAGCAATCATTCTTTGACTTCTTCGAATACCACGAGGTGCTGTCGACACACGACCCCGGACATGTTCCACAAGCGACGGGGCACGCTTCAGCGCTTGTCACGTCAGTTTCGTCTTTGACCTTGGACTTGCAACGCGACGACTTCTTCGCAACGTAAGAGCAGTCCCGCTTTGCCTTTTTATAGTACCAGCTCGTCGAGTCAGTGCACTCGTCGTCGTCCCCAGAGCAGATCCCGCACGCCACCGGGCAATTGGCTTCGAGCTCGGATGAAAACCAGTAGAAGTCGCAGGACCAACCGACCCATGCGTCACAGCTGTCTCCATACACGGGGTCCGTGTAGGACGCCGAATCCTCGCACGATCCATCCATCGACTCGAGCGAGGGCTTGGGCGAGGGCTTGGGCGAGGGCTTGGGCGAGGGCCGGGGCGTGGGCCGGGGCGTGGGCCGGGGCGTGGGCCGGGGCGTAGGCCGGGGCGTGGGCTTGGGAGTGGTGTCCCAGCCGATGTCATCATTGACACACGCGCACCCAGAGCAGTCACAGCCGTAGTCCGACTCGAGCTCTTCGCACGTGTTGCCCCCCCAGTAGTCGCACGTATAGCCAGCGCAGCTCGAGTAGAGACACGAGCCAGAAACATCGTCATCGTCGTCGTCGTCGTCGTCGTCGTCGTCGTCGTCATCGTCGTCGTCGTCGTCGTCATCGTAGTAATAGTCGCATGCACATCCAGAGCAGTCGCAGCCGTAGTCCGACTCGAGCTCCTCGCAGGAGTAGCCGTGCTGGTTCCAATGTTCACACGTCTCGTCTTGGCAGGTCGACGGACACGAGCCGCCGCCACCGCCGTCGTCACCGCCGTAGCCGTCACCAGCGCATGCACATCCAGAGCAGTCGCAGCCGTAGTCCGACTCGAGTTCTTCGCAGGAGTAGCCGTACTGGTTCCAATGTTCACACGTCTCGTCTTGGCAGGTCGACGGGCACGAGCCGCCGCCGCCACCGTCGCCGCCGCCACCGCCGTAGAACGGGAGCTGCATGCTGCTGCTCGGGATCCACGAACCACCCCCGCTCGTGGACGAGTCTGAGTATCCGTCGCCAGCCGCCGTGGAATAGGTCAGTCCATGTTGTAAGCAAAACCAATTGCCGCGCGAGCATGCACAGCTTGCCCAGCCGCAATGACATGCCCCATCGCAGGAACATCGGTATCCAACGCCTGCCGATGGATCTTGATCGTAGCCCGCAGGATCGTAATGGGATCCATACGGCACCGCGTGATACCATTGGCCCGGCGGCATGGACGTCACAAAATCTTGGGAATGGTAGAATCTGACACCTTGGAGTGAACAAGCTGAGGTAGTGCCGGTGTTCGTTCGCGGCGCTCCAAATGTCACTACGCCGTTCTCACCGTAGCCATCCAATCCAAGAACCTCGTAGTTGAATTGACCATAAAGCGATGCTGCTGCCCCACCAAGCGAATGCCCGACCACGAAATCGAAATCATTGCCGCATTGGCTGCTGAGCCATGATCGTTCGGCATTGATGTCATCCTCGAGAGCCTCCATGTATGTAAGGAACCCGTCGTGAACGGTCACACCATTTCTGGATGTCTCGGCAGCATCGAGGTTGTCTATCCAGTCGGCTTGGTCATCTGACCCTCGAAAGGCAAGCGCGACGACGCCGTCTCGCATCATGATCTTCGCCACCGAGGAGCCAATGTATTGACCGAACCCGTTGTACCAGTACTCCTCGATGTGTTCTCCTGCGCGCGCGCGCGTCGCGTCGCGCGCGCGATGCCGCGCGGCGGAGAGGACGCAGGCGGGCGCGTTCAAGCCAGCCTTCGAAGCTGGCATAACCACCACCAGGCTGATATGCGAATTGGGCAGCGTCACGCAGGCCCGAATAAGAGACTCGGCGCGATCCAGACGTGTCGGGGCATGCTACTTGAACCTCGACGCCCGTCGCCCACTCAAGCACGGTCCCCCCTGCGCGGTTGCTTGTGCCGCGAGAAAAGATGGTTCCATCGAAGAGAATCCTTGAGTGGTTCGACGGCGCCGCGCGCAGGTACTCCCGAGCTTCGCGCGGGAGCCGCGCCTTTCCAAAGAGACCGTCGTCGGCCTCTGGCAGCTGCGCCAGACTCGGACGGTGCACCCGACCCTCAAGTGCTACTGCATCGCCTAGCTCTTGCGCGCTGCCCATAACGACGAAGAATCCGAGCATGATCGCGTGGAGCCGAGCCACGGCGCAGCCTGCTTGGCCGATGTACGTCGGCGGCGAAGCTCCCTGCGGCACCGCGGCGGAGGCAGCGCCGGCCTTCTCGAGGTCGTTCTTGGCATGCTTCTTGCTCATCGTCTCGCGTGCGGTGTTGGGGAGCGGTGTTGATGGGGAGTGCGAGGACCTGGTGCGGACGCGGGCCGCGCAGTCGCGATTGGATCTTGAAGGCTTGTTGACCATCAACGAGACGGCAACATGCACGTCCGCAACCCCCCGCGTCGAGCGGGACGCGGACGCCGCGGGCGCGCCGTAACTTAGAACTCGGGATAGCCCGTCGGCAGGTCGAGCATGGCCTCCCAGTCCGCGAGGGCCATGGTGATCCAGCCGCCCTCGGCGTGGACGCCGTCGTGCTCGTGGTCGGCGCCGTAGATCTGGACGCCGTTGAGCAGGACCGACGGCGTCGCGAAGATCCCGTTGCTCTGGCCGTACTTGAGGGACCGCTTCGTGAACGTGTAGGACGGCGGGCCGGATTCCATGTCGCTCTCGACGTTCTTGCGGAGCTCGTCGCCGGGGATGCCGAGCGGCGCCGCGAGGAGCGCGACGAGCGCGTCGATGATGTCCGTCGTCGTGCCGTTGACGAGCGCGAGCGTCTTGACGTCGTGCTGGTTCGTGCCGCTGTACATGACGTCGACGCATTTCACGAACGTCGCCGACGAGTTCGTCAGGAGCGCGGCCGCGGTGCAGGCCTGGGCCGGGATCCACGTCCCAAAGTTATAGGGCAGCGGGAAGAGCTGGATGCGGATATCGACGTCGGGCCTCTTCGCGGCCAGGGCCTTGAGCGTCGGCCACGTGGCCTTGGAATCCTCGCAGAACATGTCGAGGAACACGTCCATGGTCTGGCTCGCGTAGGACGACCGCGGCACCATGCTGAAGCCCGTGCGAGCGCCCCGCGCGTGGTAGGGCACCTGCGGCAGGTTGTCGCCCGCGGCGGCGGCGGCCGCGAGCGCGAGTAATCCGAGCTTCATCGCAGAATGGGCTGCCTATTTCCAGGTCGATGGTGCACAGCAGCATTCCTGCAAGTTACCGTAGCTAGGCGTCGTTCTTCGTGACCTTGATGTCCGCGTCCGTGGCGACGAGGGCGTAGCCGGCGTCGAGGGCGAGCTCGGGCTCCGTGAAGGCGACGTGGAGGTGGTAGCCCGCGACGTCCGCGTCGATGACGGGAAGCGCGAAGCCCGCGCCGAGGAACGCGTTGAGCTTGGGCAGCGCGACGTCGTTGACGATCGCGACGGCGGGCTTGGAGATCTCCGCGAGGAACGCGGGCCCGATGTCGCCGAAGTGTGACTCGCCCGCCGCGAGGTCGAGGTCGACCTCCGCGACCGTCGCGTTGACCTTGGCCGCGCCGTCCGCGTCCGTGTAGGCGGCCGCGGCCGCGGTCGTCGAGAAGGGCCCCGTCAGCGTGAACGCCTCGACGGGATCGTCCGTCGCGTTCGCCGGCGCGACGACAAAGGTCAGGTCCACGCGCGACGCGTTGACGAGGGCACGGCCCGCGGCGAGCTCCACGGTCGGCGGCGCGCCGGCCGCGCGGATCCGGAGCGTCAGGTTCCGGTCCGGGTACGCGTCGTGCAGCTTCGGCATGAGCACCCGATACAGCGCCGAGTTCGTGGACAGCACGTCGACGTCGTACCACTTGCCGGCGGGCACCAAAGTCCGGGGCACGTCGTAGGCGAGGGCGCCCTGCGCGAAGAACGTCCACAGCGCCGTGTTCACCGGGAAGGCCGTCGCAACTACCGACGCGTCGCGCGCCGACATGTCGACCTCCGGGAGCTCCGGCGCGGCGAGCCCGGACTTGGTGCCGTCTTCCTCGAAGGCCTCGGCCACGACGTCGGCGTACAGCGTCGGGTCCGTCTCCGCGGGCGGCGGCGCCGCCAGGTGGTAGTCCAGGACGGCTCCGTCCCACGGCGCGGGCAGAACGCCCGCGGTCGACCACTCGTAATCGTACGTCGATAAAAAGCCGTTCACGTTCGAGATCAACGCGGTCGCGCCTGTGGAGCAGATGGCGTCCTTGATCGCGTCGACCAAGTAGCCCTTGAAGTGGTCCGCGATGACTTCGACCAAGCCGTCGAGCACGCCGAGCCCGTCGACGTTCACGGCGATGTCCGCGATTTGCACGTCCGCGGAGCAGGACCCGAGGCCGAGCGCGGGCACGCCGTTCGCTGCCGTCACGGAGATGGCGACGGAGGCCGACGTGCCGTCCGCGTTCGTGCTCGCCTCGCCGCTCAGCGACGGGATGGGTCCCACGTAGACGTGCCCCTGCACCGATAGCTTCAGATTCGAGAGCGTGAGCACGGCGCCCGCCGCGCCGTTCACGGGCGAGAGCGCGATGTCCGCGTCCGCGCCGACGTTCCAGAGGGCGATGTCCGTGACGCCGTACGACCAAATGCCCCAGCTCCCCGGCAGGTCCGGGACCTTGAAGGCATTCAGGAAGTCGATGGCGACGGGCAGCCCCTGGTCGCGCAGCTTGTCGGCCAGCGTCTCCGATATCGCGCCGCGCGCGCCGCCGCCGGCCGCCGCCAGCGGCGCCAGAGCCAGCAGGGAGAGCTTCATGGCGTCGACGAGTATGGTCGAGAGGCTGCCCGAAAAGAACCAATCGGCGCGCCCCGGGCGGCGGCGCCTATAGCTCGGAACCATGCCTTCACAAATCCGAGCGGCGCGCCCACGGCATTCCACAGCCCACGGGCGGCCGCCAACGACAAGTCCATCGTCCGGGCAACTCCGAGGTCGATATTCCCAGCGGTCCTTCGGGCTCGTGTTGGTGGAATAGCGCGCAGCAGCCGCACCCATCCACGCACGAGGCAAACGCGCGACGTTGAGCATGCGCAAGATTGAAATCGTCCCCGTCGCGGAGGTAGCGCTGCCGGACGAAGACGTCGAGACCGGCGGCCTCGTCCCCCCGCCAGCGTGCACGTTCAAGGAACCGACGCTGGACCTGCGCGCGGCGCGCATCGATGAGGTGCGAGCCATGATGCGGCGCGGCATGGAGTACGCCGAGGCGGTGACGCTGCACGCGGGATACTTCGGGGGCGAGAGCCGCATGGTGATGGTGGCATGGACGGTCCTTGCGATTGTAACAATTCTGTTGTCTATTTGGAGCTTTGCCGTCAGCCTCTCTTCCCGCGGCGATCGCCAAGGCTCACATTCGACAGGACGGCATCAACCGTTTGGTCTCTGGCATTCTTCTACTGTGCCGACAGTATGAAAGCCCGCGCGGAACCATCACGACGCCGCGGCCGTCGACGCGCCGCCGCCGCAGGTACTTTTTGACCCTCCGGCGCCGCCGTGCCGCGCGCCACACGCTCGTCGTCGTTGGTATATGGTCTGGTGCCATTACAATGGCCACTTCTGTCATGTGGTTCGCTATCCCGCGCGACTGCCGCGTTCAACAACAAGCTGCATCCACGCTGACTTTCGCCACGAATGGCTTCTTGGTCGCGGCCTCAGTCGATTCCTATGCGATGCGGTACTCCGTGGCGACTTCAAGGCTCAAATTCGTTTGTGGTTTTTGGGCGTTGAGTTGCGTAGCAATGGCGTCGTTGGATCATTGCCAAAAACAAACTTCCGGGGCGCCGTTTTGGGCAATTATTGCCGCAGCTCTCGGGGTCTATTTGGAATTACGACGACGAAAAAATGCGCGCGACGCCGACCAGGTGGTGGCCGCCGACGGCTCGCGGTACGACCAGCTTTGGGAACGACTGACCCGCGGGCACGAGTTCGTCGCCAAGCTCGACGATCTCGAGACCGCCGTCGGGGGGGCGGTCGCGCGGGAAGCGACCCCTCTCCTGGCGCGACCGCCTGTCAACGGCCGACGGCCCTCCCTCGAGCCCAAGACGCCGCGGGCGAAAGCGCTGGAGAAGCTCGGATACGTGCGCAAGATCACGGGCAGCCGCAAGCACATGCAGGTCGTCGACGACCTCCCCGTGTTGTTGGCGCAGGCGGCCGCGCTGAATCAGCACTTCCAGGGACTCGTCGCGGCGCGGGTCGGACGCGGCGAGCACCGCGTCGGCGCCATCAAGAGTCGTGCGCGCGCGATCGAGAAGCTCTACCGGAGCTACGGGGGAGACGCGTCTCGCCTCGTGGACCTCGTGCGCACCATCTGCAAATTCGACACGCTGGACGACATGATCTCCTTCGTCGAGTCTCTCCGTGACTCGCCGCTCGTCGTCGTCGGCAGCAAAAATTCGTTGACGACGGCGTTCGATTCCAAGGAATCCGCGGGCTACAGGAACATCAATCTGTCGGTCATCGTCGTCGACGCCTTCACGTTCAGCCACGGCCTCGAAGCGCACGTCTCCGAACTCCAGCTCGGTCTCCAGTCGATCGAGGCGCTTCGCGACGAGGCGGGCCACGCGCACTACATCGAGTGGCGCGACATCAAGGCGGAGTGAGCAGTGATCCCAGAACACCTCCAAAAACTGTCTATAAAGTTTTTTATAGTGATACGCGAGCCTGTGGCACTGCCTGGCTACACTTACGCCGCGCCTACCGTCGCCGGCGCTTCGCCGCGGGCGCGTCCTCCGCCGCCGCGGGCGCGTCGCCGCCGCCGCCGCTCCCGTAGCGCCGGCCGAAGGCGGGCCAGCGCGCGCCGAGGTCCTCGTCCGCCGCGTCGAAGAACGTCGTCTCGCCGCGGACCAGCAGGTTGTAGTGCTGGCGCCGCGTGCGCTGGAGGCAGACGACGCGGTCCGGCGGCGCGTCCGGGAGGATCGACACGTACTGGCTCCCCCAGGGCGCGGCCTCGTCGAGGATGAGCACCGCGAGGCCGAGGTGCTCCGCGACGGTCTGGATGGAGAAGTCGCAGGCCCAGACGCACTGGCCCGCGGACGTGTTGCCGCCCGTGACGCGGATGCGGCGCTTCAGCTCCTCGACGTCGTCGATCTTGCGCAAATGGTCGTAGGACCCGCAGCCCGTCCGCTGCGCGAGACGCATCATCGTCAGCGTCTCCTCGGTGCACGCGTCCGCGACGACGTCGCGCAGGGCCTGGACCGTGAAGTCGTTCTCGAGGGCTGCCGAGATGGCCGCGTAGTAGCAGTCGCCGTCGGCCTTCATGAACTTGATGGACCAGTCGGGGCCCAAAAGCCGCTGGATCTTGCTCGAGCGGGCCATGGGTGCGGGCGGTCGCGCGGGTGTCGTTCTAGGCGTTTGTCGGGTCGCACGGGCGTCGACGGAGGGCGTGCGGGCGTCGTGGGCGGTGGCGTGCGACGAGGCTTGTGGCGGCCTGGGTGGGAGGTTGGTTTTGTGGAGTTTTTTTTCAAACAGAGCATGGCCTGCTAGAGAGAGCACGACGACGACGCTCCACCGCCTCCTCCTCTCACTCCTGTGCAGCGCCATGGCCGTCCTCGCCACGACGAAGCGCGGCGTCTTCGTCGTCTTCGAGGGCGTGGACCGCAGCGGCAAGTCGACGCAATGTAAACTCCTCGTCGAGGGCCTGCGGGCCAAGGGCCGCAGCGCGGAGCTGCGGCGCTTCCCCGAGCGGTCGACGGGCATCGGCCAGCTCATCGACAAGTACCTGAAGCGCGAGCTCGAGCTCGACGACCGCGCCGTGCACCTCCTCTTCTCCGCGAACCGGTGGGACGAGGCCGCGAAGATCGAGCGCGCGCTCGCGTCGGGCGTCGACGTCGTCTGCGACCGCTACGCCTTCTCCGGCGTCGCCTTCTCCGCGGCGAAGCCGAACATCGACGACCTCGACTGGTGCAAGGCGCCCGACGCGGGCCTGCCGAAGCCGGACGTCGTCGTCTTCCTCGAGATCCCCGCGGCCAAGGCCGAGGCGCGCGGCGGCTTCGGCGACGAGCGCTACGAGGAGAGCGCCATGCAGAAGCGCGTCGCGCAGCACTTCGTCGACCTCCGCGGGCCGTCCTGGCGCGTCCTCGACGCCGCGCGCACCGTGGACGAGGTCCGCGCGGACGTCGAGGCCGTCGTCCTCGCCGCCGCGGCCGAGGCCGAAGACGCGCCCGTCGGCCGCCTCTGGGACTAAGCCTAGGAAGCGAGAACGAGGGGCGCGTCGGCGTCGCCCCCGTCGCGTCGTCCCCTTAGACGAGGGGCGAGTCCGCGTCGGCGCCGTCCGCGCGCGCGTCCGAGTCGTCCCGTTAGACGAGGCCTAGGGGCGAGTCCGCGTCGACTCCCTCCGCCCGATAGGCTCAGTCCCCTTAGACGAGGGGCGAGTCCGCGTCGACGCCGTCCGCCCGGTCTTCCTCCCCCCCTCGCGCGAGGTACGCGGGCCGCCGCGCCTGGACCGCCGCCGCGGCCGCGCCGAGGAGCCAGCCGCCCGTGAGCACGAGCCCGAGCGCGAGGAGCGACCGGTGGAGCAGCGCGCCGGCGACGAGGGGCAGCGCGACGGCCCCGAGCTGCTTGCCGACGTTCGCCGCCCCAAACCCCGCGCCGCGCGCGTCCGTCGGGAAGGCCGCCGGCGTGACGACGTAGAGCACGGGCCAGACGCCGTTGAAGAAGAAGGTCAGCGCGCAGTAGGCCGCGCCGAAGCGGAGCTCCGTCGTCGTCGACCGCCGCGCGAGCAGCGCCGCGAGGCCGCCGGACGCGGCCGTCGTGCACGCCAGGAAGCCGAGGAGCGTCGGCCAGGGCCCGTGCCGCTCGACGAGCGCGGACGCGAGGAGGAACACGGTGCAGGCGAGGACGCGCGCGGCCGCGAGCACGGCGTACGTCGGCCCGGACCGCAGGTCCCGCGTCGCCGCGATCTCCGGCGCCCACGTGACCCAGCCGCTGCCGACCTGCGCGGCGCGGCGGGTGCGCGAGCGGCGCGGCGCGAGAAACGACGCGCCTGGAGCGCGAACCAGCAAAAGGCCATCGTCGCCGTCGTCGCCCGGAGGTCCCAGAGGCGCCGGACCGCGGCGGCCGCGCCGTTCGACGCGACGACGCGGGGCTTGTCGTCGGGCGTGGGGCCGGGCCGCCGCCGCGCGACGCGGTCCAGCGCGGCCGCGGCCTTGCCGCGGTCGCCGCGCGCCCAGAGCCAGCGCGGGCTCTCGGGCAGGCGAAGCGCGCCGAGGACCGCCGCGACGGCCGTCGGCGCGCCCAGCAGCGACACGAAGAGGCGCCAGCGGCCCGGGAGGAGCAGCGCGGCGAGCCCGATGGCCGAGAGCTCGCCGAGCTCGTAGAAGACGTGCATGAGCACGACGCCTGCGGGACGCCGCGTCGCGAGAGAGCGCGGACGAGCGAGGGGGACGCGGGCCGACCCCACAGGTCTCGCGGCGGCGCGGCGGGAGGAGCTCCGACGCGAGCGTGACGGCGATGGGCAGGTTGCCGCCGCAGCCGACGCCCGCGAGCGCCTTGAGCGCGAGGAGCCATCGGAACGACGGCGCGGAGCCCGCGGCCGCGTCCACGGACGCGGCCAGGGCGAGCGACGCGACGAAGGCGCCGCGGCGGCCCCGCGCGTCGGCGACGGCGCCCCAGCCGAAGGCGCCGACGGCCTGCCCCGCGGCGACGGCGGACGCGAACGCCGCGAGCTCGCCCGCCGTCGCGGAAAATTCCGTCGCGAGCGCGGGCAGCAGCACGGACAGCGCCGACGTCTCGAGGCCGTCGGCGAACCAGCCGAGGCCCGTGATGAGCAGCACCTCCACGCTGACGGCGTTGAAGCCCGCCTCCTCCAGCGCCGCGTCGACGGGGGACGTCTCCTCCGCGTCCTCCGGCGCCTCCTGCACCTCCTCGTAGGGCTCCCGGTGCATCGTCGCGTGCTGGGTCGTATTAGCGAGTGCCGGGGCGGTGTTTGCGTCGCCTGCGACGTGTTATGGGCTAGCGCAGCAGCCCACTTCACAAGGACACCTCACATGCCTTCCTCGGAGTTCTTTAGGCTTGAAGACGCGCTTGAAGGTAAATGTCCTTACTTGACGACGGCGACCGTGTCCGCGCGGCGGTCGAGCCAGAGCGTGAGGGCGAGGCGGGGCCGCGCCGTCGCCGGCTCGACGCGGTGGTCGCAGGTGCGGCTGAGGAAGGCGACGAGCGTGCCCGCCTCGGGCCGCACGGCGGCGCCCGAGGCCGGGAACGCGAGCGCGCCGCCGTCGTCGTCGGTCCAGTGCTCGTTGAGGTAGAGGAGCAGGGTCACCTCGCGGTCGTTGCCGTGCTCCGTCGGGTACCAGTCGCGGTGGGCCCGGTAGCCCGGCGCGCCCGGCGGGTACCGCGCGCACTGGACCTCGTCCGGCACCGCGAGCCGGAGGCCACCGGCGGCCTCGAGCTCCGCCGCGCAGCCGGCCAGCAGCCCGAAGACGCGCCCGAGCGCCGCCGTCGCCTCGGGCGTCGCGCCCGCCTCGCCGGCGAGCGGGAGCACGACCGCGTGCGAGCCGGCGTTGCACGGGTCCGTCCGCGCGGCGCCGAAGCGCCCCGCGGCGAACGCGGCCTCGAAGTGGTCGCGGACGAGGCGCACGTCGGCGAGGGGCGCGGCGTTGGGCGCCGCGGCGTAGCCGTCGCGGCGGAGCGCGGCGACGACGGCGCCCGTGGCGAAGAGCCGCGCGGACGCCGCGTTCGCGCGCGCCCTCGCCGGCGCCAGGGACGCGAGCCGCGCGGGCCGGTGGCGGTGGCGGTAGGCCTCCTTGTAGAGGCGCAGGGCCAGGGACGCCTCGGCGTCGGCGAGGCGCGACCGCACGTCGGCGGCGGAGCGCGCCGGCGGCGCGCCCGGCGCGCCGGAGAGCGGCCCGTCGCCGAAGAACGGCGCGCGCGCCATGACCGCGCAGGCGTCCTCACGCGCCGCGAGGGCGTGCGCCGGGGCGAGCCGCTCCGCGGCGACGGCCCGCGCCTCGCCTCGCAGGTCCGCCGCGCGGGCGACGCGGTCGACGACGGCCGGCTCCGGAGCGCCCTCGGCGAAGATCGGCAGCAGCGCGGCCGCGACGTGGAGCCCGCGGGCGACGAGCTCCTCGCGCACCTCGTCGTAGGTCTCGCCGTCGAGCTCGAGGTCCGCGGCGACGACGCCGTGGTTCGTCTTCGTCTCGTGGACCTGTCTTGTCGCGGCGACGATTTTGTCCGGCCCGACGAGCGGCGGACCGTCCGCGAGCTCCGCGACCTCGCAGAGCTGGGCGAGGTCGCCCTCGATCTGGGCGAGGACCGGCAGGTCCGGGTGGAGCACGCGGGCCCGGTTCCGCAGGCAGAGCGACGCGACGGGCAGCCCCAGGTCGTAGCGCGACGCGAAGGACTTGAGCACCTTGGCGACGGTCGTCGACGTCGTCACGAAGATGCGCGCGCTCGTGATCTTCTCGCCGGGCGGCGACCAGGCGAGGGTCACGGGCTTCTTCCTCACGTCCCAGGGCGTCTTATCGCCCGTGCCGGTTGCGCTCCCGCAAGCGGCCATTACGCAAAGTCGGGCGCGCGTCCCCTTCAAGAACTAGTGCAACGTCTGCTAATTTGCCGTCCACTCAATCGAATCGTCTTCGAGTCGACTAGTCCGGGGCAGCCCTTTTCTGCTCGCGCGATGGGCGCCGAAGCCGCACCGCCGCAGCCGGACGCCGCGCCGCCGCCGCCGGACGCCGCGCCGCCGCGGCCGGACGCCGCGGCGCAGCCGGATGCGGGCGGCGTCCCGGAGTCGAAGGCGGGCGACGAGCCGGAGGAGGAGTACGAGTCCGCGGCCGAGGCCTACCTGCGCGAGTGCGAGAAGTGGGACCCGAGCCTGCCCGGCGGCGGCCTCAAGCCCGACAAGCCCATGAGCGCTTTCTGGGGCCGCTACAAGGACGTCGAGCTCGCGCTGTCGCGGACCTACGTGACGCCGCTCGTCTGGTGGATGATCGCGAACCTGTCGTTCGTCGCGTGGCGCTACAGCCGCTACGAGGTCTTCGGCGCCTTCGCCCTGGCCTGGCGCGTGTGCCTCGCGCTCTTCCTCGCGCTCGCCTGGCACACGGAGCCCGACATCGACACGTCGCTCCAGGACCGCGCGCTGATGAAGATCAAGGAGCTGCTCGGCGGCGCGGCGCCCGTCGGCGGCCAGATCACGGTGGCCATGCACGTCGACGAGCTGCCGACGGCCCAGGCCGTCCGCGACCTCTTCGAGCCCGTCGCGGCCAAGCACGAGCGCTTCCACAAGGTCCCGGACCACGTCGGCAAGTACATGTGGGAGTGCACGTTCAAGAAGCCGTCCTACTCCTACCACGTCAAGGACCACGTCGCCGAGCGGACGTCGCCGCTCCCCATCGACGAGGCCGTCCAGGCGCTCGCGAACGAGGAGCTGCCCGAGGGCCGGCCGCTCTGGCGCTTCGAGCTGCTCGAGGGCAGCGACGGCAAGGCCGTGGTCATGCGCGTGAACCACGTCACGGGCGACGGCCTGCGGCTGCTGAAGATCGGGAACAAGGTCCTCGAGTTCGAGGACGGCTCGCCGGCGACGATCGCGGCGCTGGAGAAGATGTCGAAGAACAAGGACAAGACCTGGGCCGACAAGCCGTCGAAGTTCTCCATCTTGTGCGACGTGCTCACCGCGGCGACGATGAGCCTCCTCCCGAACGAGACGTCCGACGCCTTCCACGCGCCGGGGACGATCTTCGACGGCGCGGCGCCGCGGGCCCACGTGCTCCGCGCGACCGTGCCCCTCGCGGACGTCCTCGCGATCCGGTCGCGGCTCGCCGCGGGCGCGACGCTCAACGACGTCATCCTGACGGCCTTCTGCGGCGCCGCGCGGAATTACGCCTCGACGGTCGGCCGGCCGGGCGCGGCAAACGCGCTCGTCCGCGCGCTCGTCGCCATCTCCATGCCCGACGACCGCGACCGCCTCGACTGGGAGACGTACAACGACTTCGTCATGCCGTCGACGAAGCTGCCCGTCTTCGTCGAGGACCGGGGCCGGCGGCTCGCGGAGGTGCAGGCGAGCATGCGGGCGCTGAAGAAGTCGCGCGCGGGCTTCATCCAGGCCGTCATCGTCGCCATCTTCGAGAAGTTCGGCCTCGAGAAGCTCGCCGGCGGCGCGCAGCGCGACGTCTTCGCGAAGCACTCCCTCGTCTACTCGAACCTGCCCGGCTACGAGAAGCCCGTGTTCTTCGCCAAGTCGAAGATCGCCAAGTTCGGCGTCTTCTTCCCGAACATGATCTCCCAGGTCGTCTTCTTCTCCTACGACGGGACCCTGTCCCTCTCCGTGTCCACGGACGCGACCTACGTGACGGAGCCCCACCTCCTCAACGAGCTCTTCGCCGCGGAGGTCGCCGCCTGGAAGACGGAGCTCGAGAAGCTCGACTAGTCGGGTTCTAAGGTACGGGGCTCGCCGCGGGCGCGAGCGCCTCCGCCGCGCGGGCGTCCGCGGCGGCGACGCGCTCCGCCGCGGCGTCCGCGGCGGCGCACGCCGCCGCCGAGTCGAGGACGGCGGGCGGCGGCGCGAAGGCGGCCGCCGGCGCCGCGGCCGCGGGCGCCGATGCCGCGGGCGCCTCCGCGGCCGCGGGACCCGCCGCCGCAGCGTCCGCCTCGGCCGCCGCGCGCCGCTCGAGCATGGCCGTCGCTCGCCGCTTGAGCTCCTCGGCCTCCTCCAGTCTGCCGCGGACGCCCAGGAGCTCCGCGAGGTTTCGGAGCGCGGTCACCACGGCCGAGTGGTCCGCGAACAGCCTCTCGCGGATCGCGAGCGACCGGCGGTAGAGCGGCTCGGCGGCCGCGTACTCCTTCCGCACGCAGAGCAGGTAGGCGAGGTAGTTGAGCGAGATGGCGACGTCGTGGGCGTCGGGGCCGAGGACGCCCTCGCGCAGCGCCAGGGCCTGGCGGTGCGCCTTCTCGGCCTCCGAGTAATTGCCCTGCATGATGTAATTCAAGGCGTGCTCGTGCAGCGTCGACGCCTCGTCGAGCTTCGTCTTGGCGTCCTCGGGCTGCGACTCGGCGGCCATGCTGTCTAATGCTGCCCCACCTCGTGCCCAGCGCTTTGAAAGTGCGGCAACGCAGGCAAGCAGCGTCAAGGTCGGCCCGAAACTTAGGACGCGTGCATCATGAGCAGCCCCGCGGCCGACGCCTCGACGGGCGAGCCGCCGTAGTAGGACGCCGGGACGGCGACGTTCGCGAGGGCGGCGCTCGGCGACTTGCGCTGCTTGCGCGCGTCCGCGGCCGCGCGCTCCGCGCGGCCGCGGTCGAGGACGGCGCCGCGGCGGCAGAGGCGCTTGCGGTCGACCTTGGTGCGGAACTTGCGCCACTCGCAGAGGTTGACCTGGAGGTCGTAGGGCGTGATGGACTCGCTGACGACGGGCGCGAACATGGAGCCGAAGCGCGCGCGCGCCGCGGCGGCGACGAACCTGAGCATCGGCAGCAGCCGGGGCTCGAGGGCGTCGACCTTGGCCGGCGTGCCGAGGGCGTCGTTGAGGATGGACAGGAGCGCGCCGCGGTGCACGGAGCGGGACCGCGGCGGGACGCCCGGGTAGAGGTAGTCGAACGCGGCCTCGGCGCCGTCTCCGACGGCGCAGGAGCCGTCGAGGATCTTCGCCGCGGGGTAGGCGAGGTGCGTCGAGACGAGGAACATCTTCGTCATCGTCGGGCCGATCTCGTCCTCCTGGAGGAGCGCCTGCTCGAGGCTCAGCTTGAGGTCCGGGCCGCCGAGCGACGGCGGCGGCGCGGCGGGCGGCGCCGCGGCGGCCGCGGCCGCGGGCGGCGCGGGGCGGTGCGTCGCGGCCCAGGCCTCGAAGCCGTCGCCGAGCTTGGCGCGGAGGAGGGCGTAGATGCGCGCGCCGAGGACGACGAAGCGCGCGGTGCGGTCGATGATGTAGCAGACGAACTCGTCGCCGCTGCTGCCGCGCGGCGGGTGGCAGAGGTAGGCCGTCGTGTGGAGCTTCTTGTCCTCGGCGCGGTAGGCGGCGTAGCGCCGGTGGAGCTCGCCGTCGCGGCGGAGGGCCGCGTGCGGGTCGTCGAGGAGGCTCCGGCCGAGCGCGGCGTCGTCGTCGGACGCGTCGGCCTCGAAGAGGGGCCGGAGGATGCGCTCGAAGAGCTCGATCTCGCGGCTCCCGGAGAAGGCGTAGCCGAGGATGTAGCGGTCCCGGTCGCTCTCGAGGCGCGGGAGCGCGTAGACGACCTCGAGGAGGTAGCGCTCGTGCGCGCCGAGCGCGCAGTGCCAGGGCATCCACTTGTCGCCGCGCGCGCAGCCGCCGAGGAGGAAGGCCTCCATGAGCGGCTCGCAGGAGGCGAGGTCGACGGCGTCGGCGACGCGGAGGCTGCCGCCGGGGTCGTCGCCGCCGCCGCCCGCGCGGCCCTCGCGGCAGACGCGCGCGACCTCGTCGTCGAACGCGCGGTACGCGCCGCGGCGGCCCTCGGCGCAGCGGCCCGCGCCCGACGCGTCGTCGAGGCCCGTGGCGTCGTCGCGCGCGACGATCTCGGCGTACTCGGCGCGGAGCTGGAGCAGCGCGAAGTGGAGGAGGTGCCGCGTCTCCTCGACGCACGGCGCGACGGCCGCGTCGAGCGGCGCCGTCGGCGCGCCCGCGCCGCGCTTCCGCTTCTTGCCGCAGCTCCGCCAGGCCTCGAGGGCGCCGGGGTCCCAGGCCGCCGCCGCGTCGACGCGCACGTCCGCGGCGTCGTCGGGCCAGCGGAGGACGTCGATGCTGCCGTCGTCGTCGTAGCGGATCTCGACCTCGGCGCCCTTGGGCTTCTTCCGCGGCGACCGCTTCGCCGCGGCGCCCGCCGAGGGCCGCCGCTTCGGCGGCGGCGCGTCGACGCGCACGACCGTCGCCGGGAACCAGGCCGGCGGCCGCCGGTCGTCGTTCTCGGGGAACGTGTGCACGCGGACGCGCGAGCCGACGGCCGGCGGCAGCTGCTCCGCGGCGGGCTCGGGGAGGAGCGGCGGCGGCGGCGGCGGCGCGGTCGCGGCGGGCCGCGGCGCCGGGGCCCAGACGCCCGGCGGCGGCGCCTCGAGGCGCGGCGGCGGCCGCGCGTGGAACGCGGTGACCGAGACGCCGCGGCGCTCGAGCGCGTCGGACGCGCCGCGCGGGCTCCGGGGGCTCGACGGCTGCGCGGGCGCCTCCCAGGGCAGCAGGTAGGACGGGTCGTCCACGAGCTCGCCGGGGATGAAGCGCCGGCCGTTCGCGATGAAGGCCGCGCCCGGCGACACCGTCGTCGCGACGCGCCGCGACGCCTCGTCGAGCTCCGCGGGCGCGACGGCGCGCGGCCGCGGCGACGAGAACGCGAAGCGCGCGCGCCCGGCCGCGCCCGCGGGCAGCGGCGGCGAGCACGTCTCCGGCCAGAGCTGCAGGAGCTCGGGCCCGAACGCCGCCTTCCGCGCCGCGTCGGCCTCGGCGAAGGCCGCCGTCACGTAGGTCACTCGCTGCCGCTGCGGCGGCGCGGCCTCGGCCTTGGTCACGACGGCGCCGATGGGGATCGTGATGTCGCGCTTCGGGGGGTCGGCGAGCGCCGCCTCGGCCACGCTTCCGGAGCGGCTGGCCATGGCTTCGGCTGCGCTATCGCCTCGGCTACGCTATCGCTTCGGCTGCTTCCGGAGACGAAGCCATTGCGCGGCGAGATCTACTAGTCGAGTCAAGATTCTGGTTGAAGGTCATGTTGAACGGCTGAACGCCGCCGCTCGATGATCCCAATCGCAGCCCGAGAGCTCTGCGACGTGCGTGACATCCTCGCAATGCAGCCCTGAGTCGTGTAGCAGGGGCGCACGCGTTGCAGCTGAGCGAGCGTGATCGCTCCGAACCGCAAGGCAGACCCACCATGGCCAAGGTCGTTCCCGCCGACGCCCCGTCGACGCCGTCCTACGCCGTGCAGCAGCCGCCGGACCCGCGCAAGGCAAACTACTACCTCGGCTGCGGCGCCGTGACCTGCGTGGCCGTCGCGGCCGCGGCGCTGCTGCCCTTCGGCTACGTCGCCTACGGCGCGATCCTCGTCTCCTTCTCCCTGGCGCTCGCCGTCGCGCTGCCGGCGGTCCTCGTCCTGAGCCTGTGGTTCCGCACGTTCCTCCGGGACAGCGACCTCTACACGAAGCTGCTCCTGTTGTCCTACAAGGTCCTGTTCTTCGGTCGGAAGACGCCGACGGCCGCGGATTTGGATCCGAAGAAGCTCAAGCCCAAGGCGAAGATGAAGATGTTCCCCATCGCCTACGCGCTGAACATCGCCGTGCCCCACGGCGACGAGGACGACTTCCTGGAGAACACCGTCAGCTTCACGAACAACGTCGCCGTCGCCTTCGAGGAGAACTTGAGCCGGCTGCCGATGACGCGCGTGCCGGCGCGCTTCCGGCCCGGCGAGGACCCGGTGGCGTACGTCATGGCGCGCCTCGGCGACGTCTACCCGCCCGTGCGCGGCGACTGGAGCGACAAGACGTCGGACGACGCGCTGACGCACTTTTGCCTCTACGGCATCGGCGCGCACCGCGTCGAGCGGTCGGGCGACTTCTTCGTCGTGCGCACGAACGCGCTCGCGGCGCTGCCCGTGCGCGAGGGCCTCGAGCGCTACGGCGGCGACTGCTACTTCGACGTCGCCACGTGGCGCGTGGCGAAGATCGTCCGGCGCGAGCCCGCGGGCGGCGACGTCCGCGGCGCGACCGTCGACATCTCCTACGTGCCGGGCAACGAGAAATGGGAGTACGTGAAGTTCTGCTTCCGGAGCAGCCTCTTTTCCCTGGTGACGCTCGTCGACCACCTGTACGGCGTCCATCTAGCCGTGGGCAACGTCGTCGTGACGGCGTCGCGGGAGTGCCTCGGCGCGGACCACCCGCTGCGGCGGTTCCTGGCGCCGTTCTCCTACCAGACGATCAGCGTCAACGACAACGCGCGGAACAACCTGATCAACCCGCGGAGCATGGGCCCGCGGAACTTCGCGTTCACGGAGGAGGGCCTGCAGCTCGCGTGGGCCGCGGCGCCGTCGCTCGTCTTCGGCGGGCCCGAGCTCGCGAGGGACGCGGGCCTCGACGACGGCCGGCTCTTCGCGGCGCTCTTCGACCGCCGGGTCTACGTGGACCGGGTCACGGAGAAGCTCGGCGGCTCGACGCCCTACTGGGACCAGGCGTCCGAGTACCACGGCATCGTCAAGGGCTTCGCGAAGGCCTACCTGGACTGCTACTACGCGACGCCCGACGCGCTCCTCGACGACGCGCAGGCCATGCACTTCCTCGACGAGTGCGTCGGCCAGCTCACGCGGCCGGCGGCGGCGGACCTCACGAAGGACCCGTCGACGGTGCTCGGCGCGCTCTCCGCGGCCGCGACGTACGACCTGCTCGTGAACACGGTGGCGCGCTACTGCGACATCGTCACGGCGGGCCACGAGCAGGTCGGCACGGTGCCCGTCTACGCCCAGGACGTGAGCTTCTGCAGCTTCCGCTGGCCCGAGGGCGAGATGATGGGCACGAAGCAGACGGCGATCACGCAGGCGACGCTCATGGCGTTCACGTCCATGCCCATGCCCATGCTCCTCTGCGAGCCCGGGTCCTCCGGCGACTGGACGCACCTCTTCTTGGACGGCCCGCAGAAGCCGACGCTCGACGCGCACTTCGCGGCCTTCCAGGCGGCCCTCGCGGCCTTCTCCGCGAAGTGCGACGCCTACGACGCGGCGGCGGCGGACCGGCCCTTCCCCCACTGCTTCGGCCTCAGCACCTTCAACCCGAAGTACCTCGAGACGAGCGTAAGCGTCTAGCCGGGCAGCCCCGCGATGAAGCAGGTAAAGATGCCGTACTCGGCGACCATCTCGACGCACTCGACGGCGGCGATCTCGCGCCGCGCCGCGGCCGGGAGCTTCGCCCGCTGGGCGAGGCGCAGGTCGTTGGACGCGTCCGCGGCGACGCGCTCGCCGTGCTTCCGCTTGACGGCCTTGAGGTAGAACGTCGAGACGCCGAAGACGACGCCCGACGCGAGGAAGCCCGCGGCGTAGCACCCGTCGACGCCGAAGAGGACCATCATCAACACGTGGTCGACCATGTACTTGCCGCTCGTCGCGAAGTGGCGCAGGTCCACGGCGTCGGAGACGCCCACGGGCGACAGGCTGATCGCGACGACGCCCGTCGCGAGCATCTGCAGCGACACGCCGAGCGCGACGCCGCAGCCGTCGTGGCGGACCAGCGGCCGCAGGAAGAGGACCCAGCCGGCGATCCACGCCGCGTGGAAGAGCAGACGACCGGAGCCCTTGCGCACGGTCCAGCTGATGGTCACGGGCCAGCGCGGCGTCGCGTCGACGCCGCCGGCGACGTACCACAAAAAGGGCAGCAGCGTGCTCGCGTGCCAGAGCCACTTGGCCAAGCCCAGGCCGTGGACGTCGGCGCCGTCGAAGCGCGCGCGGCACTGCAGGCCGCGCGCCGCGACGTAGGCGTGCGCCGTCGCTAGGTGCGACGCCATCGATGAGAGATCTAGACTTAAAACTTCAATAACGCCTTGTTGCACCATGTACTTGAGGCAGCCTAAATCATCGTCACGCGTCTCGTGGCCGGAAGATGGCAGCCATGGACCACGACGAGGCCGTCGCCATGCTGTCCATCCACGTCGTGCAGGCGGAGAACCTGTTCAGCGTTGGCAGCGACGGCAGCGATCCCTACGTCGTCGTCGAGTACAGCGGCCACGAGCTGCAGACGGAGTTCGAGGCGTCGACCTGCGCGCCGATCTGGGACGCGCGCTTCGAGGTGCGCCGCCGCATCGCGCGCCAGCCCCGACGAATACACCACAGGTGCCCGTGAAGGCGTCGTCGACGATGATCCGGCTCTGGGTCTTCTCGGCCAACAAGGTCGAGGCGGACACGCTCCTCGGCAAGATCGACGTGCCCGTCGACGTCGAGGCCGCCAAGGGCGAGTACTTCGGCGTGGCACTCGACTGGGCCGCCGTCGAGCCCGTCGAGCTCTCGGCCCAGGACCGGCTCAAGAAGGTCGCGAAGAGCAACATGCGGGGCGCGTCGTCCTCTGTGGGGGACCGGGGCCGCATGGCCGACGGCACGTGGTACGTCTTCTCGTCGGGCGACCGCCACCTCTTCGACGTCGCGGAGAAGCGCGAGGGCGGCCTCGGCCGCGTCCTCTTCGAGATCAAGCCCTGCAAGCTCGACGACGGCGACCTCGGCGGCGGCGGCGGCTTCTGCGGCGTCCTCGGCGGCGGCTGCGTCGCCTGCGTGGGGGACGAGCCCGCGGGCCCGGCCTCCTACCAGGAGACGCTCGCGTCCCCGACGAGCACGATCACGGTCTAGCCTAACGCGTTAGCCGCGCTGCACGGACCACGTCCAGCCGCCGCCCGTGCGCCCGCCGCCGCCGACGGGCGCGCTGCTCGTGGGCACCTGCTGGAACGGCGGCTTCATCAGCTGCTCGATGAGCGCGCGCTCCTCGGGCGTCGCTTCGCGCGGCTCCGGCGGGCCCGTTTTTTTCGGCTCGGGCTTCTGCGGCAAGTGCTTTTGGCGCTGGCCTTCGAGGTACATCCGCCAGCCGGGACTCATGTCCTCCTCTTCCGACATCGTTTTGTCCCGCTCCACGAATGACGACCAAGGGCTGCGCGTCCCGCTCCACGGACGACCAGGCTGCGCTCGGCGCCGACGACGAAGCTGAGCTGAGGGGCAACCTAACAGCACCGTAGCGGCAACATTACATCAAGCACTCTAGTGCTCTGCGTTGTTGAGTTTGCGAGCACTGGGTTGGCCGCAGCGACGCCAGCGCTTTGCGTGCTGCGTTGCAAAGAGAGCGCTTCGCGTGCTGCGCGACTCCGTCGTTGCAAAGCACCATGGCGGCGCTCTGGAAGCAGGGCGTCGCCGCGGACGTGCAAGCGACGGCGGAGCGCTACTCGGACGACGCGCTCGAGGACGAGGTGCTGGCAGAAATCGCCGCCGTCGCGCTCGCGAGGATGCACACGGTCAAGGTGCGGGACGCGCTGCGCGGCGACCCCTACGGCGCGCTGCCGCAGCTCTCGCGGCGCCTCGCGGCGCGCGTGACCGTCGCCGCGCTCGAGCGCGTGCGCACGCGGCACGAGTCGCGCACCACGACCCTGCTGGAGCTGCGGTCCGTCAACGGATCCCGCCGCGGCCTGCGCGTGTCCTACGAGGCGACGGGCGGCGCGCTGCGGTACAGCGCGAGGCTCGACGCGCGGTCGCCCGACCGGAGGCCGAGCGTCGTGCTCGAGGCCGCCATGTGCACCGCGGAGCCGCGCCAGCCGCGCGTCCGCGTGCGGCCCGCCGGCTGCCGCAACCTCTGCCGCGCGCTCGGCACCCGCATGGACGGCGAGGACTGCCTCTACTTCCTGCTGTCGCTGCTGCCGACCTACGACAACGAGTTCAGCTTCGACGAGCACGTTCTGGCGGCCCTCGGGCTCTACGAGCGGAGCGACGACGACGACGACGAGGAGGAGGGGTCGGGGTAATCCATCGGTAATCCACTAACTAGTGTAATCGGAGCAGCTTCGGAGCAGCACGGAAGCAGCTGCCAGTGTCAAATATGAATTCTTGGACAGAAGGAGCCCAAAATAGATCTAGTCGATGATGGGGAAAGTGTACTGATGCGCGCGCTGCACTGGCTGGCGGCCGGGCTGCTCGCCGCGCCCACAAACAGCGCGTGCGAGGTGTCGGCCTGGTCGGACTGGGGCGAGTGCGAGGCCGTGACCTGCGAGCCCTGCGACTACGGCGCCGCGACGCCGGGCATCTGGACGCGGCCGCCGTCGTCGGCCACGGGCCCCCCGGTCGCCGGCGCGCCGCGACCCGCCGACGCGGAGAAGATGGCGCGCAAGCGCGCCGCGCGCGCGGCGGCCGCGGGCGCGCGACGCGCGGGCGCGCGACGCGCGAGCGCGGCCGGCGCGCCGTGCGTCGACGGCGCGGCCGCGGGCTTCGCCTGCGACGGCGTCGACCTCGTCGCGTTCACGGGCACGTCGAGCATCGCCTACGCCGAGTTCACCAACGATCTCTGGGGCTGGACGAGCCCCGCGGGCGTCGAGTACGCCCTCGTCGGCGCGTCGCACGGCCTCGCGATCTTCGAGCTCGGCCGCCAGTCGGCGGTCGCGACGGTCACGTACGGCGGCCGGAGCTACTGGCGCGACGTGAAAGTATATAACGGCCACGCGTTCGTCGTCTCCGAGGCGACGGCGCACGGCCTGGCCGTCTTCGACCTCTCGCGGCTCGAGACCGAACAGGGCGACCTCCGGCCGGACGTCATCTACGGCGACTTCGCGGCGCACAACGTCGCCGTCAACGAGGAGTCGGCGACGGCCTACGTCGTCGGCGGCGGGCCCTGCGCCTACGGCGCGCTCGCCGTCGACGTCCGCGACCCGAAGAGCCCGGAGGCGCTCGGCTGCGTCTTCAACGGCTACGTCCACGACGCGCAGTGCGTCGTCTACCGCGGCGGCGACGACGACTACTACGGCCGCGAGATCTGCTTCTTCTTCACGGGCGCGGAGATCCGCGTCGTCGACGTCACGAACGTCAATCGGCCGACGGGCGTGTCGTCGCTGGTCTACGACGGCGTCGCGTTCGCGCACCAGGGCTGGCTCGACTGCGCGCAGGCCCTGCTCGTCGTCGACGACGAGCTCGACGAGTTTGACGACGAGCGCACGCGGACCTACTTCGTCGACGTGTCCGACCTCGACGCGCCCGTCTTCGTGAAGACGCACTACGGCGCGACGACGGCCATCGACCACAACCAGTACGTCTGCGGGGCGTTCTCCTACCAGGCCAACTACGCCGCGGGCCTGCGCATCCTCGACGTCTCCCGGGACGAGATTTCCGAGGTCGCGTCCTTCGACACGCACCGCGACGGCGACGGCACGACGTGGACGGGCGCGTGGGGCGCGTACCCGTTCTTCGCGAGCGGCCGCGTCGCCGTCAACGACATCGACGACGGCGTCGCCGTCGTCCAGCCGACGGCCCTCTTCGCGCGGCGGCGGACGCGGACGGTGCTCTCGCGCGGCGGCGGCGGCGACGTCTGCCCGCTGCTCGCCGACGAGGTCGCCTGCGACGTCGGGTCCGCGCCGCCGACGCCCGCGTGCCACGATTCCGCGTCGTGGTTCTCGAAGAAGTCGACCCGCGACTGCGCGTACGTGGCGGAGCGACCGGGGCGGCGCTGCGACGGCCGCGAGGACGCCGCGGGCGTGCCGGTCGCCGCGGCGTGCTGCGCGGCGTGCTGCGAGGACTCGGCGTCGTGGTACTCGAAGAAGCCGAAACAGGATTGCGCGTGGGTCGCGTCGAAGGCGTCGCGCTGCTCGAAGGAGGACGCCCGCGACGTCTCCGCGGAGGACGCCTGTCCCGCGGCCTGCGGCGCGTGCGCGGTCGACGACGTGCCGTCGCCGACGGCCTCGCCGGACTGCGCGGACTCGACGTCCTGGTTTTCGAAGAAATCGAAGCGAGATTGCGACTACGTGGCGAAGAAATCGAAACGATGCAAGCTGAAAGATGGCTCGGAGATCAAAGCTCGCGACGCCTGCGCGATGACCTGCGAGACCTGCCCGTCCGCGCCGACCGGAAGTGTATCATAAGCGCCCTTACGGCGGCGTCGCGGTCGCGTCGCCCCCCCGGGCCTGGAGCGCGTCGGCGATGACGAGGAGGCGCTCGTGGGCGGCGTAGAGGTCGAGGTAGGTGGCGAGGGAGCACTCGTGCATGTCCATGCGGCCGTTGAGCAGGCCGCGGCAGCCGAGCTTGCCCGACGCCTGGAGCCCCTCGCGCATGGAGATGGTCAGGTTCCACTTGGACTGCTCCAGGAGCCCGAGCCAGCAGGCGACGTCGTAGGGCTTGAAGCCGTGCCAGTGCCAGACGAAGGGCTGGACGCCGGGCAGCTTCATGAAGCCGCGCGCGTTGTACTTGTTGTCGTCGAAGGAGTCCCACGCGTGCCAGCCCTTGTGGTGCTTCTCGATGGTCTTGTTCTGCTTCGTGAGCTCGTCGACGCGCGCGCCCTGGCGGTAGAAGGACTCGAGCATGCCCTGGTCGTACATCATGAAGTTCCAGAGCTTCGCGTTGCCCCAGTCCAGAAGCGCGCGGCGGTCGCTGAGCATCTGCGCGACGTTCATGAACATGACGCCCGAGTTCAGGCCCCAGATCGCGAAGACCTCCGTGCCCGCGAGGAAGACGTTGGGCTCCTCGGCCTTCAAACCGTGCTGGCAGCACCTCGGGTTCGGCCAGCCGCGCGCGCAGCCGCGGCACGTCGTGAGCTCGTCGTGCGCCTGGGCAGGACAAGGGTGATTCGATGTCTCTTCAACGTGAGTGTTTCGCGCGCGCGCGCGCGCGTCCCGAAAAAAATAGAGGCTTCGGGACCGTTCCGAGAGACGATCGCTCGTCCAAAAATCAGCCGAAACGAGCGGGAACCGGCCGAGATAGGAGCCTTTGAAGTTGGGAATTTCGCACCCTTTTCCCGCCCCGTCGCGCGCGGGCCAGTCGCGCGCGAAGAGCACGTCCGTGTCCGTGTAGAGCACGTAGTCCATGTCGAGCCCGCGCGCCTCGAAGTCCTTGCGCAGGATCGTCGACGCGATGAGGGGCACGTCGAGGCGGCCGAACGCGCCGACGTTGATGTGGCCCTGCCGCGACTTGCGGATCTTCTCGGGGATGTCGTCGTAGAACGACAGGCGCCACTTGAGCACGTAGGTGCCCGAGGCCCGCAAAAAGGCGCACAGCGCGTCGTCGGGCTCGTCGACGTCCTGGTGCGGCAGGTAGGTGTAGATGAAGTACCTGCGCGCGCGCGTTCCGTTCGGCGGCCGCGCGCGCGCGCGAGAGCCCCGGCGCCGGAGGAGGACGGCGCGAGGCTCGGCGCGTTGAGGCGGGCGCTCGCCGTCGCGGCCTTGGCGAAGGCGACGTAAGTGTTGCTCACGGCGTCGTCGGGCTTGGACATGGACATGAACCACGCGACGCGCTGCTTTCCCGGCCGGAGCGCGGCCAGCGTCGCGGGCGACGTCCGCGGCACGAACTCCTGGAGGCGCGCGCACTTGTGGAGGCCGCGCGCGTTCCGCGTCAGCGGCCGCTCCTTGACGAGCGCGTGGTTCGCGAAGAACGTCGCGTTGCTCGACGCCGTCCGCGCCGCGTCCCAGGCGAGCGGCGTGCCCGCCGGCGCGTCCCTAGGGGTGATGATTCGTCAGAAGTTTTTTGTATCGTGGTGGCGCGGGCGCGCCACTCCTGCTCGAGCCGCCGGCCGAGCGCGACGCCGACGACGGCCAGCGCGATCCTCAGGCAGCCCGGCGTCATCGTCCAAGGCGACGCTTCACTTTGGCGGCATTGTTGGCCGGAGCTGGGCGGCTATGAGCCGAGCCCATAGACGCGCGCGTTCGCCGGCCTAAAACAGGATAACCGACTCTCACGCGCGCGCGCCGTCCCCCGCCCATCCGCCATGCCCAAGCCCGAGCGCGGCACGCCGAAATGGATCGCGAACCAGTGGCGGAAGAAGGGCCTGAGCAAGCTCCGGTGGCACTGCGGCCTCTGCGGCGTGTCCTGCAAGGACGCCAACGGCTTCCGCATGCACCTCGAGCACGAGAACCACCTGCGGCGCGAGCTCGAGCAGGAGGGCGTCGAGCGGGAGCGGTCCGACAACATCGAGGCGCGCTACATGCCCGACGCGTTCTCCGAGGCCTTCGAGCGGAACTACCTCAAGTACCTCGCGACGGAGAAGGTCGGGCAGCGCGTCAAGGCCCACGAGGCCTACCGCGTGCTCCACCCGAACGACCGGGCCCACGACGACATGCACAAGACCTGCTGGGGCACGCTCGGCCGCTTCATCGCGGATCTAAGGGAGCGGGGCGAGGTCGAGGCGGAGCGCGAGGGCAACGGCTGGATCGTGTTCCTGACGGAGGAGTCGCCCGCGGCGGCCTGGGCGGGCCTGAGCGACGCCGACGCGCGCGCCGTGCGGGGCCGCGACGACCTGCCGATGAAGCGCGCGTGGAACGAGGTCGAGGACGAGCTCCGCAAGAAACGGAGGCACGCGAACGACCAGCTCGAGGACGTCATGGCCCACGCGGAGCGCGCCGCGGCCCTCGCGCCCCCGAAGCCGAAGGCGACTGTGGGCGCGGCGACGGCGATGCGCCGGGACGCCGCGCCCAAGGTCGCGTTCGGCTTCGGGGCCGCGGCGCCCCGGTGTCCCGTCGCGCCCCCCGCGCCGCCGCCGGCCGAGGAGCCCGAGGACGTGCCGACGGCGGGCCGCTGGCCGCGGCCGGGCCTCGTCGTCAAGGCGCGCGCGGGGAAATCGCTCCACGGCGGCGCCTTCGACAAGGTCAAGTGCGTCGTGCTCCGGCTCCGGAGCGGCGGCTCCGTCGACGTCGAGGCGCTCGCCGGCGGCGCGCGCGCGGCGCTCGACGAGCGGCACCTCGAGACGGTCATCCCCAACGTGGGCAAGCCCGTGCGCGTCGTCGCCGGCGACCGCGACGGCGAGGCCGCGACGCTGCTAGAGATCCACGTCGACACGTACGACGCGAAGATCCAGCTCCGAGACGGCGGCGCGATCGTCGACCGCGTCCCCTACGAGCACATCTGCAAGGACCGGAACCTGTGATAATTTTTACTCGCTAGCCATCTCGACGATGCGGAACCCGTCGTCGTCGTCGTCGGCCTCGCCGTACTCGAGCGCCACGGGCGGCATGGGCGGCGCGGCGCGGCGGAGCACGGCGAGCTCCTCGTCCTCGGACGTCGCGTTCTTCCGCGCGAGGCGCCGCGCGGCCCGGAGCCGCGCGCGCTCGATGGGGTCCATGGGCTGGGCGGGCCGCGCCGGCGGCTCCGGCGGCGGCTCGTCGTCCTCCAGCGACACGCCCGTCGACTCGACGGGCGCGGAGACGAACGTCGCTCCCGCCGGCACCTAGGCAGGAATATGAGTGTTCCGCGCGCGCGCGTTCCCAAGCACGCATGTATGCTTCGAGAGCGCTCCAAGGGATGATCGCTCGTCCCAAAATGAGCCAAAACGAGTGGAACACGGCCGAGAGAGGAGCCTTTGAAGTTGGGAATGTCGCACCCTTTTCCCGCCCCGGCCGGCGCGTTCGAGAACGGCGACGGCGCCGCGCGCTTCGTCGACGCGTGGTGGAGGAACTTCCAGTTCGTGAAGAAGCGGCGGTGCGCCGCCAGCAGGCGCCGCAGGGGCGGCGCGACGGCGTCGAGGAACGTCGGCGCCGCGTCGCGCCACTGCGCGTCGTGCGCGCGGAGCAGCGCCGCCGGCTTCTTCGAGTGCTTCGCGTGCGCGAAGAGCATGCCCGCGGAGTCGTCGAGCACGTGGCAGACGGCGAGCGACGTGAAGCCCGCGTCCTCGCCAACGTCGGCGTCGTCGAAGGCCAGCGCCCGCAGCGGCGCCTTGCGGTGCACGAACGTCTCCGGCCGGAAGCCGAGCGCCTTGTGCAGCCGCACGGCGTTCGACACGGGGTCCCAGCCCACCGCCGCCTCCAGGCGCACGAGCTGCGCGTCGGACGCTTTCAGGTGGGACACCATGGCCGACACGTAGCCGGGGGCGTAGACGCAGGCGTCGTCGAAGTGGGCGACGAACTCGCCGGACGCGTGCTTCAAAAGCTCGTTCCGTTCGTCGCCGACCGAGAGCCGCGCGGCCTCGCGGTGCACGTAGCGGATGCGATCGTCGTCCTCGGGCTTCTCGACGCGGCTCAAGAAGTCCGCGTCCGCCGCGTCGCGGGGCGTCGCCGCGAAGGGCTCCGTGAAGAAGGGCGACGGCTCGCCGCCGCCGTCCAGGACGACGAGCTCGAGGTCCCCCCAGTCCTGGCCCGCGAAGCACCGCCACAGGTTCTCGTGGAGCCAGTGCTTCGCGGGGCTCGTCGCGCAGACGACGGACACGCGGCCGCGGATGACCGTCGGCGCGTCGAGCTTCGTGACGCCGATGGGCTGCCGCTTCCCGGCGCCGTACCTGTGTGCAAATCAACCAGTGAGCTGGGACGTCGGGGCCAAACTTCAGAAATCTCTAGCTCGGTCAATTCGAAGTCGATTCGGCTAATTTTTGGATGAGTCGATTGCTCTCATCGAATTCTCGAAGCACGGCCGGAGAGGCTGGTCCGAACCGTTCGATTACGCGCACATTGAAGTCGGGGTGAAGATTTGATTTGCACACAGGGCCGTACGCGCACGCGGGGCACGCGCCGCCGCCTCGGCCGTCGAAGGTCCGGCAGCGGTCGTCCTGGATCTGGCGCACGAGCACGTTGTCGCGCGCCTCGCAGGTCCAGCGCACGAGCGCGTCCGACGCCGCCGTCCCCGCGGGGAAGCACCGCTTCAGGTCCGACGCCGTCGGGCGCGTCGTCTTGTCGCAAAAGGCCGCGTACGGATGCGCGGTCTCGTCGCGCTCCTCGGCGACGCGCGCCTCGCGGCGCGACGCCGAGGCGACGGCCGACGGCAACGCCTCGACGTCGCGCAGCTTCACCCAGCCGCCGCCGGCGACGGCGCCGCGGCCCGCCTTCAACGCTTCGCCGGGCGCGATCGTCAGCTCGACGCCCGCGTCGACCCACGCGTTGTTGACCCGCGTCCGCCGGACCGCCCGGACGCGCGGCAGGTCCGCGGCCTCGTCCCAGAGCACGACGCCGACGTCGTCGCGGTGCGGCACCTCCTCCCAGCCCTTGTCCATGTGCGGCGGCTCTTCCACGAGGAGCGACTCGAGCGACGGCGGCTCCGGTGTTGCCTGCTCCTGCGCCGGCGCGTCCACGCGCACGGCCCGCCCGAGCCGACGCGGGGCTGGCCCGCCCGAGCCCTGCTGCTTCACAAAATCACGAAAGGACATCGCACACACCCCACACAGGCAGCCCTTCAATTCCTGCGTCAACGAGGTTCACCTCACGAGGTGCCGAGCCCTTGCAGCTCTCTCAAGCGGCAAGCGTCGCGCCGCGTCAGCACGCGCTGCTTCGGCGTTTCGCAGCAATCTCGCATTGCAGGCGCACGCGAGCACTAGCAGACCAGTGCGCATTGCAGACGCACGCGAGCGCTAGCAGACCAGAACGCAGTGCAGGCGCGCGTGAGTGCTCGCAGCTAAGACGCAGACGCAAAAACATGAAAGCCATCGCCATCCGCGCGCCGGCATTGGCCAAGCTCGCGGCGACGGGTGCCGTGCTCGGACCGACCTGCGATGCGATCCACAATCAGCTGCTGCTCTCCTACGACGTGCTGCCCGTCGACGCCTTCGGCGCGAAGACGTCCCTGCTCATTCCGCCGCTCCTCGCGCTCACCTACGCGCTGCTCGGCGGCGTCTTCCCCGTCCTCGCGCGGGGCGTCGTCGGCGACGGCGGCCCGCTGCCGTACGCGGAGCCGCTGCTCGCGCTGCCGAACCTCTCGTGCGACGAGGACCGCGTCGCGCGCGCGCTGCTGGCCGTGCTCGCGACCTGCGCCGTCATCAAACTGTCCGCGATCTGCCTCGAGGACGATCTGTCCAACGCGCTCCCGTTGCTCGCCGCCGCCGCGTTTTTCGAATGGCTCGCGCTCGACGGCAAGTGGACGAGTTTGATCGTCGGCGCCGTCGTCGCGCTCGCCGGCCCCGCGGCGGAGGTGCCGTTCATGGAGCTCGGCTGCTGGCACTACTACCTCCCCGCGGCCGCGGACTACTTTCCGTTCCACGGCGCGCTCGCGGATTCGCCCGCGACGGGCCTCAGCTCGCTGACGGGCCCCTGCTACTTCGCCGTCACCCAGGACGCCATCGCCCTCGGGCGCTGGTTCGACCGGAACCGGCAAACCTAGCTAATGATGTCCTGGAGGAAGGGCGGCGTCGGGTCCGCGTCGACGAGCTCCCGGAACCCCTGGGGGATGGGCGGGCAGGCCGGGAGGAGCTCGGCGTCGGGGACGTCGCCGCCGTGGCGCCGCGCGAGCTTCGCGAGGTCCGCGATCTTCGCATGGTCGACGAGCGCGCCGCGGTAGGACCGGCCGACGATGCGGACCTTCTGGCGCATGTTCTCGTCGATGAAGAGCTGGACGATCCGCCAGAGGGACTCGACGCCCATGGGCGCGTTGATCGCCGTGTTCGAGCTGTTGACCTCCGGGTAGTACTGCTGCGCGACCTTGGCGATGGGCGGGAGGATCTTCCGGATGCAGCGCGCGGCGACGAGCACGGAGAGGCCGTCGAGGTCGATGAGCGTGTGGCACCGGACGAGGCGGCCCTCGCGCGCGGACCGCGCGCGCGCCTCCTGGAGGCAGTCCTCGAGGAAGGAGACCTGGTACATCTGGAGCACGTCGAGCGCGTGCTCCCGGACGATGCCGGCCAGGTCCATGCGGCCCATCTGCGACACGGCCACGGGGTCGCCGTCGGAGGCGACGACGGTCTCGCCGCCGCGCCGCAGCAGCGTCGCCGTGCCGTAGGTGTTGGCCATGGAGCCCCGGAGCGTCCGCCCGGGCGCGCCCGGGCTCGCGGGGTCCGCGTGGCGCCGCCACGTCCACCGGCCGCGCGCGGGCGCGCCGTCGCAGGGCCCGTGCGCCGGGTCGCCGAAGGCGCCGCACTCCTCCAGGGCCCGGGGCACGTGGAGCGCGCGCCAGGCGTGGGTCTTGCGCCACATGTCCGCGGCTTCTTCCAGCGTCGGCCGGGCCAGCACGAAGCGCGCGAGCATGAGGGGCTCGCGCATGGCCGCGGCGCCGTAGGTCGGGAAGTCGCCCGCGAGCATGGCCTCGAGCGCCTCGACCTTCGCCCGGATGGCGGCGGGCACGCCCGCGTAGGCGTCCGGGAGCGGCAGCTCGCGCTCGCTCTTGCCGCCGCACAGCGCCGCGGTCTTCGGGAACTCCTCGGCGAGCGACTCGCGCAGCGTGTGGTGCTTCGGCGACGCGTCCGGCGGCGACGGCGGCGGCGAAGGCTTCGGCGACGCGTCCGGCGGCGCCGGCGGCGGCTTCGCCGGCGCCGGCGGCGCGTCCGCCTCCGCGCGCGCGGGCGCGGCCGCCGCCGGAATTCGCTTCCGCGCGACGGCGCGATAGAGCCACGCGGGCACGGCGAGAATCGCCGCGAGGAGCCGCGCCAGGACGCTGGCGAGGAGCCAGGCGAGGCCGCGCGTCTCATGAACCGGCGGCGGCGGCGGCGCCACCTTCGTCAGGTAGTGCTGCGGCGGCGGCGCCGGCGGGGCTGCCTCGGCGCGCGCCGGCGCCGGCGCCGGCGCCTCGTGCTGCTCGCCGGGCTCGCCGTTCGTCAGCAGGCGCGCCGGCGCCTTCTTCTTGCGCGAGAAGGCGTGGTGGACGCCCGTGGCCTTGGCCGCGGTCTTGCGGAGGCCGCGCAATACCATTGTACGTCGTCGGGGCAGCCACGTTTAGCGCGACGGCACCGTCGGCTTTCTAGCGCTGAGGGAGAGCACGATGCCGGGCAAGGCCGTGCCGCCCGGCGGCTACGTGCCCGGGCGCCTCAACCGGCTGCCCCGGGAGATGCGCAAGCTCAAGGACGAGATCATGGAGAAGGAGGACTCGAAGAACGAGGCCTTCGAGCTCGGCACGACCCTGTTCCGCATGGGCGACGACGTCGAGAGCTACACCTGGACCAAGGCCGCCGCCGACGACGGCGTCGTCGAGGCGCTCTACGAGTGCGGCTTCCTCCACTACATGGGCATCGGCAAGCGCCGGGAGCGGAACATGAAGCTCGCCAAGTCCTACTTCCAGCGCGCGTCCGAGGCGGGCCACGCGCGCGCGCAGTTCTTCCTCGGAGAGATCTACGAGACGGACCCGCGCGTCGGGAACCGCGTCGCCGCCGAGGAGTACGCCAAGGCCGCGGCCCAGGGCCACACGAGATCGCACTACATGCTCGGGCGCCTCTGCCTCGGCGGCCTGACCAAGGGCGAGCCGCCGAGCGACGACGACGTCGAGCGCGGCCGCACGCACCTCCTCGAGGCGGCCAAGGCGGACCACGCCAAGGCGAAGCTCGCCCTCGGCGTCCTCTACCAGACGGGCCAGGGGCCCGTCGCGCCCGACGAGGCCGAGGCCGTCAAGTTCCTCCGCGAGGCCGCGCTCGCGGGCGACGACATCGCCCAGCGCAAGATCGCCGCCTACTACAAGCGCGGCGTCGTCGACTCCTGCCCGTCGAGCTGGCGGAGCCACCCGACGTCCCTGCCCGAGTCGCGCTAGGGGCTGCGGTAGCACTTGCTTCCTAGGAGACGCGGCACGACACCGTCTCGAGCGGCGCGGCCTACTCGGACGACGCCGAGTCCTAGTCGCGGTCGTGCATCGTCGCGGCCGGGGGCGCGCGGGCGGAAGCTGCTCCCCGCCGCAGCGCGGCGACGACGGCGTCCGGCGACCCGGCGAGCGCGAAGAGGTCGACCGTCGCCGTGGGCCGCGTGCGCTTCTTCTTCCCCCGTCCCGTCGTCGTCGTCGCCGTGCTCTCGATACGCAGGCGATAGAGGCCCGGCGCATGCGGTTGGACGCAGGTGAACGCGCAGCACGGTATCATGACCCCGCACCCGAGCGCGCACGACAGCGGGTCGTCGAAGATGCCGCGCTCGCCGCAGACGCCCGTGCATCGCGACTCATCGTCGTCGTCGTAGCGCGTGAGGGCGACAGCGTCGACGTCGAAGCCGTCCCAGGCGATCGCCGACGTCGCCGCGCCCGTCGCCGCGCCGTCGGCGACGACGCCGTATTCCGTGAGGATCAGCGCCCGCGCCGCGCGGTCCGGGAAGGGCGCGTCCTCGTGCGGTGTGCAGGAGTTGCCCACGAGGCACGGAATCCAGGTGCACGGAAAGACAATCGTGTGGATCGTCCACGGCGGTGTGCAGAGCAGTAACTGGAGCACTGAAAAGCCCGCGGTCAGCGTGCCGGGATTGCCGGCCCAAAGGTGGACGCTTCGCTTCGCTTCGTTCGCCATCGCGAACCGCGCCGCGTCCATCGCGAAGACTTGGATTACAGCATCCGTCGCCGCGACGCCGAACATCGTCCCGTCCCCGCGCACGTACGCGATCTCCGAGGCGACAAGGTCGGCTAAAAGCGGCGACTCAACGCGCTGCACGCCGAGGACCGTGGCGATGGGGGCGGCAGCGACGAATTGAGAGCCGTCGAGCACCGTTGCCGTGGCGATGGGCATATTTTTTGTGAGCCGGAAGCTGGGCATAGTGTCTCGACTTGAAGCTCTATCCAGGGTTCGCAGGGGAGGCTCGGGCGCCGCGTTGAAAAACGAGGATGCAGATTTTTTTGCCACAGAATTGTCAAAAAATGAGCGATCGCAAAGCATAAATACTGTATCGAGCCTCCCCCACAATCCTACAACCACCAGATGCACGTTATCGCCACCCGCCTAACCGCGCCTGCTGGCCGAGGACGAAGGACGCCTTCAGACCCGCCCGCGGCGGCGGCGGCCGCGGCGACGGCGCGGGCGTCGGCGCGGGCGACGGCGCGGGCGTCGGCTCGACGTCGTCGGCGACGAGGTAGGCGTACTTCGGCGACCGCGAGAGAGTCGCCCTCACGCTGGGCCAGTTGGACACGTAGGCGCGCGGCGCGTCCTTGTGGATGAGCATCGTGTCGTTGCCCGTCGCGGGCGCCTTGGCGTCGCAGGTCGACGCGCTCCGGTCGAGGCCGCGCGTCAGAAATCTCCAGGCCTTGTGGAACCAGTGGGCCGCGTCGTCGACGACGTCCTCGTAGACGACCTTCAGGGTCTCGACGCCGAGCGCGGCCGCCTGGCCCCGGTAGAAGTCCATGGCCTCGAAGTGCGACGCGAGCTCGTCGAGGTGCGAGAGCAGCGCCCGGCCCTGGGGCAGCGGGATCTTCGCGCTCCGGATGGACGCGAGGCCGGCCTCGTCCTTCGGGTGCGCGTCGAACTGCCGCTTGTTGTGCGCGATGGACACGAGCATGCGGAGCAGGTCGCGGCGGTAGAGGAACACGACCCGCAGGCGCCGCGCGCGCGCCGTCGCGAGCAGCGGCCCCCAGAGCTCGTCCATGCCCTGGTTGACCATCCACTTGAAGCCGTAGGCGAAGTTCTGGCGGGTGTCGCGCGTCCGGTTGTAGACCGCGGCCCACTTCCTCGCGTGGTCCGTCGCGAAGAGCCTGGGATCCGGCGCAACGGCATCATCAAAAAGCGCCTCGAGGCTGTTCAACTCGAGGCCCAGGTCGCGGTGGCAGGGCGTCCGGTCCGACTTCCAGCCCGCGGCCTTTTTCGCGGGTCCGTCGAGGCACCAGCCGCGCGAGAGGTAGATCTCGTCGAACGCGGCGACGTCGCAGGTCTGCTGCCGCAGCGACTGCATGACCCACTTGCTGCCCGTGCGCTGCGTGGCGACGACGAGAAAGGGCTGCGTTTGCTGCGCGAGGAAGGGCTGCTGGGCGCGGGCGCCGAGCAGCAGCAGCAGCGCGGCGAAGCGAAGCGCCATCGGCGCGGTCTTCGGCGCGTCGTGCGCCAGCGACACTCGTCACCAGTTCCAGGTCACGGCGCGCGCCCGCGCACGAGGCTCCTAGCCGAGGCGGTCCACGGCGCGCGCGTCAACGACGTCGACGAGGGCCATATGAGGCAGCCCAGAGAGGCAGCCCATCGCGTACATGTACACCCTGACGGAGCGCAATCAGGCTGTGGCGCAGCTCGTAGCAATGATGAGGTTTTCAGGTTTCCAAAAGTTTGGTGGCTCGGAGCCAAAGGTCAAAATTTACCCCGCATTCTGGTCCGGATTCCGGACGAGCGCGTTTTGGCTGTGAGCTGTATCTCAGCGGCATTGGTTCGTCAGGGTGTAAATAATTTGATTGAGGTGTCGGAATTAAAATATGAAAAAATTCGAGAGCATGGGGCATCCTCGCGACGCTGGATATTACTAGCTCGCAACACGACCAGCGCTCGGCACACGCGCGCGCGCCTACGATGCTCGCCCTGGCGCTGCTGCTGGTGCGCGCCGCGCGGGCCTGGAAGCCGCTCGCGGAGAGCGGCTGCCCGAAAGTCTACGTCTACGACGCGCCCGAGCTCTGGAACTTCCGCGTGCCCCTCGACGAGCTCCACACGCTCGGTCGGGACGAGATCTTCGGGCTGCCCTGCGACCGCGGCGTGCCGCAGGAGCGGCGCTCGGAGCAGCAGGCCATGGGCGCGATCCTGCTCTGGCGGCTGGCGACGAGCGCGCGGTGCCCGCGCGTCGCGGACCCGGCGGACGCGGACCTGTTCCTCGTGCCGACGTACCCGGCGGTGCCCAAGGGCTCCGTCGCCGCGCACTGGCAGCGGTCCTGCGCCGACGCCGCGGCCCAGCGCGTCGCCGCGCGCCCGAAGTACCTCGACGAGGCGAACGCGCACCGCCACCTCTTCGTCGTGAGCAAGGGCCACGCGGTCGTCACGCGCGGCTGCGACGCCTGGTGGCGGCGGCCCCGGGGCCTCCTGCGGCGCGCCATGCGCTTCGCCGTGTCCGACGCCTACCAGCGGGGCCGGCGGCCGGGCCACAAGTACGGGCCCGACGACTTCGACGACGACGCGGCGGCCGAGTCCATGCACCCGAAGATCGACGCCACGGAGCCCACGGGCGACTACCCGGGCCTCGTCTCCGTGCCCTACTCGTCCTGCATCCACGCGTCGACGAACGACACGGGACCGCCGCCCTGGGGTGACGTGCCCGGCCGCCACGCGTCGGTCCTCGCGGCCTACGTCGGCACGCCCCACGACGGCCTCGAGGGCGCGAACAACGGCTCCTACGCGCGCGCGCGCACGCGGCTCGCCCGGGACTGCGAGAGCGCGCCGGACTGCCGCGTCCACGACCCGACGGCGTCGCGGCTCCACGCGGGCTTCTGCGGCACGGCGGCGACGCACTACCCGGCGACGTTCTGCTTCGAGCCGGGCGGCGACAGCCCCTACCGCAAGGGCTTCTACGACGCCATGCTCGCGGGCTGCATCCCCGTGGTCTTCGGGCGCTACAACGCGCGCGTCGCGCCCTGGTTCGTGCCGCCGGGCGCCGTCGTCGCGCTCTCGGAGTCGCGCTACGTCGCGGGCGACTTCGACGCCGTCGCGGCGCTGCGGAAGATCCCGGCGGACGACGTGGCGCGCATGCAGCGGGCCCTCGCCGACGGCGCGCACCGGCTCCAGTACGCCGTCGACGACGTCCCCGGGGACGCGTTCGAGACGCTCCTCACGGGCGCGCTGGACCTCGCGCGGCGCAAGGCCCCCTAGGACGGTCCCGGGCTTATCTAGACCGCGGGGGGGGCGGGGAGGGTGGGCGCCTAGTACATGGGCGTGACGTTGAAGTCCATGCCCGCGGCGATCATCTCGATGGACT